CCTCTATTGAGACTCCGTGTGTCTCGTCGCCGGAATCCTCCTGAAACTCCTATCTTCAACTGCTGCAACTCTGCATAATCCTTTGAGCAATCTGTACCATATTATACTGGAATCTACTTACCAGTCTCAACTGTTGCAACTCTGCATAATCCTTTAAGCAACCTGTACTATATTATACTGAAAGTACTTACCAGCTTTAACCATTTCAACCCTGTATCATCCTGAACCTGGCTGCAGTGTAACTTTCCACTAACTACTAAGCTACTTGGAATATCTTCAAACCTACTTGCATAAAAAAGACTTTACTCATTTACTTTCAAAGTATCCTGTTTGTGGCATGTTGCCTTAATTATGTTATTCTCTCAAAGTATCCTTTCCTTCAATTGTTATGTCAAAAAAGACAAAGTTTCAACCAATAACCCTGGCAATTGTCTCCTCTCTGACCCTGCTGGGGAACATGACACATATACTTAATTGTGTCAATAAATCTTAACCATTTGAGGAAAAAAAGAAGAAAAAAAAGTGTTTCCTTTTCAGTATAATTATATATTTAAATGTTGTATCTTATATAAATGTTTATAGTACATAGTAGTGTTATAAATGTTTCCACTCCCCTCAAATATTTGTTGCTCTACAATACTACTTCCTCTTCCCCGTCCTCCAAATCCCTATTCTGTTTCTCTTCCCATGTTCTGTTCTATTAATTTAACTACTTATATTTTTTAATTTCATCCATTTTAATAAGTCTTCTGGGGACTCAGAAGTATCTTGATTCTTCCAATGAACTTTTAGTTTGTCTGGCTAGCCCCGTTGATATTGTATGTTTTTGTCTCTCAATGTAATTTGTTTTGAGGCAAAACTTCTCTTCCGTGATCATGTCTGGTAAGAGAGATCTTGAAATACAGAGATGTCTTTGAACTTGTCTTCCGGCAAGGATTTATCTCTAATGGATCTCGTAATTTCTTTAAATGAATATGAGTGAAAGTTTACAATTATATCTCTTGGTTACTTATCTGATATGTTCTTTGGTTTATATAACCTATGGATTCTTTCCAATTTATATTCATGTTTTTCAGCTTCTGGAACAATTTTCTTGTACATTTCTTCAAGGAAATTTTTAATTTTGTCTTGTGTGACACTTTCTGGAATATTACGAAATCGAAGATTTGATCTTCTTGAGCGATCTTCCAATTCTTTTATTTTACATTCCAATCCTTTAACTTTTTGGGATATTTGTTTGTTATCTTATTTTGAATCTGTATATTGTGAGTCCATATTAGTGAGTTTTTCTTCTAATGAAGAGATTCGGTCCATCATGTTTTTAATAACCCTTTTGATTTCTATAGAGCTGTGTACTATTTCTTCTTTAAGAGTTAGGGCATTTGAGTTATTTAAAGTAACATTCCAAGAAGCAACTGCTGCCACACTCCAGCCTCCACTGTGTCTTAGCTCCACTGAGATAGGTCCACCTAGACAGGGACACTTTTATTGCTTGACCTAATGAATGCAGTCCTGCATGCTTAGCTTAGCTCAGATGAAAGAGCCCCTGACCACAGAGTTGTTGGCAGTTGTCCAGTGAGTAATTGGTCAAACTCTTCTTACACAATTTGACCAATTACTCTGGGAAGGTGGCAAACCGCTCCTGGCACCAAAACTACTACAGCTGGCTGGTGTATGGAGTGTTGCTTTAATTTTGTATATCGACAATTCCATTCATTTGACCTCATCAGGGAGTATCACTGTTGACAAGAAACTTTAAATAGCTTATCCTTTAAGTTACCCTAAGAGTTTCTTTGTGAATAACAAGAGTTAATACTTTAGGATTTTACTTGTTAATTATCATCTCTTGAGTCCACTCTAGCAAATCTCAAAAACAATGTATAAACACCTGCCATAGCTGAATCTTAAAGACTAAACGGCCTGCATCAGCTTAAAATCAGAGAGATGGAATCAAACACTGTGAAACTAATAGTCACCCAAACACATACACAGCTTCAGAATGTATTAATATTTCACCAAAGTCCTATTTGTTAAGTTAAAATGTATTTAATGCGTTATTGCTTTTGCATTATAATTCATGATTTCAGGTTTGAGTATGTTTGATTATCTGTGACCCTTTTCTGACACCTAGAAGTGAAAGCCTAAATGAGACCACACGTAATTTTAACCAGGAACTAAAGGTGTTTTTGCATATGGGTGAAGCACTGTGGAGACAATCAAATATTTACCAAAACAGCTAAGCAGAATTTATTGATAGCAAGAGGCCAGTAAGAAACATTCCATCGGGCATGGACACAGCTGATTTCGTATGTCACTGTAAACAGACAGACAGAGACAGACAGACAGAGAGCTAAATACATAGAGACATAGAAACATAGAATGTGATGGCAGATAAGAACCATTAGGCCCATCTAGCCTGCCCAATTTTCTAAATACGTTCATTAGTCCCTGGCTTTATCTTATAGTTAGGATGGCCGTATGCCTATCCCACACACGCTTAAACTCCTTTACTGTGTTAACCTCTACCACTTCAGCTGGAAGGCTATTCCATGCATCCACTACCCTCTCAGTAAAGTAATACTTCCTGATATTATTTTTAAACCTTTGTCCCTCTAATTTAAGACTATGTCCTCTTGTTGTGGTAGTTTTTCTTCTTTTAAATATAGTCTCCTCCATTACTGTGTTGATTCCCTTTATGTATTTAAATGCTTCTATCATATCCCCCCTGTCTCGTCTTTCCTCCAAGCTATACATGTTAAGTTCCTTTAACCTTTCCTTGTAAGTTTTATCCTGCAATCCATGAACCAGTTTAATAGCCCTTCTCTGAACTCTCTCTAAGGTATCAATATCCTTCTGAAGATACGGTCTCCAGTACTGCGTACAATACTCCAAGTGAGGTCTCACCATTGTTCTGTACAATGGCATGAGCACTTCCCTCTTTCTACTGCTAATACCTCTCCCTATACAACCAAGCTTTCTGCTAGCATTTCCTGCTGCTCTATTACATTGTCTGCCTACCTTTAAGTCATCTGAAATAATCACCCCTAAATCACTTTCCTCAGATGTTGAGGTTAGGACTCTATCAAATATTCTGTACTCTGCCCTTGACACTACAAAAAATTGTTTGCATAGTTTCAGAGCACCGCCCCTATATTAAAGGCTGGATTTAATTAATCTGATGTACATCCACATTGTCACCGCCATTGTTTAAGTTTCTATTAAGTGGAAGTCGACGTGCCAAAATATTAGGCACTGTATAGGTGGGAAGGTATGACTTTTATTTCAGTTTTAGACATTTCATTAATCATTTTCAAACCAATTGTTCATATAACAAGTATTCAGATAGATAGATAGATAGAGACAGGCAGACAGATAGATGATAGATAGATATATAGATAGATAGATAGATAGATAGATAGATATAGATAGATAGATAGATAGAGACATACAGACAGATAGATAGATAGATAGATAGATAGAGACAGACAGACAGACAGACAGATAGATAGATAGATAGATAGATAGATAGATAGATAGAGACAGATAGAGACAGACAGATAGATAGATAGAGACAGATAGATAGAGACAGACAGACAGATATATAGATACAGATAGACAGACAGATGATAGATAGATAGATACAGACAGACAGATAGATGATAGATAGATACAGACAGACAGAAAGATGATACATAGATATATAGATAGAGACAGACAGACAGATAGATACAGACAGACAGAAAGATGATAGATAGATAGATAGATAGATAGATAGATAGATAGATAGATAGATAGATAGATAGATAGATAGATAGCACATACTGTCTTAAATATTAGCTGGGGACCTGTAAAAAGAAAGCATCCAGAAAAATATGTATTTACACTGACCAGCCATAACCTTAACACTACTGACAGGTGAAGTGAATAACATTGATTTTATAGTTACAACGCTGCCATCTGTCAAGGGGTGTAACATATTAGGCAAAACGTAAACAGTCCATTCTTGTATTTAATGTTTTGGAAGCAGAAAAAATGGGCAATCAAAAAATTTGAGTGACTATGATAACCAGGTGTATACAGCAGTAGCCATGGACTTTTCGTTACATACATAGCACCCTAATATATTCTCATACAAAAGGTCCAATGGACATCCAACCATGGGACATGTGGAGAAATTTGCCTCTGCATTTGGGTGTTCCTGGTCACTACCAAGACAACGCTAGAGCCCAGCTATGGTTACAACTCTTTTTGTGATTATCAGTTCTCACTTTAACTCATGAAACATACATAATTTGGTCATTACAATAACAATCTTAACCCCTTAAGGACCAAACTTCTGGAATAAAAGGGAATCATGACATGTCACACATGTCATGTGTCCTTAAGGGGTTAAAGGATAAGGAATGTAGCATAAGCACTTCAACTCATAGTGATATGGCACTTTAAGTATCAAAGCACCATATGCCATTTCATAGTCTACCCATTTCATAGTCTATCCCTGGGTGCCTGCAGGAAGCTCCTGTCTCACAGGATGGCTAAGACAGAACTATGCTTAATATTACACCATGTACAAACCAGCAAAACAGCTAGTGAAAGGTTGAGAGCATCACTGAGCACTGGAATGTCCCTTTCAAGACCCTACTCCAAGTTTAGAGCGTTCCACTCCAAAAGGTTTTTATCAGGATTAATGTTTTTAATATGTCTGCAATTTTGGCATGGGGTCAGGATCAGGTAGAATATTTCTGAGTCCTTCCTTATACCCATGAATAAGCAATCAGTTAAACACTATGCATTGCCACAGAAATAACAAAAAACTGGCGTTGTCATCAGTAGGTATTAACAGGTAATTTTCCAACGTGTGTAATCGTGGTCCACGAAACTTTCTTGTGTGCTGAACACGGATTTTGTTTCTGCTCTAAACTTATTTGAATACCTGACTTTTTGGGAGGTGCTAGTGACCGTACCTTTGTAAAAACACCTACATTAAAATATTAGCCAAGAGCTACACAGTTTCACTCTACAGTTTGCAAGACTAGGTCAGAAGAGCAAGACTGAAGTTTGGGAAGGTCCCAAACAGAGAAAAGGACTTTAATTATGGTTATAAAACGTATACTGGATTGTTTTCGTAAGCAACCAGCTGCGGAAAAGGAGGTGAGTCATTTCAAACATTTCTTTTTTAGAAAGCAGAGTGTTTGTCTAAGAGAAATCAGTAAATGGATAACTGTGAGAGATAAGAGAATAGCAGCAGATAAATCTATAGGAGATATTTGTTAAATATTTTACAAATTTTTAAGAAATGCTTTTACAAAGAAAACGGTATTAATATGCATTCATTCTATGTTTAAAGGGGGCAATGTAGTTATATAATACATATTTACAGAAAGTATTATTGTACTTATTAAAATAGTAAAATATTAAATAATTACCTGCAAACTCTTCTAAATCTCTATGGACATTTAAATTACAGGAGAAATGCAGTACCACTGCAATGGCCATCAAAGTTCATCAAAGTTCACCTTTTAGGTGTATCCTTCACTAACAACTCACCTTGCTGCTTTCAGTCTAAAGACAAAATTCTAATGACACAGAAAGGAGTTTTGTTATGAACCTCTACAAACTAATTAATCCTTAATAGGGTGCAAGTCTCATTCGAGATGTTTTCTATTAGCTAAAAGCAGCAAGATGAATTGTTATAGTAGGATTCGTCTCAGAGGTTTTCCTTGATGTGGCAGGTGAGCTTACACTTTAATGACCGTTGCAGTGGTATTAAAACCATCTGTGATTTAAATATGCATAGGGATATGTGATAGTAATGCACAAGTATTTTTTTTTTTAATAGGTATTTGGGCTGATAAACATAATAGTTATTGCTGCCACCCAAGAGTAGTGGGAGTTTAACCCCTTAAGGGCCAAACTTCTGGAATAAAAGGGAATCATGACATGTCACACATGTCATGTGTCCTTAAGGGGTTAAGCCCATAGGTTATTAATGTGTGCTTAGAATGATTTACTATTAACCTGTGGGGGATTGAGTTACACCTCTTAACCTGCGGCAGGTTATGAGCAGTTTTTCTTACTGTATTGCTGCACACACAGACTTAAAGCACCTTGATCACTTTAAATCTCTGAAGTGATGACGGTGCTTGGAGTAACCCTTTAAATAAGAGTTTGCAGATACATACTGTCACACACTTTTTATTATTATTATTATTGCCATTTATATAGCGCAAGCAGATTCAATAGCGCTTACAATATTATGAGAGGGGGGATATGACTATAAGTAGGACAATTACAAGAAAACTTACAGGAACAATAGGTTGAAGAGGTCCCTGTTCAAACGAGCTTACAGTCTATATACATAGCTAATGAAACGTCTCCATGATCAGTAACAAGTCAGCCACATCATTGGTGTATATTTTAATGGTCAGAATTTCACGTAACAGCCATACACACCAACACCACTATTACATTATATACGTTAGATTATTGACATTAATTATTGAGCATCTTGGATTTATAAGGATGGATAGCTTTCTCATTCAATAATACATAACTTCCAGATCTACTTAAAAAAAAAAAAAAAAAAACTAATTATAGTCCTGTATATATTAAAGTACAATTTGTAAGTTTATTTTGGATTTATATTTTCCACAAAAGAAATAGAAAAAATACAATTTATAATTTATCTTAATGGGTAAGGTACATATTTCTAACAAAATTACATTATTTTATCTCATTTAGCAGTAATGGGGATGACCTTAAGACCTTTCAAGCTGTTAAACTACTTATAATGTTTTGGATGGTAGTTTTCTGCTTCTGGTGTGTTTTAAAATGTAACTCTAACATTTAATAATTAACTTTACTTAGTCTGAATGAGTGCTACTTATTAATGTTAGCTGGGCTAACAAACTCGTTGAATAAGCCACATTGTGTCCACGATAGGAAAGGTCCTTTTTAATGTTTATTAGCAAAACACTGCTTTCTAAAGTACTTCTCTTTCAACTAACTTTTTGTAACACAACATATTTATGGAGAGATGTTGTTTCGGTAGCAGAGTTTCTTTAAGTATATATTTTTTTTTTTGACACTCTTTATTTTATTGACCTCTTTTATATAAAGGACTAAGAAATAGACAGTGTTTACAAAGGTAACAAAGAAAAACATAAAAGTAACAGCTCAGATAACAGATATGCATTCACACTCCAAACCCTCTTGCAGAAGGGTACATTCACGAAACTATAAAATCGGTAGCTCAGTATTTAATACATCGCTTTGACCCATCGATAGCAACAGGATCGCAAGCTATTTACGATCAAGGGGATGACCCTTAAGTGGCTCATGCAAGGACTAAGCATAAAAAAATTCTCTGCTACCTGGAAGGAGAAAAGGAATTGAGAGTAAGGAAGAGAATGGGAAATATCAAGGTATTTAGAAAAGAAACAGAGAAGGTGGTAAAGGGAATAGAAATAAAGGGGGGTTATATTTTATTTGATGAAATGCACTATATATTTTCCATCTTGTTTTTTATTTAATTATATTGTCTTTTTTATTTATTATATCTAAGTCTTTATTTTTAAAAATAAGTCTGAATTTAGCAGAAACACCATATAAATAATAGGAGCGTATATCTAATTTTCAATATAAATTAGCAGATTGACAATGTTTTTAAACATAAGGAAGATAGAGAACAAAAGCATTGAGGGGGAAAAGGAGAAGAGCATGGGGCTGGGTGGGACCTTCCATGGAGAAAAACCTTGGTAAGGAACACTATTTTACTGAATCAGTGGCTCCCCCTCTTAAGTTGAGTTTATTTAACAGGTGGTTGTCTTTGATCTTAACAATGAGAAGATGTTAGTCTCTCAACCAAATGGTCTTATAATCATCCAGAAAAATCTAGTTGAACAATGTTTCTTGGGAATTGGTCAAATTTTCTGGGCAGAAAAAAAGCGCAAGGTTCTAGCTCCGTGGATCTATGGATAGCTCTAAATAGCATTTTCAGAATGTGGGAACTTTTATATATTCAGATAGTTAGTTGGTAGATAGGTTGTTTTTTTTGTTTGTTTTTTTAAAGCAGTCATGTTGTAGTAGGTTGTAGTAGTATTGTAGGAATTGTTTTTTTTTTAAATAGTCATGTTGTAGTAGCATTGCACATAGTTGTTTTTTTTTTTAAAGCGATCTAGTTTTGTGTTCTGTACCAGATTCAGTGGAGCGCTTTAATATGTGCATAAAATTTAATAGTCCACCTAGTGCAAACAAGGAATATATATATACCATATTTTTACATATCCTTGAACATCCAATGTTGTGTATAGCATTAATTAAAAAAAAAAAAAGAACCAGGAATAGTGCCGTTCCCTTATGTACACAAGTGTGATATATATATAAATTGGAACACTCACATATTCCAGGTCTATAACCTAGCTCTGGGAGTTATTTGCCTATTGCTTCGTTTAGGCGACCTGCCCCTTTTTCTTTGTGGAGAGTAGTTTAGGAGTTTTCTTGTGTATTCAGCAGCAGTATGCAGTATCTCAAGGTAAGAGATGTCTAGATAGTGTGATACCATTTGTAACAAATATTTTCATATAAATAGGAAAAATACTCACATGCCTGGAGCCTAGTAATTGGCTCAGTTGAACAGCCGAGTATGGTTAGGGACCATACCACCCTTAGTTGTAGAATGCAGGAATATTGATGGTAAAAAAATAAAAATAAAATAAAAGTATAAACCATAAAAAGTGTATACTTTATTTGAACTTACAATTAAAATGTCAAATAGTAATATAAATAGTCCTAGAGACACGTTTTGCCGAAATTCCGCATCTCTGGGACTATTTATATTACTATTTGATATTTTAAGATGATCCTCAAGAGCGAAACTGAAAAACAATAATTAGGATATGGAGATCAAACCCTGACCTAGCAAAATATGGAGAGGTGGTAAGTTAAATAGAACACTAACTGATATACTACAATATATTAAATAGATTTATGGAGATGGAAAAATCACTGTCTAGAAGGGAATGTTCATTGATCGAAGATGGGAAGTCCTTGTCTGTACACCTGGCTTCATGATTTATTGCTTTACTATAATTCTCAGGATGTTCTAAGAAGATGGTAATTTAAACAAATAATCAGTTAGGGATGTATCGAAACTCGAAGAAAGCTTTCCTTTAACCCCCTTAAGGACACATGACATGTGTGACATGTCATGATTCCCTTTAATTCCAGAAGTTTGGTCCTTAAGGACCAACCCTTTTTACTCACCTGGTTCCAGCGTCAGGAGCCTCGTGAAGCAGCGCGCCTTATTTTGTCAAAATGACAAAATAGGCAGGCGCGAGTGGAGAGCAATCATACGCTTCCATTTGGAACCGTCATTGCTCCCTTGTGCGCATGCGCGGCTTCGCTGCACATGTGCACATGTGCACATACTTCATAGGGCGGCATTCATGCCTGACAGCTCAGCTCACGGTCTTTGCCCGCCCCCTCTCCTCTGCTGACAGGCAGGAGAGAGAAGGCGCACACACGGTGCCTTCTCTCTCCTGCACACGTCAGACGTATTTTAATACGTCTGACGTGTACATGGCCTTTTTAGGGTCATGCATGATAGGAAGTCCCTCTGGTGGCCGTCTGAGTGACGGCCACTGGAGGTATTCCTATCAATCAATGTAAACACTGTATTTTCTGAAAATACAGTGTTTACATTAGATTGCCTGCAGGGAGCTATAGATCTCACCTGAACAACTGCATTAAGCTGTAGTTGTTCAGGTGACTATAGTGTCCCTTTAAGAACTCTGTCCCAGACTCTGTATTTTTATTCCATTTGCCCACCATGTATATTATTCATTATTGATGGTACATGAAAGTTGTAGTTACAAACAACAAAATCTTCCATTCTGGCAAATATTACGTAGCAGGAAGCTGAAATCTTGTGTGTCTTCGGTGATTTGGCAATAGCAGTCTTCATTGCCGTTTATATTGAATAAACACAATACACACTTTTGTTTGTGATTTATCACAGTGAAGTTCCTTCTGTAGGCTATTTTAGGTTACCTTTTTACTCTCTAATTTACTGTTCAATTTAATCTGCTGAATACAACTAAATATAGCCACTGGTGTACTTATTACTTAAATTTAAATGGTAAAATACTTCTTTCTTTTGGATATTTGCCAAATTTATTTTCCCTCCAGAGTTGCATTTATTCTTCTCAACAATCATATAAAGCAAGGGAAATTATAAAGCAAGGAGAATACAATTTAACTATAATAGAATAAATTGTGGTGAGATTTGATTGGTTTTTTTTTAAACTAAGCTACTTTGGTCTTATTTTCTTTGGTAACTAACAAATTAACACAGCTTACTGATAAAAGAATCATCTCCAAAGTTAGATTGTTGATAATATATGGTTCATTTGACTGAGAAAAATAATATATTGATATGTCTTCTTAAAGATGCCCTCTAAGCACCATAACTACTACAGTGCACTGTAGTGGCTATGGTGACAGAAGAGCCCTGATGTCATCCCACAGTAAGCTTTCAAACCGTTAACAAATGGTTTGATAGATACCTTGCCCTGTCAGGTGCCCATGGGCCTTCTGGCTTGCAATGATAATGTAGAGCAAAAGTTCATACTTTGGACTTATACACACTACTAAATGAAATGGTTAACATAAACATAGAAACATAGAATATGACAGCATATAAGAACCATTCGGCCCATCTAATCTGCCCAATTTTATAAATACTTTCATTAGTCCCTGGCCTTATCTTATAGTTAGGATAGCCTTATGAAAAAAGTAACCTTCTGGACCATATAATTGCATTCCTCTTCTCACCTAATGGTGTCTTTGATGGGAGGGTGAAGTCAGGGTCTCTAATGTGCTATGCACTAATTATGAGTATTTGGGTCTGGCTGGGTTTGAACCTGGGTTTCATGTACCCCAGTCAGTTACCTTACCCTTGACTCTACAAATCTCTGGTTAACAAAGGTTAATTAGCAGCTTCAAAACGTTTTATCATGTCCCGAAAAAAATTAATTGAAGAAATAACTACTTATGGGGATTAATAATAAGTCTGTTGATGGTATAGTGTTGTTTTGCAAAAATAGATTTTCAATTTTTTTTTTTTAAATCCAAGCATTCAAGAGTTAATTTAATAGTTTACTGTGTTTTTCAGATAAGTAAGATATATTGCCACTGCTAAAATATATCAAAATATGGCTGTTGAGCTTCAATTTACCATAAGTAAAAATCGACTTCTTCTAATGTTATTTTACAAAGTATTGCTCATAAGCCATGTAATCACTAAACCAAATAAATAATTGACAATGTTTCAATAATGAAACAATGAATGTATTATAATAATACATCAAGTCAAGGTAACATTACTGGCAGTAAAATATAAATGGTGTGTATGGATAATTGTATTGGATTGTTCAAGCAATCTTATCAATCTAAGTATTAAGAATGATTCATCCATTTGTTTGCAATTAAGACAAGGGAGTTGGGTATATTTACTGAATCTGAGATGTTATCGTTGAGTATTATTAGGGATTGAAAAAACAAGGTGCACTGTGCAATTAAAGGCGCTTAAATATATATAAAACCAATAATAATGCGACAGCAGTCATGACACACGTGTAAAGACCTCTAGCGTAACACACATTCATGCAGAGAAAGAAGTAAACGAGGTCGACTCTAGGTAAACCATATGGATCGAAAAAATTATTTAAAAAACACACTTACTCCTTTTATTAAACGGGAAAAGATAGATATTGAAGAAATATGGCTGAAACAAGATAAAGTGACAAAATATAGTGCAATATGTAAATAATACTGGGAGTGGTTTAAGGTGTGCATAAAACGTACTTGCTGAAATAGATTACCGACGTTGGAACTTCAGAGTAAATTGAGGGATTATTATTCCACCGCAACACCTCAGACAAATAGTGGAGGGCTTGCCAGTTTGCAAGATGGAGGTTACGGTGAAAACGGAAGTGACGTTATGAACGTTCCGTAACGTCCCTTCCGCTCATGACTAATAGGCATACAGACTTCAGCTGGAGGATCACACACCCCCTTTTGCTGCATTAGCGATTGGATAAAGAACGGACACATTGACCAACCATTGGACAGCTTACAGATATAAATACAGAATTCAATAGAGAGCAGGAATTCTGGTAGAAAAATACTTGTGTAAAGGCAAAATGCGTCTTGGACTTTTTTGTGGACATTTGTGGACATTTTTTATATTGTTATTTGGCATATTTTTATTTTTTTGTCTTGTTTTAATTTTTTTGTTTAATAAACGTATATTAGCCATTTTTACTTAATCCAGTTAGTTCCTGTGTGTCGTGCTCCAAAGCAGAGAAGAGTTGTGCCCTTTTAAAGGCACATACACCCTACTTAGAGCCTACTTAGAGAACATACTTAGAGCCTGGTACAATTGACTCTTAAGAAGGTGAGCAATCACTTGAATATTTTTTAATTATACATCTATATTAAGGCTAATACACCAGAAGTGTTTGCTTCATTTTTTATCTCCTTTTCTGAGTTTCCAGGGTTTACATGCAGAATAGGTCTGGTATTGCCTGAATATACCCCTGCTGATGAGATTTCAGCCTATCCTTGTAGGGCTCTGCTCCATGTTAGTGTGTTTTATACACACCATAAACCGTTCCCAGTATTATATACATGTTGCACTATATTTTGTCACTTTACCTTGTTTCAGTGTGTATGTATATATTTTTCATTTTAAAAACACTAGCGCTCCACTTAGTTTACTTAGAGTGTAGTCCACCTAGTTTACTTTTTTCTCTGCATTATTACGGATTGCCGATTGACAAAGTCGTAGAAATAGTACTGGCCCAAAAAATGTGAGTAAGTTGATTGTGCATTGCATTACCGTGAACAAAATATAACCGTAATTATAATACCCTTTTGGATCTTTGTAGTTATTGTTTCAAATATGTAATTTAGTCAACAACTTGTTATTAAAAAAATGTAAATTATTTTATTAAAACTTTTGAAAACCCATCAATTAAATATTGATATTTTTTTTCAGAATATGGAGTCTGTATTGTAGTTTTTACTGTGTGATTCTATTAAATAAGTTTGCTCCAATCTCTCCCTTTAGGACACACATGCGAGCTCTGAAGATGAAAATAAAGAGCGTGGAAATTGGAGCCGAAAGTCTGACTATATCCTCTCTATGATTGGTTATGCTGTAGGTCTGGGTAACGTCTGGAGATTTCCGTACCTTGCCTATAAGAATGGAGGAGGTACAGCTGATATACATGTTTTGTTACTATTGAAAGGCCATACACATTTGTTTTTTAGAATCTTCTTTTTTTTCACAAACTTCTATATCCTTATTTTAGAAATCAGTATCTTTGCATTTAAATGTTTGATGTACAGATTTGCAAATGGTACTTGTGGTTTTAGTTTCTAAAATCAAATAATATGTACCATTATATATTAATTTATATTCCTGTAAACATATATATGCTTTTTAGGATGAGGAGTGTTCCAAGTTATTTATTCAGTAAATGATAATGAGTAATGGAAAATAATAAATGAGAAAAACAAATGCAATGTCAATGACAGTTCATGTACAAAAAGAGGTATCGATTCACATGATGAAAATATAAGCTGAATCTTTATGTATCAATAGCAATACAGCATCTCTGACATGTGCCGTTTTGGACTTCTGTTTTAAACATATTGTGTATATATAATCGAACTAGAAAATGTGCAATGGCGGGCTACAGAATTAATAAGGGAAATGGAAGATTTTAGTTATGAAGAGAGGCTTCATATCTAACCAACTTCTTTGCCATAGACTTTAAAAAGGAGCCCGCATATCTCTTATTATGGGGATAGATGGAGACTTATAGTGGCTACTGTCGACTGAGTGTGGGATAAGATTACGTTTGATTTAAAAGTCAAAATATTGAATGTTTTTATATTTCTACTATGACTCTCAGATCTTTAAAATAAAGCTACAGTATTTTATATTTTATATTTTATATTTATATATTTAATTCCTGGATGTGTTTTTTCATTATTTTTAAAATACAATGTTTTCTAGACATGTGGCGTTTACTATACCTGTAGAGACACATGGTTTATACTATACCTATAGAAACATGCAATGTATATAATACCTGTAGAGACGTGATATATACTATAACTGTAGAGATATGCATCATACATTATACCTGTTCCTGTTGATCCAAAAAAAAAAACAGTTTGAAGCACTTCCAATTTTACAACCAACTAGGGAAGAATTTCTTCTTAAACCCAGAATGAATTAGTTAGTCATGTTCTAGCAATTCCTGATTTAGCAACTGACAGTTCAGTCATCAAAACAAATTCCCATGGTGCAACTCACTATCAGATTCTCTATGTTTAACATTTAAACTGTCCAAAGTTTGGACTCAATCTGAAAACACTTATTATTTTCATCACTGGTCAATCAATTGCAGGAAGAACAATGTTTGTTTATTCAGATACCTGTTAATCAGTGACATGATCCAACAGGTTTATTTAACTTAAAAAAAAAAAAAATCTTTATTCATCATATTTTCTTTGCATACTTAAATAATAATAGAAAACAACAAAAACAACAAATAAAATAAATAATAATAAAAAAAAACAAGCAAATAAATTTACAACTGATAACATCACCTTCAAGAAGAAGTCTCTAATTTGAGGTCCTATTACTCTTATTCAGACAATATTAACTTAGCAAAGGAGAAAGAGCAGAAAAAAGAGAAAACACACACACACACATATATATATATATATATACATACACATACACTTACACCGACGTACAATAATTTTAAATGAACACATGCCACCCCGTTTATTATTGCCTCCCTTTTAAGATCTCTTACTCATTGCCATTTTTAAGCCCCCCTCCAGCTTCTTTTATCAATAGAGCTACATTCTACCTATGTGAGATAAATGTATGTCAAAGGTGCCATTTTTGAACATGCTTTTCACTATAATTATGTGCTATAGCAATCATTGATTCATCAGCTTCAATTTTGCTCACTTTATCCAATCAATTCTGTATGGTTGGAGAGACCGTAGTCTTCCAGAACGTGGGAATGAGGGCCTTTGCCACATTTAATAAAACGCTAACAATTGATTTTTTTTTTTATATTGAGTTACTGATTGACCTGTTTGGTGTAAGAGGACATTCTCAGTTTGGAATGGTGGGGCTTCTCCCAAAATTGTTTCAATCTTTGCCCGTACCCCCTCCCAAAAGGCTGTTAGAAGATGACAAGACCACCAAATATGTAGGTGTGTCCCAGGGAGTTCATTGCCACTCCAGGATAATGGTGATTGTGTTGGAAAAAAATTATGTAAACTAGTAGGTGTGTGATACCAAAATAAAAGTATCTTATAATTTTTGTTTCTTGACATTTGGTGCATACTGTACTATAATGATTCAGTGTCAAAATCTTTAACCACTGTTCCTCTGAGAATGATATCTCCAAGGCCTCCTCCCATGTCCTCTTAAATACTTTACCACTAATATTACCTTTTGTGAAAAAAAAAATCCTGTGCCTAATTGAGTTCCTTTTGCTGCATGGGTCCTCAAATTTTGTATTTCCTCTGCTCAACATATGTTTATTTGGTATAGATTAATAAAAATGCTTAATCTGAGCATATTAATATCTCTCCATGAATGTAGGTATTGTATTAATTACCAAATCCTCCAATTTCCATAATCCCAAAGAGTTTATCACCCTTTGGATCGGTATTACCTCATCTGGCCCTATGAAAGCCAACCTCGTTTTGTGACTGCCTTCCGTTAGTTCTGGGTTATATGTAAGCGGTAATAGAGGGCTAGGTATAGGTGAGGCTAATATACCCTTTTAAATCTGGAACCATTCTCTCAAGGTTGCTGAAATAAGGCTATTAGGGGGTATCTGTAATGGTATTCTTAAAGTTTGTAACCACGTTAAGGCAGTTAGTGGCATTGGGCAACAGGCTTTTTCGATGGCAACCCAGGGCTTATTTAGGTCCTTGGCATGCCATTCTTGGACTCGCAACAGATGTGCTGCTTGATAGTATCGCTTAAAATTTGGAAGTGCCAGTCCCCCTTTTGATTTCGGAAGGCATAAAATGTCATGTCTAAGGAGTCGGCGTGTTCCTCTCCATACAAAAGTTATAGCTGCTCCTCTAAGAGAGGAAAGAAAGGAACGTGGTAACTCAGTTGGGATTGTCTTAAATAAATACAGAATGCATGGTAAAATATTCATTTTTAAGATATTGATACGCACTATCCACAAGATATTTTGCGTATTCCATTTACGGACATGTTTGTATGTTGTTTAATAAGCGTAAGTGATCAACGATAGATGCTTGGGAGGGATCAGTGGTTAGCCAAATTCCCAAGTACTTAATTTAATCTTTACACCATTTAATGGAAATTGGGTTGACAGACTATTATTTTTTAGTGATGGAACTGTAATATTTAATATTTCACATTTTGATGCATTTAGCTTTTGGTTTATTTCACTTTTAAAATATCTGCATCACACTGTAAATATATGATCGAAAGTTAGCTAAGATAAAATTATTGTGGATTTATAATATATGCTCATATAAGCGACCACGTTGACCGAGTTGTCTGTATTTTCTCTTCTTTGAATGAGAACACAACGGGAAGTGTAAAAAGATAAACCTTGCACTGTGGCCTAAAGGTTTAATAAGTAAACAAAGAGAAATCAAATAATAATTCTTCCAGCTATTAAGTCATTCAGGGTTTTCCAAACTGTGTGCACATAGCAAAGAAGCAAAGCACGTGGTATAATGTTAATATTTGCACACTTACATGGAATGCCATTGATTTCACAGTGATCTCATTTGCATTCTTTTCTTTTTTAACTAAGGTTTAACTTATTGTGTAATTTTCAGATAAAATAGTACTAGCCCATATAAATTTCATGGCTTTAAGTACATGAACAAACTCCTTGTTATATGCTAAGATTCTTTTATTGGCACCCAAATAGATGCAATGTTTGAACAGAGAACCTGTCTTCATCAAGCCTGATAAATGCAGGTTCTCTGTCGAATTATATTGCTGCCATTTGGGTGCCAATTAAAGGATATTAACGTATAACAATCATTGCTGAACATTTTATTATTGTTTATACCCGGATTATGATGGGTAACTGAGCCGTGATACTTCTAAACCCTTGGAGGACATATATTCATTTAAAAAGTACACAGATACACAACATACTTTTGGCTAGTCCTCGTAGTTTTAGTCTTATTCAGATACATCAGTTTTTAATGATATCAAATCAAGCACAAAATAATGCAATCGCTATAAACCAGAAGTAGAGTTTAGCAACTTTTAACACTGCTCTCTCTTTTGGGACTACCTTTCCAATAAGTAATTTAATCTACTGCCTGCACAGTGAGAAATGTCACAGCCAATGGGAAATGTTGATTTTGTGTATTTAAATGCATTAAATTAACTGGGTATAGGTTTATGACCAACGCATACAAATATGTTTAGTAGAGTGATGTTTCATGCAAGACCTAGAAACCATGGGTTTTCTAGAAATAAGGAGAATTGTACTTGCCTGACTACAAAGTACTTAATGTGAAGGTTAATAATATAGGAAAGTTCTTGTGGTTTGAGGTTAATATTCTTATCTTCAATGGAAGGACTTGTTGAATGTTTTATTATTAGTGATGTCCCGAACGGTTCGCTGGCGAATAGTTCCTGGCGAACATCATTTGTTCGAGTTCGCCACGGACGGCGAACATATGCGCTGTTCGGTCCGCCCCCTATTCGTCATCATTGAGTAAACTTTGACCCTGTACCTCACAGTCAGCAGACACATTCCAGCCAATCAGCAGCAGACCCTCCCTCCCAGACCCTCCCACCTCCTGGACAGCATCCATTTTACATTCATTGTGAAGCTGCATTCTTAGTGAGAGGAGGGACAGTGTAGCTGCTGCTGATTTGATAGGGAAATTGATAGCTAGGCTAGTGTATTCAGTGTCCACTACAGTCCTGAAGGACTCATCTGATCTCTCTGACCTCACTACCCCCCACACCCTCAGCCTCACTACCCCCCACACCCTCAGCCTCACGACCCCCCAACCACCCTCAGCATCACCACCCCCAACCACCCTCAGCCTCACTACCCCCAACCACATCCCCAGCCTCACTACCCCCACACCACCCTCACTACCCCCACCACCCTCAGCCTCACTGCCCCCACCACCCCTCAGCATCACTACCCCCCACCACCCTCAGCATCACTATCCCCCAACCACCCTCAGCATCACTATACACACAACACACTTCAAGCAGCTACCGCATACACATAGGGTCTCAGACAAAAACACAAACATGCTCACAGAGACATACATTCACACACAAGGATACTCTCTGTCAGACACACTCTCAGGCACATACACAGGTAAACTGTATATGTGACACTTTTTTGTTAGTGGGGCCTCATGTTTGAGTTTCGCCTAAGGCCTCATAAAGTCTAGAGCCGCCTCTGGGTGACCCAATAGCTTGCATTTAAAAAAACCAAAACTTTTTTGACTGTAATATAATAGCAGTCAGTTTCCTTCACGAGTGTGCTTTTCAGGGCCTGCCCAGTGCCACCACTCACTCACTGGTGTCCCAATAGCTTGCATTTAAAAAAAAAACAACTTTTTGGACTATAATATAATAGCAGTCAGTTTCCTTCATGAGTGTGCGTTTCAGGGCCTGCCCAGTGCCACAACTCACTCACTGGTGTCCCAATAGCTTGCATTTAAAAAAAAAAAACTTTTTGGACTGTAATATAATAGCAGTCAGTTTCCTTCACCCGTGTGCGTTTCAGGGCCTGCCAGGGCACAGTGTCACACCAGTGCAACTCATATCTGGTGTAACAGTAGTGTATATTTAAAAAAAATAATACAATTTTGACTGTAATAGATTGAATAGCAGTTAGTTGTCTGCAAGCGTGTGTATCAGGCCTGTCACTGTGAAGCGGGCATAACCCTTACACTACCTGATCGATACAGCACGTTATTCAAAACAGTTTAGGAATGTTAGGTGATTTATGCCCTTTATGGATTAAAACCAGACTCTGCATCAACTATGTAACTTTCCATGGGAGTTTTGCCATGGATCCCCCTCTGGCATGCCACAGTCCAGGTGTTAGTCCCCTTGAAACAACTTTTCCATCACTATTGTGGCCAGAAAGAGTCCCTGTGGGTTTTAAAATTCGATTGCCTATTGAAGTCTATGGCGGATTCGCCCGTTCGCGAACATTTGCAGAAGTTCGCGTTCGCGAACCGAAAATTTTATGTTACGCAACATCACTATTTATTATTATAGCAAACAGCAAGCTAGATGTTTAAGCATTGTATCCTATGCTTTGTCAGCTAAAGTCCATACAGAAATCAACTGTCAACACTGATGTGGAATAACTTGAAATGCTAGTAGATAACTTGACACCCCATTCACCATAAATTTGTGGGATGAACTGACAATTTAACCGTGATATCTGAATAAGCAATATCCAGCTCACAGGTATCACATAGCCTTCATGGTGTGACAGAAAGTAGACTTCCATCTTTAGGTGACCAGTACCAACACACAAATCAGTCCTATATGTGACCAAATGATGTTTGTACATCTATAAGGCTGACTGAATAACGAGATAAAGACCTAACAAGGTCCAAACCCTGACAGGACAGTCTTATGGCTGAATAAATCAATCTCATACATTGGACTAAATAATTTCTATTTTAGGCTTGTAATAATAGAAAGGCAAAGCCAATGGCATATTTCTACATGTGCTTAGCTAGAATTTTAGCACATATGCAATTAGAGTGGCATTGTAAGAACCATATCCATTATGTGCTGTTGAGGTGGTTGCGGAACTACTAGTCTCCAGGCACTGACCTCTGGTTCTGGATCAGACCATTATTGTAGGGCTTAACCAAAATCAAGGGGAGCAGAGTCACCTACTTTCTCATGTGGAAGTTCCACATCTCCATTAGCAATAAAAGTTATGTCTATATTTGGATATCGTTGATAGGCTAAGTGTCTCAAACTTGAAAAATCCTTCAAGACTTTTTTTCACTTGACTCATTTGAGGCATTTTGAACAAAATAGAGACAGCAGTAGTAAGAATTTGTAAAAGTGAGATGATAAAGAGTTTAAGAAGGGTTGCAGGAGGAAATATTCAAACACAGTTAAAGCTCTGTAGTGTGTCAAAAATATTTCAGTAGATGTAGTGATGAGAGAATGCAATAGTTGGTCACTGGAGATCAGGTGGGTATATTGGAGAGTGAAGAGAAAACAATCACCAAAAACTAGACAGGTGGTTAATGGTAGATGATGAAAAGAGAGAAGGAAACGGCCAATATAATATGTTTGATCAATACGCATTGTGTACTCTACATTTCCCCTTTAACTGTAGCCAGTACCTTCTGGTACTGAAAATGTGTTTATTTGCCACAGCATAATAATTTTTTTACATGTTTATTTTCAACATCTCCAGTGCTTGCAACATGGTAATGGAAGACCCTGTGCATGCTTTTGTCTTTTTAGTATTGGCCCTGTTTCTGGTTCAAACCTCTTTCACACCTCTGATGAAATAATTTGGGGAAGAGGTGGAGTAGAGCAGTACATATATCACAGTCTTAAAAGTGCATACCTGTTTTCTCTGCCCCCTCTCCATCCACTGGGCTTCATTACCCAAAATAACACCAGAATTTGACGTTTCAGCTCTCTGTCTGTAGCACAGCATGCCTGAGGCAGGAAGGACCAGGTGTTTTTTTTTTGCCAAGGCACGTTTCCTGCTTCCCCACCAGAAGATCGAAGAAAATGGGTTTTTCTTAGGGCTTGAAGACTTCTTCCTTAGGGCTTGCTCTACTGATGTGCTCTAAGTATAATATGCATACATATAATCTTTTTCCATAGATTAATTGGTGATCTTTTTTGTTATTCTCTATACAGGTGCCTTTCTAATTCCATATACGATCATGCTAGCACTTGCTGGCCTCCCGTTGTTCTTCTTGGAATGCTCCTTGGGTCAGTTTTCCAGTCGAGGACCAATTTCTGTATGGAAAGTCGTACCAATTCTACAAGGTATCTTAATGTTAATGTCTCCAAATATCCTTTCACCCGTCTCTCCTTCATGGAAATGACTTGTTATGTTTTTTCATGGCATCATTGCTTTTTCGGTGCTTTTCAGGCAACTCAAAGAGAAGCAAAAGGTGTCCCAATTTGAATTAATTTATTTTTCCATCCCTCAAGTTTGGTGGGAGAGATTGAATGCAATTCTCTGTTTCTGAATGAGAGGTAGTTGTAGTCTACCTTCAAAGCTTCTATCTCAAGTTCATTTAGCTGTATTCAATAAATATTCAGCCAGTGTGCCTCTGGCTACCTCAAATATAGCTGAATTGGATAAATATTTCTCTAAATCAGCTATGCTTCAAGTTCAGATTTAGGTATTGTGACAGAACCATTTGTCTAACTATTGTGGTGGATTCGTCTATTTCTGCCCCCTTTCGTGTAAATGGCTGTTTCTATAGCCCAGCCATACGAATGACTGTTTTCACCGAACAAATTCACCGAACGGATGGCCACCCAGGATAAGAAGTGTGCTACTGGTTAACCTCTTGATCCCAATTAGAACGTTGTGGTTAACCGCAGACACTTCTCAATTAAACCTAATTCAGGGTGGCCGTCGTTCGTATGTCGACCACGAGGCAGCGGCCATTTTAAAACGCACAAAAGCGTACGAACACCGGCCGTTTGGGAGTTTTACAACACACAAGGACTTAACCCAGATAGCCTTCCCATGGAGTCAATCGCATACCGAAAGACTTTAAGGACTTTGACTCCATGGCGATTGATTGATTGATTGTGTGTGGGATCTGAGCGCTATTCACCAAAAATATGCACTCAGATCCAGGCTGTCTGGGGATATGTGATGCGAATGGGAAATGTTCGGTTATTTTAAAGTTATGTATTTTTATGTATTTTCTGGTTTTGTATTTAAGATGGTGATTTGTCTTTGTCCTGGAGATGATTGAATTACTTCTCAATTATCTCCAGGGCAGAGGGGAGGAAACCATATTGCATTGTGGGAAAAGATGTGACTGTACGTCTGACATGTCCCCATGTCCATCTGTAATTCCAGTCTCCCATTTGGTGGGGAGTGTCCACCAAGTGGGAGACCAGCATAAATACGGGCAGGTAGCCCACAGTAAAGCCAGATCCTGTTTGACCCTCAATGCGGAGCTTCTGTCTCGTTATTGGGGGGATTTATTATTTGCGCTTAGAGACTGCTGATTGGAACCGAAAGCCGCTTGGTGGATATCGTTGTTCGGTGGCTAGCAGTAGTTCGTGAATTTCCGTTCGGGAGTTTGGAGCCTTTCACGGATCCCGGTCGGGAGATTACCGCTTTTCCTGATGGGGTCTATGCGAATGAAGTTATTGGTATTGCGAAAGGGGAAGGCTAACTAAACGGCGGTTTCTCTTAAAGACACCAGGGGTGTCTTAGGTATAGCAGGACATATGCTAATAAGGACTCCAACAGTACCTCTACCCCAGAGACAACCACATTCACAAGTGCAGAAAATAGAAATAAGGACCAGGCAGTTGTATAATGGCCAAGGCAGTTTGATTGGTCAAGCTGCAGTAACCTTTTGTTCTTAACAGAACCTTCTTCAGATCCTTTTACAATACCGCAGTCTTGGGCCTCATTCAAGTTTCCAGTCCTTTTTTTCTATTTTCTATGCTTCAAGTTTGTCTAATTTGGCAATTTGGCCTAAAATTTAAAATTCACTTTGGCTTCAGGGCTGTAATAGTTTGATAGTTTGAAAAAACCCTAAAATCTGGGGTTTTTATTTATTTTTTTGGATAAATGTCAGTATGAAAATTGGAATTCCCATCTGGCAATTAATTACAATTAATAAGACAATTAATTTATAATGGTGGCTGTAATCATAAAGTTGCAAAGTTTGCAGTCCTGGAGCTTTTTTTCATTTCTGACTATTTTGTGTTAAATGATAAAGATCTCTGGCCAGTTCCAAACAATTCACTGTTTAGTAACTAATTGCTCGTTAAATTCTTCAACTCATTGGACAATTTGTAGTGATTCTTTATTCATTCAAAATATCATATTAAGGTGGAACATGTATCTTATAGTTTAAGTTAGCTCAATATATGTTTTTTCGTTTACTTCCAATTTTGTCTTTTTTAAATTCATGCTGATTTTTATTGCATGTTTCCCTTTTTGTCATAATCAGTATGAGCACATCCTGGGCTTTGAGTAACTGATTATCATTCCTTATAGATGATCCATTAACTATTAAGTTAGTGTTAAGTGTTTGCCCTTTAAGAAGTGGTTCATTGCCTTAGTCTTTATGAACTGGATTATTTACCAGAACGAAAGGTGTTAGACCTTAACGTCCTACTGTTCAAGCAGCAACCGTATTTTAAATTATGTTTGGTTATTATTTGACAAACTCACTGCATGCATCATTCTATCTTTTTAAGATTTGTTGCTGACGCTGGTAGTGGTGATTCTGGAAAAACATAGCTTTGTTATTATAAAATGTCATCCAGTAACATAGACCTAATGGTAACTTTACACCGCTTGGAATATGCTAGGCATCAGCACTTGCAGCAACACTCACCCCATTCCTAGCATTTGATTACACTGCTACAATAAGCTCTGTCCTTCAAACGGGACTAAAGATACTCACAGAAGTGGAGATCCACTAATCTGGCATACTTGGCAGGGCTGAATTTCTGCTCTCTCATGAACAGTGAGTGGATAATGTGAGCCCTGCTTATAGAGAAAAAGCATGGGGAACAATCCAGACATTGTCTTGCATAATCCCAATTATTGGTAACATTTTCTAACTGATAAAGTTAAGTGTTCGATACACTAGGCCAGGTGTAGGTAACCCATGGCACTCCAGGTCTTGTGGACTACTTCTGAAATTATTAGGGCAAACAGTACCCTTGTTTCTATTTGAAAGAGAAAAGAAATGGGCACATGGTGTGTAATAACCTATACATCCAGGTGTAAAGTATGTGATGTCACACTCAGTGATAAGCACTCAAAAATAAGCAGTACTGCCATTAGTGTCTCCTGAACTCAATAAGAGACTCCATGTAGAACTGCATAAATATAATACCTTGGTATGTCTGCTGCAGTCCATCGCTCCAATTCCTGATTTGTACAAATACAGAGAATGGTGCAACTTATGGGAGCTTTCATCTGAATCCTTTTTTTGTTGTTGTTATAATTGTTACAACAGCCATCATGCATGTGAAAACCAGGTAAATTGCCATACCTTGTCTTTATATACCTGAATTAAAGCTGTCCGATTGCCTGGAGCATTCTCTTAAGGCTGCATACCTTGAATTCAGTACTCATTTAGAAAACAAAAACAATAAAGTTGGAATAATCCGTGCCGTCTATTATAAAAGGCTATCTTTTATTCAGTCAGTGACCTAATTTCATGGAATATTTACATATCAAATCTGCATTTAATCTGTGTTTAATCTTCCTTCTCTGGGTTGTTGATCATCTAACTGATACAATGAATGTGTGTCATGAATTGGAAATAAGAGCTCGTGAAATTACTGTTTCTTTCTACCTGCAGACAATGTTATCTTTTCATAGTTATTAGCAACAACACACAATGGCTTGATTGAGTTCGGCAGAGCGTGCTTGGGTTTTATTTACAATAGAATTATTTTGAAGTTGGTAGGATAAATATTTCCTAGCAGCCTTCCTGTTTTGAGTAATAAACTCTGGCTGAAATATCTCTATAGAGTAGTTGTGCAACAGGGACTCAAAGACGTTATATCATGCGCAAAATCTAAACTCTAACAGATATGCAAAGCCGTTTAAACATTATAGGGCTTTTCAATTCCAAAATGTAACAAAAAGTAAACAGTTCAACAGTTCTGGATATGATATGAGATCACTATGGGTCTATAATTTTATTACAGTATGTGCATTTTGGGTATACACAAAGGCTGCTTTTTATTTCTTCTTTTATGACTTAGTTATAAAATTAGTTACAAAAATCTGAAATAGCTAGAAATGATTAGCCAGTTAATTTGAGATTTTAGATTTATGCTGGGAATTTTTTTCTTTACAAGGAAATGGTCAGAATGTAGAAGAATGTGGGTGAAGTTATCATCAAGCCATGTTCCCGACGTGCATCAAAGGACCCCTAAAAAGTGTCCCTAAGTAAAAACACCTAAGCTGCCTTAAAAAAAGGCTCTCGTTAGGTAAATGCATTGTCTACGAAAAAATAGTTTGATGTGGTATTGAAAATATTAACTGGATTCTCTTTCCTTTCAGGTGTTGGAGTGATGATGGTTCTTATTACAACATGTGTTTCCATTTATTATAACATTATTATTGCCTACAGCTTATATTACATGTTTGCCTCATTTCAAAGTATACTTCCTTGGTCTGAGTGCTTTGGGTGGGCAGATGAAAAGTGCAGTAAGACCATCCGAGGTACGTTTTAATGAAACAATTTAATCGACATTCATGCTAATGAATATGTGACTTATACCTGACTATAAATGGTTATATGATCACAGTTCATATGATCACTGTTTTATAGGGACCTCTCCAAAAAGAGATACCTTAGCATCATTTTAAATCTAGTCCTGAAAAATTTATTTTTTTAGCTGTCCCTAAATGAATTACTGATCTGACACACCTATATTGATATAATTGTGATTAAGTTGAACTCCTGCTGATGTTTGCTAGGTAGCATATCATAACTGACTCAAACCGAGACCCGTTAACTGTATTATTTAACTAAATCTAGACTAATCCGACGCAGACATAGTTTTGTAATTGGGATAATGCGTCAGCCTTGCATGCCTTGTCACCTTGCGTGTAGTATTTTTATAGTGTATGAGGTTTCCAAATTATCGGTGTCAGATCTACCACATCTTTCTGGACTTGTGCTACAATAGGTTGGCACATAAAAAACACCTGTAGGAGGGAAATAAATCATAAAGGCCTTTTTAGGATTGCCTTTTGATTATTTCTCTGCAACAACATATCAAATGGATACTCTATGCACCAAGATAACATTAGCTCAAGAAGCAGTTCTGGTGTATGAATCATGCCCCTGCAGTCTCACTACTCAATTCTCTGTCATTTAAGAGTTTAATCACTTGATTCTGTGTATGCAGCTATAGCCACACCTCCCCTGGTTGTGAATTCTTTTTTCAATTTTAGTCAGTACAGTGTGTTAACGTTAGAAGTTTTGATCTCCTGCTCTGCTCACAGATAGGAAGTGTCTGCAGGCTATTAACAGAGAAGGAGATAATAAATTATAAATTAGACTGTACAATAAAGGATGTTTAAACATTAGATTACTCTTTACAGGAAGTGTTTAGGAAGGCTGTGTAAATCACATGCAGAGAGGTGTGACTAGGGCTGCATAAACTAAGGGACTTAACTCCTAAATGGCAGAGAGTTGAGCAGTGAGACTGCAGGGAGATGATCTATACACTGAAACCACTTCATTAAGCTAAAGTTGTTTTGGTGGTTATGGTGTCCCTTTTTAAGTGAATAAACAATAAGGAGAATTAGATCCTCGTCCCTTACTTTGCACACATTTTATTTTAAGAACATGATTCCTCCTAATTAAGAGTTTCTCTGTATAAATGTCTACTGAATATATTATTCTATCTTTATTTCAGGTTCATGCAATGTTACGTTATTTGCAAATGATGTCGTCACATATAACCTTACCTATGTCAAAGAAAGAAATCTAACCTGTATGAAAGACAGCAGGGTCCTAGAGCAAGTGGACCTGCCAAGCAAACAATACTGGGAGTAAGTTAACGACAGCTCCATTATGGATACATCTTTCACTGTCGTGACTATTCTTAGTTGTGAGAGATAAAGGAAGTTCTAGTTCTAATAAACAAACTAGAACATGGGTAGGCAACCTTCGGGACTCTAGATATTGGGGATTTCATCTCGCATAATGCTCTTTCAGACATGATGCTGGCAAATGAGATGTAGTCTACAACATCTGGAACACCTGGAGTGCTGAAGTTTGCCTAATCTGAACTGGAATCTTTACAAGACCTTACTAAATCCTTTACACATATGCCCAGATCCATCCAATTGTGTTTCCTAGAGGTTCAGGACACAGGCATTATGTTGTTTAAAAGGCTTTAGATTTATCCATGGTAGATTGCAATTTGCAATGCTTTGTATCTATGTATTTTATTTTTTGGGAATGTACTCACTAAACCAAAAATTGTTGAGAGTCATTCCATGACATCATTAAGGCAGTCTTGGAGGCCTAGAAGAGAGTGATTGAGTTAAGATCCCTACAGGGCTTTTTTGCAGTTTAATTTATATTTGCATGTAGCATTGCCATATTTCAAAATCTGCTTGAAATACTATTTGGAAATTGATACTATATAATTTTTTAAATGTTTACCCTCTTTTGAAAATGTAGGAATTCTGGAATATAAATCAGTACATACAATTGCTGGTTTTGACCTACATTTATGCACAAGATATTACATCCATGTTTCAAATAAATATTACACCAGGGTGTTTAAGAAACAGACCCTTACCAAAAGTTGCAGACTTTAAGGTTACAAAAGCAGCATTGGTGTTATAGTCATGGGGGTTTATATTTTAGAACAGGATTATGAGAGGAATAATATACAGGTCTACATTAATTGCTAAAAAAAAAAATTACCTTTTAGGACTGGTTCCATTACTTTAAGAATGCAATCAAGAATATTGATTGCTTTAAGTAACGGATGATTATATTACATGTAATATAAAAAAAATTGTATGAACTAACATATCTCTTTTTCAGAATTTCTAAATTTAAGCTAGTCAGTTGTTTTCTACACATTGTACTCCGTTTCCATAAGAAGGTTTTTCCCTTTATATCCTAACTGTCTGATTAATCTTTGAAATTCTACTTCCAATTCAGTTAATTCACATTATACTGTTGACTTCTTCCTCAACGAATGGTTTTATTCAGTCTGGAAGTATGGTGGGTAAAGTGGAGATTTAACTGATGCTTCCAACTTAGTAACAGTATTTCAGCACCAACAAACCTCACCAGACAATAGGTAAGGTAGGGAAACCTTACAAGAGAATGGGCAAGGTAGAGAAACTTCACCAGACAATGGGAAAGGTAGGGAAACCTCACAAGAGAATGGGCAAGGTAGAGAAACCTCACCAGAGAATGGGCAAGGTAGGGAAACCTCACCAAGGAATGGATAAGTTAGAAAAACCGCACAAGAGAATGGGCAAGGTAGGAAAACCTCACCAGGGAATGGGCAAGGTAGGGAATCCTCACCAGAGAATGGGCAAGGTAGAGAATCCTCACCAGAGAATGGGCAAGGTAGGAAAACCTCACCAGGGAATGGGCAAGGTAGGGAATCCTCACCACAGAATGGACAAGGTAGAGAATCCTCACCAGAGAATGGGCAAGGTAGGAAAACCTCACCAGGGAATGGGCAAGGTAGGGAATCCTGACCAGAGAATAGGCAAGATAGAGAATCCTCATCAGAGAATGGGCAAGGTAGGGAATCCTCACCAGAGAATGGATAAGGTAGGGAATCCTCACCAGAGAATGGGCAAGGTAGGGACTCCTCACCAGAGAATGGATAAGGTAAAGAATCCTCACCAGAGAATGGATAAGGTAAAGAATCCTCACCAGAGAATGAGAAAGGTAGGAAAACCTCACCAGAGAATGGGCAAGGTAGAGAATCCTCACCAGGGAATGGGCAAGGTAGGAAAACCTCACCAGGGAATGGGCAAGGTAGAGAATCCTCACCAGGGAATGGGCAAGGTAGGAAAACCTCACCAGGGAATAGGCAAGGTAGAGAATCCTCACCAGGGAATGGACAAGGTAGAGAAACCTCACCAGAGAATGGGCAAGGTAGAGAATCCTCACCAGGGAATGGGCAAGGTAGGAAAACCTCACCAGGGAATAGGCAAGGTAGAGAATCCTCACCAGAGAATGGGCAAGGTAGGGACACTTTACTTGAGAAGGGGTAAGGTAGGGAAGCATGCACAGATTCTCAGTTATTCAATGTGTTCTTTATGTAAAAAAGATAATGGCATCTTATGGCCTAGTACATTGTTGGAAAAAGCAGTGAAGAAAAACAATACAAAAATTAGCCTTATTTATTCCATGTAATTTAAATAAATCTGTATATTATTCCTCTCATAATCCTGTTCCAAAATATAAACCCCCATGACTATAACACCAATGCTGCTTTTGTAACCTTGAAGTCTGCAACTTTTGGTAAGGGTCTGTTTCTTAAACACCCTGGTGTAATATTTATTTGAAACATGGATGTAATATCTTGTGCATAAATGTAGGTCAAAACCAGCAATTGTATGTACTGATTTATATTCCAGAATTCCTACATTTTCAAAAGAGGGTAAACATTTAAAAAATTATATAGTATCAATTTCCAAATAGTATTTCAAGCAGATTTTGAAATATGGCAATGCTACATGCAAATATAAATTAAACTGCAAAAAAGCCCTGTAGGGATCTTAACTCAATCACTCTCTTCTAGGCCTCGAAGACTGCCTTAATGATGTCATGGAATGACTCTCAACAATTTTTGGTTTAGTGAGTACATTCCCAAAAAATAAAATACATAGATACAAAGCATTGCAAATTGCAATCTACCATGGATAAATTTAAAGCCTTTTAAACAACATAATGCCTGTATATGCACTTATATAATCTTTCATAGGAAAGTAATGCTTAAACAGTTGCAATCTACCATGGATAAATCTAAAGCCTTTTAAACAACATAATGCCTGTGTATGCACTTATATAATCTTTCATAGGAAAGTAGCGCTTAAACAGTCAAGCGGCCTTGACGAGACTGGTGAAATCGTGTGGTACTTGGCTCTATGTCTCCTTCTAGCTTGGATAATTGTTGGTGCTTCCCTTTTCAAAGGGATTAAATCATCCGGAAAGGTAAAGTAGTAGTTTAAATACCACCAGGGATATTTACTATAGAGGGAATTGTAAGGAATTCAAAGGGAATTCAAAGGGAAATTCAGATTTAAAGGAACAGTGTACGCACTCAAACCGCTTCATCTCATTGAAAGTGTCCCCGTCCTCTTAACCCTGCAGCTGAAAACATTGCGGTTTTATGAAAACTGCAGTGTTTATCTTGCAGGGTTAAGACTGCCTCTAGTGGCTGTCTAATGAGGTAAGCAAAAAAAGTTATATTGACCCTTTGATAGCCATGGGGGCTGGGGTTGGTGGGGCAGAGGGGGCTCTATAATCCTAACACTATTCCTTTAAGGCCAAAGTATCTTAACTGGAGGCATAGCTGACTTGGAGAATTTTTCCTGTTCACTTTAAATTCCTTGAAAATTCTCACTACAGTTTTCATGAAAGTATCCATTATTATATTAAAGTAAATCTCTGTAATTCTGATATGATCCAATGGCACACAATGTTTAACCCCTTAAGGACGCATGACGTGTGACATGTCATGATTCCCTTTTATTCCAGAAGTTTGGTCCTTAAGGGGTTAAGAAGGCACTTAAATTATAGCACACGTGATGACTTAATAACTTTCGATCTAACTAGAACATAGAAACTTTTAATAGCACTGCGTTCCATTTTAGCTACAGAGCAAAGAACTCTGGCTGTCAGGCATGTGAAAGTCTTAGAAAGTCATAAACCAATTAGGCCCCTGGGCAATAGCCTGGCACCCCCTTTCTCTGTGCCATATAGGTTATTATCAGTATCCTCAAGTCTAGTAGATCACTAAAATGCCAACCTAGTGTAAATTCAGACAATATTAAATACGTTGACATGAATCATTAAATGAAAATGAAGCATACCTGATATCCAGAGGCGTAACTAGAAATCATTGAGCCCTGGTGCGAAAATTACCATGGGCCCCCCACATGTTTCATCTTCCCCAGCCCCTCCACACACCTCATTCCCTCCCCCATAGCACCTCCATACATCTCATTCCTCCCTAGCCCCTCCATGCATCTCATTTCCCCCCCAGCCTCTCCATGCGTCTCATTCCCTCCCCAATAGCCCCTCCATGCGTCTCATTTCTCCCCTAGCCACTCTGTCTCATTTCTCCCCTAGCCCCTCTATGTGTCTCATTTCCCCCCAGCCCCTCACTGCATCTTATTCCCTCCCCCATAGTCCCTCCATGCATCTCATTCCTCACTAGCCCCTCCATGCATCTAATATCCCCCCTGCATCTCATAGCCCCTCCATGTGTGTCATTCCCAAACCTCTTAGCCTCTCCATGTGTGTCATCTCCAGCCACTACCCCCTAGAGATACTTTTAATGTATATTTTAAAACTATGTAAGCTTACCAAACCTATTATTTCTGATTTTAAGAAGCTTCAAAACATCTTTGAGTCATAAATCATTGCAATAATGTAATAAAGACCGATGTCCCGATATTACTATTTCTTCTCTGATATTTTACTGTATAATATTCAGGTGGTGTACTTTACGGCAGTATTTCCCTACATTGTGCTTATCATCCTTTTGGTCCGTGGAGCTACACTAGATGGGGCCTTTGATGGAATTGACTATTATATTGGAAATCAGTCAAACTTTACGAAACTTAAGGAGGCAGAGGTATGTAGCTCTATTCTTCGACTTACTATTATGTTCCATAGAAATCTTTTTGTATATCATTTTATTTCTATCATGTTCATATTATACCTAAACGCATAATAATTATTTTTATTCTATCAAAAAAATAAAAAATGAAAGAGATGGACACATTAACAAATGCATGCGTGTCTAAACCTGCATCCAGGTGACCTGAATGATAATTAAAGTTATTTCTAAGCTTAGTTTTATATGCATCAATTTTCCACTACTAATCTATTTAAATTCATAGAGAAAATGTAAAACTATACAAATTAATGATTGGTTGCTTTACTTGTATTATGGGAGATATAATTCCTCTGTTATCTCTATGCCCCCTCTCTTTTGCCTACACTAAACATCTTCTCATATCTTACCATTTCACCGTCTCTCATTTACTTATCATGACTGCAAGCTCCTGAAGCATGTGAGCTGATTGATGAGTCTATCAAATGTCACTTCAAAGGCATACTTTTTCTAGAGCTATAACCGTCTCACATTAGAGTCATGTTCACCACCATACTCTGTTACAGCAACCATATTCCCTCCTGCACATCCAGATAACTTCTTAACATATTAATAATGCTATTTGACCAGGCCCTAAGTTCCACTGGACATTGAACACCTTCACTGACTCATCTTTATTTCTCGTGTTCTAGATGGCAATGTAGGAGAGATGTGGCCAGTTGTAAGAATCCCTAGGATATGAAGCAGCATGGATGCATAAGTTCTAGAGTTGCAGAGAAATCTTATCTCAGTTCCTTTACATGCATAAATAAAAGTAAATCGAGTCTTGCAGTAGAGTCTTGTTGCAACTGGCCTTTCGCATTGAACAGTTATTGAGATAAGATGTATTTTCCAATTCAAATCGACTTATTCCCAGTTAATGATTAATTAAATAATTGCCAGTGTGGTCCACCAATGAAACATAATTAAAACGACCTAAGTTTACACCCAACTACTGGTGGAAATACTTTAGTGAAAGCACCACAGGCTCCATGACTGGTGGTGTCTGTCCCTCTTGTCCCACCCACAAAATAATTTAGAGTATAGTTCTGCCTCTTTAAATGTTGAGTCTAACTCTGCCCTTATCTAAAGTTCTAGTGTTAGGAGCCATCCCCGAAACAATACATCGTTGAAATGGTTTTTTTTGTTTTTTTTTAAGCAGAATGTTTTTGTTTGCTTTTTGTGACATTTGTTATTTCTCGTTACAGGTTTGGAAAGACGCTGCCACTCAGATCTTTTTCTCACTTTCTACAGCCTGGGGTGGACTCATAGCTCTCTCATCATATAACAAATTTCACAATAACTGCTATTCCGATGCCATTCTAGTCTGTGTCACCAACTGTGCAACAAGTATTTTTGCTGGATTTGCTATATTTTCTATCCTGGGACACATGGCCTACATTTCAGAGAAATCTGTATCAGATGTAGTGGATTCAGGTATTTTGATCATTTACTTTCATGTGCAATTCCATTTTACTTTGCTTTTATTTTCTCATCCTCTATCATATATAGCCAATAATAGCTAATGTGGCAAAGTCTTTTGTTTAGAGAGTATAGACTGGCACCAACAAATATGGGTTAAAGCCCCAAAAAGCAATAGTGCAAATATAAAGTGCATGTCTAGTTACCGTATATACTACAGGAATAAAACTAACAACATGGCTGCACCCTACATTCAGATTGAGTCATAACCCAGGCAAATATCTGAGATATTTTTATGGTATATCCATCCACATGTAACACGTACTTTGTTGAATAAAAGTTATGCAGAGTTATTAAAGGAACACTCCAATGGAAATGTGTGTGTGTGTGTATATATATATATATATTTATATATATATATATATATTAATAATTTATTGGATATGCCCCTTAAGAAAACATTGCATTAAATTATGCATGTTTTCATTGGGAGTATATCTAGGAAAAGTTTACAAAAGCTTTAGTATTTGCAAGCCCTCCCCTTTGCACCTCGCCAGGCGTTCTGTGGCTGTCCAATCACAAACCTCACACTCACACTTTGCAAGGCAGGTGATCTGGGCAAATGCTGCCTCTTGAGTCTAGCTCCACTGAGTTAAGCAAACCAGGAAGTAGCAGGACCTGTTGCCTAACTGACAGCCAGGGGGGTGTAACAAGGCAGGGAGTGAAGAGAAGACACTGTCATATATAAAGCACTTTAGCAAGTAGGTTTGTGGATTGCAAATTTAAGGCATTTCATAATTAAGTAAAGCTTTCCAAATTATTCAATCCTGTTAGGAAACCTTTCCAAATGATTTGGAAAGTATATTAACCAGAGGCCATACTGATGCATTGTATGAGATTCAGAAATTCCTAATTGTTGCCTATGAATAATGTATGTTCATTTATGACCTCATGAGAAATCGGGATATATAACATTGGGAAAAACTGTTTTTTCTCCAGCTTGTTTTATTAGAAAGCATAACACTGAAGGGTTACTCGAAGCACCATGACAACTTCAGTGTATGGTGGCACAAGCAGAATTATTGTTAATTGTTTACTGGGGCTAGTTGCACCCCCAGCACACAATAACTTGGGCACCCTGAAACTCTGTTTAGGGACCCCTAATGTCACAAAAAAAGTCTGTCGCAAACTGCATGCTGCCGACAGACGTAACACCCCCTCCCCCCCTTCCATTTCTCCTATGAGTTATGATGAGGCATGGAAGATCTTGCAGGTTTTACAGGGGGGCCGAATAGTGATGCCCCAATAAGGCATCTGTATTATAAAAATGGATTTTAATTCTCAGGGTTAGAGTAACCCTTTAAGTAGAATATGAATAGTTTTGTTTATCTGAATGTTCTCATTGTTTTTCAGTAATATTGTGCAGCCTATTATGCTGAATTTCAATTAAATCAATATGCCCGTAGCAAAATCCAAACTATGGCCCAAAAATAAATTAATATCAGAAACCTTTGTTTTATTCCTCAGCAGTTATCAAAGTGATCACACTACAATTTCACGAATATTTTTCTGCATGCGATGCCACAAATTAGAAACCAGCATCATCTTACAAATGGGTTTAAACTCTCATCCCATGGTTAATCTTGCAATGTTGCACTCGTTAGGATGATATAGCAGAGTTTTTTAAAAAGTTGTCATTGATTGATTTTTTAAAATTAAATCACAGGTTGATGGTTAAACATAGCCAAGTGCCAAGTGTCGCCTAGTTATCCTATAATGTCCAATATTTGTATTGTGGTGTGTGTGTTGGTTCTTAAAGGTACCTTTAAACACACTTGCATGTATTACAGGGGTTCTCAACCCATTCCTCAGGACCCCCTACCAGTCCAGGATTTGGGGATTACCTGGGTGTGTCTCAGGTGTTTAGATTCTAAGGTGTTTTTTTTTTTTTTTTTTTCTAAACACCTTAGACACACCCAGGTAATCCCTAAACCCTGGACTGGTAGGGGGTCCTGAGGACTAACATTGAGAACCCCTGATGTATTATGTTATTTATACTGCTGTGTTATCTTGCAGATACAATGCTTACTTTTTATTAAATTGGTGTAATTAATTAATGTAGAATCACCAGGTAAGGTTGCTTACACACACCATCAAATCAGGGGAGGTGTTTGTCCTGTTAGTTTTGCTTACGCACTAAAACTTCATTTTATTAACAAATTATTTTGGGGTATTGGTTACTTGTTAAAAAAAAATGTCAAGTCACTTTTAAGTCATTTGAGATGTTGAATTTAGTTTTTAAAAGTGCCTCTTAATAAGGATTTTTGACGCTGAAACACAAGCCTTTACCATAAGGTATAAAACATTTTGTCAATGTACTAAATATGCTTCAAGTGTTGTCAATTGATTGATTGTATGGAAATTATTAACAGCTCATCCGCAGATTTCAATCAATGTATCTAGAATGTATTTTGAATATGCAATTGTAGTTTTTCCCTATGTTCCAATCTAATGCCATGCTAATTAGATCATGACATAGATTATAAATCAATTTTAATACGTAGTATTTTTTAATCAGAAGTAAGTTCATTTTGTTATAGGACTTTTTATAAAAGTGGGAGAGGGTTACAAACCAAATATATCATACTCTATGGACCATCTTTTATTATTAAAAAGTTGGTTCTTCAGTAATACAAATGAATCAGCCAAATATTCATTAAGACAATGATTAATCACCCAATATTCCTGCTAGAGAATGTGAAAACTCAAGAACAGCTGTTGTTTGTCATCAAACTGAAACGTTCCACTTATTTATCTAAATTCATGTTATCTAAAGAATGTCTTGTCATATACCAAGAGCTAGCTAGCTATTACAGACAGAAATGTAATGGCTATTTTACATGGAATTCAATTGTACATCTTTTCTAAAAAAAAAAGGAATTAATATTTAAAAGTATCTCAAGAGAAAGCAAAAAGCCGCACGTCAGAACTAGTTCACTTTAAATCTAACAATATTCTGATCATTTTGTAAACCATCTAGATCCTATTACAAACAATTCAGAAAGAAGAAGTAGTAAAAGTTTAATAGTAATGGGGAAAAATAAAACAGATTTTCTACTTTTTCAAAAGAGGCCACAAAATATTCCTCCCCTGCAAGTTAATCTTGCTAGTTCCAGAGCAAAGGTTATTTCATGGACTCCTGACAATTCACTATTTATATGCTACAGGGGTATTAAATATGGGCTTTCTGGAAAGCTGACATATTTAATATATAGAAAGAATTGACCCTCTCAGTACCAATGGCATGGCAGAGATCTTATGACAGCATGTGCCTATTGAAGATCCAGAAAGTGTTACAGCTAAGTAAGGTTCCTTATATGTTAACCTGTTCAGTAGAAATAATTTGTCACCCATTCCAGGAACATGTATTTTTTTTTCATTTTGAATAAGCATTCAGTGATCTATAAATTGTCTTTGGACATTTGTAAATGAATATATGGGAAATTTACATGCATTCCGATGCAATGTCATTGCCCCCGAATGGGACAGAGAATGAAACAAAAAGTTTATGGAGAAGTTTCCCTTCCATTTCCTAACCCGAATAGTATGTTTGACTATTTGTTAATATTTGTTGTGAAATACATTATAACTTTAATAAAAATTATTTGAAAAAAGATAAATAAATGAAGGAAAGAAAGGCTAAATTAGAGTTTGAAGAGTGGCTTTGAAATCAAGTTTTTAATAAGGGCATATGAACTATTGACAGAATTATTATATTTCTTGCATGAATCAATAACTATATTATTTTGATACATATACTCTCTAATAATTGATTTCTGTTATATAATTCAGTGTTTATCAAGTCTACATTGCAGACACAGCATATTTCTTCCATGATAAACACGTATTTTATTCTGTAGAAATCAAACTGTCTCTTGAGACAGTTAATTATTGCCATTGCTTTACATGGTTTTCTGTGGGAAAATGACAAATATGGGGTTTATTCACTAAAATGGGAACTGTATAGGTCAATATAGCCAATATTTTCCAACTTGGATATTTTGGGCTGAAATGTCATTAATCCACAATTCCTAGTTTAGTGAACAGCCAAAATAGTCATTTTCTACAGATAGCTACATAGTTACATAGTTACATAGGCTGAAAAGTGACATGTGTCCATCGACTTCAGCCTTCTTCACATTTGTTTTTTGCTGTTGATCCAAAAGAAGGCAAAAAAACAGTTTGACGCACTTCCAATTTTGCAACCAACTAAGAAATGGCAGTCAGATTAATCCTTGGATCCCAGCTTCTACCCATTGATGTTTGCATGATGTCAGTCCTAAACCCAGAAGTCCTACTGAAATACCTTTAATATATGCATTCAGTCCCCTTTATACTGGGCAGATTCAACTGTTCCACATGATTCATTGTCACTTGGAGTAATCTGTAAAATATGATTCCATGTAGAAGTTATAACGATTTCAGTGGATCGCATAATGTTATAACCCTTGATTGATTATAGTATGGAGATCGATGCCTCATTACTGCTTCTCTTTACAGTTCTGTAAATCCAAGAACTATACTATATATATATATCACTAGCACCCCATTCTACACCTCTTCTCAGTGACTAATGTCTTGTTTTCTTGAAAGAGCTATTCTTGCATATGAAGTGCTTTTCTTTGATAACGATGCTGTCCAAATTGTAGACTTAATGGCTTAACATTAACAGTTTATTCCAGCAAAACCATACCACTGAGGAAATACTGAGGAAATACTGATGATACCCCATCTCCAAAAGCACCTCAAAAGACTTTATCCCTATGGTACAACTCTGAACCATTTGGACTATTTATATGTATAAGTAACAGATCCCAATTACAAACTACTTGATTGCACTTTATATATACGTTTTATTTATATGCTTTTTTATTTTTTGCTCCATACTGATGCTATTTTAAAATATTTATCATATTTTGGAACAGCCTTGTACTACTGTTTCTTGTGTTTCCTTTGAGAGGGTTAGAGTGTTACCCTCTGCCGGGCCGCTGCCTACACACTCTCTCCTTTTTATTATTAGTGCTGACCTCTATTTACTGTCAGAAATCAGTATATTTCTGTCTGTTTAGAACTGGTATTTGCCTTGTCAGTGAAACAACGTTCTGAAGTGCAATTTAAATTCTTAAACTCAAGTGTGACTGTTAGTGCAACTTGTGCTTTTCCTTTAGGTTTTGGCCTGGCATTTATTGCATACCCTGAAGCTTTGACACAACTTCCGATATCTCCGCTTTGGTCATTCCTGTTTTTCTTCATGCTCCTAACTTTGGGTCTGGACTCACAGTTTGCCATGATCGGTAAGTTAGCCTTAACATTTGGTGAAAAACTGAGCATGGCTATATACTAGAGATATTGTTACAAAGAAAAAAAAACTTGATATTTCTTGTTCCAAGTGTGATTCTATGGTTTTCTATCAGCATTATATAAGGATCCAATAAATATAATTTTGAAATAAATCTTTCCAATACCGCAACTTCATCAGAATTTTTTCTAAAGCTCTCCCAGTAAGCTCAATATGTATCATAAGACAAAGAATTGCCGGGATCGTAATCAAATCTTTACTCTCTTTGCAACCACTTTCTTTGGTTCCTCAATATACGGAACAAACAGACCTACCTTCTCTACTCCCTCACTATGTGCAAGATTGCAATGAGCAAATGCATTACTCTGTGTAACATCTTGAGGGAACATCTAAAAGATTCCCTACCCTACACCCATACCCGATGCTGAGATTGAGGTAATCAGAGAAGATCTACATAAGTGGATAGAACGAGCACCATAATGACCCAGCATGTGACCAGCTGCCACTGAATTCCCCTGATGAGTCCTCTGACATAAGTGCCATACTATGCTGGCATAGTCGTTTGAATTCCGATAAGCTGTAACAGAATCAGCAAGGTTTATAACAAATGTAGCTTAAATTTATTCATTCATTGAAGTAGTAATTGAAGTAGTAATAGCAGAATTGTTTTAAAGTGTCATAAAAATAATAAAAATAATATGGTGTATTATTACATTTTTCCTTCTGCAGAAACAATTATTACCTCCATCCAAGATGCATTTCCTCAGCTCATGAAGAGAAGGCGGGTTCCTATCACTATCACTTGCTGTTCGATTTTGTTTCTTCTAGGGTTGGTCTGTGTAACACGGGTATGTATTCCAATCTGCTTGGAGCAAAAAAAGAAACCATCAGATCATATTAAGAATGTATCATAATAAGAAATCTTCTCAATGTCCAAGAACTAACATATATTGATATTAAGCCAATCATAACAAGAGAAATAGTTATACACTCCTATTGCAAACATATAATTCCCTCCCCTGAACCTGGAGATAATTAAGGCAGATAACATAATAACTTCATTATCTGCAGGCAGAAAAAGTACAGTTTTCCCCAACTTTCAGAACATTCTAAAAACATAGGGTATCCCCTTAAGTCATATCCCCTTATAGCCCTGATCTGGGTGACCAACATATCCAAAAATCACCCAGATCAGTTCAGGGGTTTTCAAATTCCATGGAGGTCTTAGGTGACCTGCTTCCCCCGAGGCTGCTGCCCAAAACAGTTCCATGAGTTTGGGTGGTTTTGCCAGTCTATTTCATGAAGTTGAAATAAACTAATAATCCCACGAACGGTATCCCCTGGCTCCTAGCAGCGATTGTTACCATCATACAAATGCGCAAAAGTATCGAACAGCGCTCTCCTTGCTGTTCGGGTAACAAAGATCCAGCGTTCGTGTGTTGGGAAGTCAGGTGTCCGATTTTAGTTCCAGACCCTCGACGACCAAGTCCTGCGCCTTTGTTCGCACAAACAAGATGGCCGCCGGTTTCTCAGCCACGTGGCATTCAGCAATACAAACAGCGGCCGCACAGGTAGAGGGTTTAATTGAAGCATGCTTTTGAAGTTAACGAGCCAGTGGGGTGGTCTCTGTTCGGTAGTTACATCTACCGAATGTAAAGGGGAGAAATAACGAACACAAAGAGGGATTTCTTCACAGTATTCCCCATAGGGAATAATGGACACCTGAATTTTTTAAATTAACAATAATATGAATTTTTTAAATTCACCTAAAGATGAAGTTCAATTCACCTGGATCACTATTTTTCACATTTCAGATGAACTAAAATTGGAAAAATAATACATTGAAATTAAGCAAATCTATTTTTTCCCAGTGCACCTCTCTAGTTGGTATAAGATTATATGTCAGCTCAGACATAACTCCTAGATAATAAATAAAATATCCCAATAGAACCTCCCCCCACAATATTTTGGGCATTATTTCCCATGTTGGTGCACCTTCAACAATGCAGTGTTATGTTTAGCCTTGGTGACATAGTGTAGACCTGATCATGTGACCAACATATCCAAAACTAAGGTTTTCCAAATCATTTTTGGGCATATACAAGATAATATCAAGTATAGATCTATACTTTATAGAAAGACTCACATTGATCAGGGATCTAGTATAACCTATATTATTGATATTACTCGTTTATTGTACTTTTACATCGTAAAATAAATGTATGAATGTTGCAGCTTAACCTATGTATATTTAAAAACAACATTAACCAATAATTTGTTCTAAAGTCAGGAATTTACTGGGTGAATCTGATCGATTACTTCTGCGGTGGATGGGCGATTCTTATTGCTGCAGTGCTAGAGCTGGTGGGAATTTGCTGGATTTATGGTAGGTTCACCAGGTGGCCATGCAGTACTGGACTTACTTACAATGTCTAATGGTAAAACATCACAAGTTTCCCCTGGTGTCCTGTTCCAGTATTTGGCTTCTGGTCTTCTAATTCGTGGAAGAAAACATGCATTCTCTTTGGAAACTAACCACCTGGAGCAGTATCCAATGCAGTTACTTATGCAAAGGAAATACAGAGATAAGTAGATACGTCTTATCTTTGAATAAGCTCAATTGTATGATGATCCTTGTGCACACCACACATCCAGAGCATGGCCAGCAGTGCCTAAAGATCAGTCTGCTATGTTGTGTCATTCCCTTTTGGTCACTTTTACATTAACGTTCTCTTTTATTACTTTTATTACTTCATTTCAACACAGTTGAAAAAGTGTTTTTGTTGTTTTATTTTTGCATGGTGAATCCTGTTTTGGCTGTTGCTGCTGTTTATTTGAACAATTTGCATTATCACCACTGTCTTTTTTTTATTTCTGCTAATCAAGTGATGCATTTGTATAACTGTGAATAATTATTTGTAGTAATCAGAAGTTATCCCTTCTTCTTCAGTTTGATAGTAAGTAGGATATTGGGGATGTTTCCCTTGTATCACACATATTATGAGAAATTGTATGTAAATACACATAATATGGGATTAAATAATGTTAATACCATAAAACAGATATTGCATTATATTCCTGTTAACTTCTAGTAAACATTTCCAGAATGAAACATTCACGGAATGTACCATCACCATCTTTATTGAGCTGTCACTAGGTGGCATTATCAGACTGCTACTATGTTCAGTAAATGTATTTAATAATGCTCTGGATTTTCATTTATTTGTAGGATCTCTTTTGAGATCTCTGTAGTAGTAGTATAAGAGAATACTAGATACAAATTTTCCTAGTATTTGGAAGGTATTGGAATATCTCCACCAAATGAATCAAAGGTAGTTTGCATACCTCCAAACAATTCTTGTGGGCTGCTCGGAGAAATGTTAGGTGACTTACTAAGAATTTATAAAATTTATATGTAATTTCGAACAAGAACAAAGTATCTTATTCACACAGATTGCTTTCTAAACACATTTGCTATAGTTTAAAGACACATTACTGGGAGTATTATTATCGTGGAGCTCTGTTATACATACCAACAATTTGGAGCTCCTAGAAAAGAGGGACATTAGGATAGAGAAGTGGGACAGAGGGATTTGGGGCCTCAATAGGGACACTTGGGAGGCGTGCCTTTGTAGAATGCCTCCATGACTTATCATGTGCTCTCTGAAAAATGGTGGTTGCAAGTAAGCGTCTGCCTAGCAGATTCAAGATCTTTGCACAATACACTCCTCTTTTTATTCTAGAGGAATGGTGGCTTAGCTCTCTTCCTCCATCCCTAGAGACTTGTGCTGCATTAGAGTGTTAGTGTGTGGAGGGAAGACATCATATCCCTCCATCCCCTGTTGTCAGAAATTTACAAAGAGAGGGATCAATTAAAAGATCTGTGCTGCTGTACCACTTGTTAGTAATTGGACCTACCAACTCTCAATGATTATGACCTAGAGAGGAATTATAACTCTTCTATGAATTATGTACTAGGAATTCTACATGGAATTCTGCACTGACTTGTTACTCCATGCTCATTAACTTATTTTCTTAAATTTTCTTGATTTCTTCTCCACAAATTAATAATTTCATAATATTTCCATTAGGAGCCAATCGGTTTATTGAGGACATAGAAATGATGATTGGAAAGAAACACTGGGCTTTCTGGCTGTGGTGGAGAGCTTGCTGGTTTTTCATTTCACCAATACTTTTAACAGTACGTCATTCCCAAGGCAAATATTCATGCAAAGATATTTTTTCCCATGTCTTTACTTCACAAATGATCTCAACATTAAATTGCTTTTATATGCAGAGACATAAATACATGCACAATGTCATATTGTGTTAGAGTTTGACAGTTTGATGGGTGAAGCAAATAGAAAATTGCGCAATCAAGAACAGAACATTCTAAGGAAAGCTTTTTTTTTTTATAATGTTCAAAAAATATTGAAACATAACACACATGTCCTAATGACTGATTAAATACACAAATTAGGAATTGCATTGTCTACATACAAACATAATTGGAAAAAAAGAATGCATTTCATAAAAGCAACACATATCCATAAAGCAAGAATAGCTACTTTAGATATATCTATCATTTGAATGTTGAGCAAGAATAATTCATAGTCTCAACATATACAATAAACACACACAACACACACATTCTCATTATACATAATATAAACGCAATATTGGTTCACATTCTACATGCATTGATATATAGATATATATCCTGCTCACACTTCCATTATACAATATTTTTGAATGAGTCGACTGCTGTATCAGTCCGTTTTAATGAATTCTCAATATATGGGTCATTTTAAGAGGGCAGTCTAGTACCCAAAAGCACTACAGATTACATTACATATCCCCCAAGTGCCAATACATGGTATGTAGCATTGTAGCAAAACCATTTTGAACAGTTTATTACTTACTTGGGTCCCCTCTACACACTGATTTATAGGCCACTTTTAAGTGGATATAGAGGCTAGGATCATATTCATTTGATATGGATTAAAGTTACTAGTTTGGGGATTCCGAGATATGTCCTACTGAACAGGGGCGGACTGAGAGCCTTTGGGGCCCCCGGGCAAAATTAGATCCCAGGCCCTTTGAAGGCCAAATATATGTGCATTTTAATAAATGTTAAATATAATTCATAATACGGCATTCCTTTGGATGTGTGTATTGTGAAGACCTGTGTATCAATGCATGTTTGTATTTGAGTCTGTGTGAATGCACTTGTGCATGTCTGGATGACTACATGTGCTTTTTTGTATATAGTGTCTGTGTGAATGCATATGTGACAGGTGACAGAGTGTGTGAGGGAGAAGGTGACAGGTGGAAGAGTGTGGGAGGTTGTGACAGGTGGCAGAGTGAGGGGGTACCTGGTGGCAGAGTGAGGGAGGGAGGGGTTGAGTGGTGGCAGAGTGAGGGGGAGACACAGTGAGTGGGGGTGACTGGTGACAGAGTGAGGGAGTGGGTGACTAGTGACAGAGGGAAGGAGAGGGGGAGACTAGTGACAGAGGGAGGAATGGGAGACTAGTGACAGAGGAGGGAATGGGAGACTAGTGACAGAGTGAGGGAATGGGTGACTAGTGGCAGAGTGAGGGAGGGAAGGGGTGACTAGTGACAGAGTGAGGGGATGACTGGTGACAGAGTGAGGGGGGGGGGTGACTGTCACTAGTCACCCCATCCCTCTCTCTGTCACTAGTTACTCCCTCCCTAACTCTGTCACTGTGTCACCCGCTCCCTCCCTCTGTCACTAGTCACCCCCTCCCTCACTCTGTCACTAATCACCCCCTCTCTCCCTAGTCACCCCCTTCCTCACTCTGTTACTAGTCACCCCATCCTTCTCTCTGTCACTAGTCACCCCATCCCTCTCTCTGTCACTAGTCACCCCATCCCTCTCTCTGTCACTAGTCACTCCCTCCCTAACTCTGTCATTGTGAAGGAAGGAAGGGGTGACTGGTGACAGAGTGAGGGAAGGGATGACAAGTGGCAGAGTGAGGGAAGGAAGGGATGACTGGTGACAGAGTGAGAGAGGGGGTGACTAATGACAGAGTGAGCGAGGGTGTGACTAGTGACAGAGTGAGAGAGGGGGTGACTGTTACTAGTCACCCCATCCCTCTCTCTGTCACTAGTCACTCCCTCCCTCACTGTCACCCCGTCCCTCACTCTGTCACTAGTCACCCCCTCTCTCACTATGTCACTAGTCACCCCCTCCCTCACTATGTCACCCCCTCCCTCACTCTGTCACTAGTCACCCCCTCTCTCACTCTGTCACTAAGGACAGAGGGGGTGATTAGTGACAGAGTGAGGGAGGGGGTGACTAGTGACAGAGTGAGGGAGCAGGTGACACAGTGACAGAGTTAGGAGGGAGTGACTAGTGACAGAGGGATGGGGTGACTAGTGACAGTCACCCCTTCTCTCACTCTATCACTAGTCACCCCCTCTCTCACTCTGTCACTAAGGACAGAGGGGGTGATTAGTGACAGAGTGAGGGAGGGGGTGACTAGTGACAGAGTGAGGGAGGGGGTGACTAGTGACAGAGTTAGGAGGGAGTGACTAGTGACTAGTAGTACTGAATGTGTTTTGATTCTTATGTTTTCCATTTTTTTCAGACAATTCTCGTGTGGTCACTTGTTACCTTTGAATATCCATCATATGGCACTATCTTGTATCCCACCTGGGGCGTAGCGTTAGGCTGGTGTTTGATATGTTTTTGCATTCTATGGATACCACTTGTGGCTATAGTGAAAGTGGTGCAAGCAAAGGGAAATGTGTTGCAAGTAAGTCGGCACAATACAGGCATGCACATGAGCATCAATAGATTAGACTACTGTGAAAGGTTTAAGGGCTGGGTGGTCAATATGAGGGGGTGGAATGTTAGACTTTGTACAATACATTACATTATGAAATATATTATATACACTGCTCAAAAAAATAAAGGGAACACAAAAATAACACATCCTAGATGAAATATTCTCCTGAAATACTTTGTTCTTTACATAGTTGAATGTGCTGACAACAAAATCACACAAAAATAAAAAAATGGAAATCAAATTTTTCAACCCATGGAGATCTGGATTAGGAGTCACACTCAAAATTAAAGTGGAAAAACACACTACAGGCTGATCCAACTTTGATGTAATGTCCTTAAAACAAGTCAAAATTGGGCTCAGTAGTGTGTGAGGCCTCCACGTGCCTGTATGACATCCCTACAATGCCTCTGCATGATCCTGATGAGGTGGCGGATGGTCTCCTGAGGGATCTCCTCCCAGACCTGGACTAAAGCATCTGCCAACTCCTGGACAGTCTGTGGTGCAATGTGACGTTGGTGGATGGAGTGAGATATGATGTGCCGGATGTGCTCAGTTGGATTCAGGTCTGGGGAACAGGCGGGCCAGTCCATAGCATCAATGCCTTTGTCTTGCAGGAACGGCTGACACACTCCAGCCACATGAGGTCTAGCATTGTCTTGCATTAGGAGGAACCCAGGGCCAACCGCACCAGCATATGGTCTCACAAGTGGTCTGAGGATCTCATCTCAGTACCTAATGGCAGTCAGGCGACCTCTGGCAAGCACATGGAGGGCTGTGTGGCCCCCCAAAGAAATGCCACCCCACACCATTACTGACCCACTGCCAAACCGGTCATGCTGGAGGATGTTGCAGGCAGCAGAATGTTCTCCATGGCGTCTCCAGACTCTGTCAAGTCTGTTACATGTGCTTAGTGTGAACCTGCTTTCATCTGTGAAGAGCACAGGGCACCAGTGGCGAATTTGCCAATCTTGGTGTTCTCTGGCAAATGCCAAATGTCCTGCACGGTGTTGGGCTCAGGGCCGTCTTTAACGCAGGGCAAATGGGGCAGCTGCTCGGGCCCTGTCCCAGCTGGGGGGCCCAAAACAGCTGCTCCTTTTGCCCTCTGCCCACAAACTATGGGGGCCCATCGGGTGGCCCATGCGCTGTGGTGCTTTAACAGCGCGACCGGGCCCTTGCTTTTTCGGCAGCACTGGGAGGAAGTGACAGCCGCGCGTCACTTCCTCCCACAGAAACAAGAGCCGCGCGGGAGGAAGGAGCTGTTCCGGAGGGGGCCAGGCCAGGAGAGCTTAACTCCCAGCCATCCCAGCCAGCCCACTGGACCCCAGGGAAGCCACCCTCCAGGAAAAGGTAGAAACTGGAGGGTGGTTATCAAATTTTGCATGAGTGTCTGTGTGTGTGTGTGTGTGTGTGAGTATGTATGTATGTCTGTCTGTCAGTGTGTCAGTATGTCTGTGTGTGTGAGTCTGTCAGTGTATGTGTTGTTCTGTATGTCTGTGTTTGTCAATATGTCTGTCAGTGTCTGTGTGTATGTGTGTTTCAGTATGTCCGTCTGTGTGTATATGTGCCAGTATGTCTGTCAGTGTGTCAGTATGTCTGTGTGTGTGTGAGTCTGTCAGTGTCTGTGTGGTTCTGTATGTCTGTGTGTTTCAGTATGTCCGTCTGTGTGTATATGTCCCAGTATGTCTGTCAGTGTGTCAGTATGTCTGTGTGTGTGAGTCGGTCAGTGTCTGTGTGGTTCAGTATGTATGTGTGTATGTGTGTTTCAGTATGGCTGTCTGTGAGTGTCAAAATGTCTGTATGTGTGTACGTCTGTCAGTGTCTGTGTGTATGTGTGTTTCAGTATGTCTGTCTGTGTGTATGTGTGCCATAATGTCTGTATGTCTGTCAGTGTGTCAGTATGTCTATGTGTGAGTCTGTCAGTGTCCATGTGGTTCTGTATGTCTGTGTGTATGTGTGTTTCAGTATGGCTGTCTGTGTGTGTCTCTGTGTCAGTACATCTGTCAGAATGTGCCTTTGTATCTGTATGTTGTCCATTTGTATTTGTGTGTGTATCTATATATATAGTCAGTGTGTATCTGTATGTGTCCATGTTTGTATGTGTATATCTGCATGTGTGTCAGGTTGTGTATCTGTGTATCTGTGTGTATGTGTGTCAGTGTGTGTGTCGGTGTATCTATATGTAGTCAGTGTGTGTACCTTTGTATCTGCATGTATCAGTGTTTGTATCTGTGTATCTGCATGTTTGTCAGGTTGTGTATCTGTGTTTGTGTCTATCTGTGTGTCAGTGTTCTATATGTAGTCTGTGTGTATCTGTATGTTCTTGTGTGTATCTATATGCGGTCAGTGTGTATCTGCATGTGTGTCAGGTTTTGTATTTGTGTGTATCTATATGTAGTCAGGGGGCCCAAGTTAATGCTTGCCCAGGGTCCAATCAGAATTAAAGACGGCCCTGGTTGGGCTGTAAGCACAACCTCCACCTGTGGACGTCGGGCCCTCATAGGACCCTCATGGAGTCTGGTTCTGACCGTTTGAGCAGACACATGCACATTTGTGGCCTGCTGGAGGTCATTTTTCAGGGCTCTGGCAGTGCTCCTCCACAAAGGCGGAGGTAGGTGTCCTGCTGCTGGGTTGTTGCCCCCCTACGGCCTCCTCCATGTCTCCTGATGTACTGGCCTGTCTCCTGGTAGCGTCTCCATGCTCTGGACACTACGCTGACAGACACAGCAAACCTTCTTGCCACAGCTCACATTGATGTGCCATCCTGGATGAGCTGCACTACCTGAGCCACTTGTGTGGGTTGTAGACTCCGTCTCATGCTAACAGTAGAGTGAAAGCACCGCCAGCATTCAAAAGTGACCAAAACATCAGCCAGGAAGCATAGGAACTGAGAAGTGGTCTGTGGTCACCACCTGCAGAGCCACTCCTTTATTGGGGGTGTCTTGCTAATTGCCTATAATTTCCATCTGTTGTCTATCCCAGTTGCACAACAGCATGTGAAATTGATTGTCACTCAGTGTTGCTTCCTAAGTGGACAGTTTGATTTCACAGAAGTGTGATTGACTTGGAGTTACATTGTGTTGTTTAAGTGTTCCCTTTATTTTTTTGAGCAGTGTATATATAATATATAGAGATAGAGAGAAAGCTTAGTATTAACAGAGTTATAGTGAAACACATCTATTCCCATTTACATTTGAACTGGAAATTCTGGGAGAATTGTGGAAAAATAAATGTGCTCAATGCAGTTTTTTTTTTTGCCAAGGTCCTACTTCTATAACTTCTCTCTCTCTGTCTCTCTCTCTCTCTCTCTATATATATATATATATATGTATTTATATATATATATATTTATATATTAAGGCCTTTTGGCCTGTAAATGTGGGAGGGGCGTATGACACACCCCTTCCTTACTTAAGGGACACCCCTTACCTGGCTCCATACCGTTCGAGGTCAGCGCTGCATGAGGATCCACTTACGGTTCTCGTATGGCGCCATCTTGGTTTTTCAGAAACCCACGATTTTCTTCACGTGTAGCTGTGTCCAGGAATCCTCTTGAAGGTCTTTTCCGCCCGTCCAGCTCCTCGTAAACTCCGGTCTTTGTCGAAGATAACGTCCCAGGGACTTCAAAATCGTAAGTCCGATGCCTGGATTATTCCCACGGCGTTCCGTTTTCAAACGGGTCCTCAGCTTTACGGCAAGGTCGCAAATCAACGTGGTTTCCCATTTCGGTTAAACTTTCATGCCATAATCCTTTCGTTATGTTTCTACCGTATGGTACTCATGTTTCCTAACATCATTTCGTTTCATTTCGTTTTCAATTCATTTTACCGTAAGCACTCATTCATGCTGCCTTCCGTTCGGTTTAATTCAATCTCTATACAATATCTTTCGTCTAGGTCGGTCAAGCTTTTGACGAATGACACTGTTCTTTCTTTTCATTCTAATTAAGCTTTCGGCAGTTTTGCTCAGTTATGCACGGCAAACTCTGTTTCTGTTTTTATATTAAACCAAATTCGGTTCATCTACCTTTTCTATGTACTGTTATAAATTCGTTTAAATCAGTTATACTTTCATATACCTATTCATCCCATACTAGGTTTCTACCTTGATTAACATTTTCTCATTTATTTGTTTATTATGTTAAGTTACTAAATTATAGATATTTCAGGTATATTACAGTAATGGTTTAGCCTGTGATTATGGCTTATTTCCAAAAGTTTTTATGGAGATCATGCTTTTATTACAACCATGTACATCATGATTACATGGCACTTACAATTTTCAGACCATTTCTTGGCATGCTCAGATGACATACCACGAGTATACAAGAACACGGTCCTATCTTTCACAAGACTTTCGGGTTGAATCACACGCTTTGGTACAACCATTCATACGTCACATTACAACAACTTTTTATGTTTCTGCATATTGTCACTTCACATCATTTTTCAACCTCATCCACATCATTCCATTTTTATGCCACGACACATATATATATTCAATACATGATCATTCCACCCCTCCCTGCACAATTGAATACTCAAACCCTAGCATTTCCCAGATCAGTTAGTGACATGCATATCATCTGGTCACCCTCTGTAGACACACAATACACGGCCAAGCCCCTGCTACCCAGTTCAGACTCAGCTTTACGCCTAGCATGGGCCAGTCATGTCACTATCATACTCATAGTCTTTTTCACCTCCCGCACATACTGGTAGAAGCCCAAACCCTAGCCTATACAGACCTCACAGGATCCATTCTCACTCTATCACATTTTGTTTCTACCCATTTAGGTTTATCCAGGTTTGTTGTACCTGTCGAAATCGCAAAACTTTATACATACTACCAGGTACGTAAGCCTGCTCACATTGTAGTTCACATACGTTTCATTTTCCCTGGGACATAGAGTACTGGCAAGTTAGGGGTATAGGCCCAAATAGGTATCTCCCTTCTTGGCATTCTGCCTATCGTTTAGTTGTCCGCGAGGCCAACACCCAGCCTCAACGTTTCGGAGGCAAACGCCCATCGGGCCACACGTGAGTTAGCCGCCTCGCAATATTATAGAGAGGGCCTCACCTGTCACTCCCTCCCCCTGTTTTCTTTTACTATCACCGAGAGGCCTACGATTCCTGCCACTACGACGGGTGGCCTCAATATCCCCTCGGACCAACGCATAGACAGAGCCTCTCACAGCCACTTGGCAACTAGCAGGGCCTCACCTGTCACCAAACAAGATACATTTTTCGCCTTTCCGGCCTAGTTAGCCTGCCAGTACCACCCCTGGGTTTCCATACACTAACCAAATATTTTGTCATTTAGTATGTCTCAAGAAGGGGTAGCGGATTTCTCCCTACCGGGCACTCCGGCTAGAGCAAACTCCCCATCACAGGGAGGAGAGGTGGCTAGTCCAGCATCTTTCAGGTCATGGACAATCCTTTGCATAACCAACGAACTCAGGAGACGGCAAATCCTATTCTCCGCAACAGCAAGGAAAGCGGAACTCTACAAATTACTGCACACCTCTACCGATAACATTGATGCCGGGGTAGAGACTAGCCAGTCTAACCCGGGAGATATACACGGCATGCTCTCATCCCTCATGGCGTCCATGAGCAAGGTCAATTCCAGGCTGGAGAAACTCGAATCGGTCACTACAGCCCTTACCATGGCTGGGCCGGCCGCGGCGACCCCTCCAGCACTGGTCGAGTTGCAATCAGTTTCTCCAGCCACCACCTCTGATGATCAAGAGGTTAACCCTGCCCATATGATACCTGAGCACCTCAAAAGAGATATCCTGGAAGGTAAAGATATCAACTTGATTTCATTGCTGATTGCCTCCCAGGATGTGGTGGAACATAAGACTTACGCTTATGATGATATTTCTGTGGTGGTCAAATCTAGGGATGCCCAATTAAACAGGAAACTGACTATCCCTGAATTTGTGTTGGCATTTGGCATTTATCGTGATGTTATCTGTGCAGTATATCCCCACAGACGTGAGGAGTTTGATTTGTATATGCACAAGCTGGTGGACCTGGGCAACAAATATGGTGGGTCAGCTTTCTATGATTACCATAGATCCTTTTCTGCCAAGGTGTCTGGTGCTTTCTCCCAGTACGGGACAAGGTCCAACTGGAGCAAGATTGATACGGTCATTTTCTGCAGACACTTTGCAGGTCTAAGAACACCGGCTTGTGCATACTGCTCCTCCATGGCTCATACGGCTAACTTCTGTCCAACCACTGCGAATTAAAATACCCCTTCGCAGGGCACTAGTTCCACTGGTTCTGCAGAAAAAACACCCAAAGACAAACTGGGACGGCCTATCAAGTTTCTGGGCAAGTCCCAGATATGTAATAATTTTAATGTCGGATCATGTAATTACAGTGCATGTCGACTATTGCATATGTGACGAGAGCAACCTCACCACATTGCATTGGAGAAGCCTGGTTACTCGCCTGTTACCTTTGGATTATGGCCCCATGTTACAAGACCCCTTTTTCTCTGCAGAAAAGACTTATTCGTGCTTTTCTGCCCTGTGTTCGGTAGATTCAATCTACCGAACAACCGCACGAATGACTGGACCACCTGGGAGCTGGAGTGTGCCGGCAATTAGCCTCCCAGAAGCTGTGGTTAACCGCAGCTTAATTGGCGAATACTGGGTGGCCGCCATTCGTATCACGAACACGAGGTTGCGGCCATTTTAAACACGCGAACGCACAGCGGTGTTCGACACCTAACTCATGGAACTAAAAACGGACACAGTTTGGCGCGAACACCACTGAAGCCGCCGACCTCCCTTCTTGTTCGGCGGGAATGCACGAACAGCCCGGTGTTCGGTAGTTTTACCTGACTGTATTATACCCCAGATAGGAATCCCATGGAGCTCATTCATATGAGAACTGACTTTGTAAAAACTTTGGCTTCATGGCGATTGAACTGTATTCATGTGGTCTGAGCGCCATTCGCTTAATAATGTGCGCTCAGACCTGAGCTATCTGGGGACATGTTAAATGTATAGTTTTATTGTAACGTGTGTCACATGTTGTATTTTAACAGTAATTCATGTTTTAGTATCCCCACGTACATAATGGCGATTTGCCTTTGTCCTGGGAGATAATTGAATTACTTCTCAATTATCTCCAGGGCAGAGGGGAGGAAGCCAGGATGCATTGTGGGAATACAATGTGACTGTGAGTCCTATTTGGCTACTTGTCTGTCCCTTGTTACAGTCTCCCATTTGGTCCCCTAGGGGAGTGTCCACCAGGTGGGAGGCCTGCATAAATACTGGGCAGATAGCCCTCATTAAACAGACCACTGCTTGACCTTCAACACGGAGCTCTTTCTCGTCTTTGGGGGGATTTACTGTATGCTGATAGAGACTGATTGCTAGGAGTGTAAGCCGCTTGGGTGCTTTGCCTATTCGTCTGCTAGCAGCTATTCGTATGGTTCCAGTTCGTGAGTTTGGAGTGCTATATTGTATGCAGTTCGGGAGATTGGAGCATTCCCTTATTTGCAGTTTGGGAGTTTGGTGTTCTACAGTAGCTGTGCCTGCATCTCTGAAAGGGGACGATCGCCTAAATGGTTTTAACCCCTTGTGTGCTGAAACGGTCCGTTACAGCATATCTGTTTAAAATGTTTCAGGGCACATGCTAAAACCATGTGTCCTAATAAAATGTATCCTAAACAATACTTAACGTCGATAAACATTTCTGTACTTACGACATTACTGTCACATCATCCATCTAGACATTTGGTAGAATTCATTATCTCTGGTCTATCAGAAGGATTCCACACAGGTCTCATACACATGCCTTCCGGAATCCTGGAATGTCCTAATTTACAATCCGCACAGCAAAATCCTACAGCGGTTGACACACTCATAGCCAAGGAAGTGGCAGAGTGCTTCCTATTGGGGCCCTTCCAGTCCCCTCCTTTCACCACATGGCGGACAAACCCCATCGGTATTGTCACGGGGAAATCTTCCCACAAACAGAGACTTATCATCGATCTATCGGCACCACACACCTCTGCCACTCCTAGTCTGAACTCCCTCATACCCTCTGAGGAATTTTCACTGCAATATTCCACCATAGATCATGCCATTACGGCTATCATGCAGGCAGGGGTCGGAGCATGGCTCAGTAAGACCGATATAACAAATGCTTTTAAGTTACTGCCTATCCACCCTACACTGTGGCACCTACATGGCATCAAGTGGGCTGGGAACTACTACTTTTTCTCACGTTTAACTTTTGGTTCCAAAAGTAGTCCAGCCATTTTCGACGTATTCGCCGAAACCCTATGCTGGTTATTATTAAATATAGCCAGATGCCCTACAGTTATACATTATCTGGATGATTTCTTACTGGTCGAGGAGAATATTTCCCCTCCCAGTAGCCTCAAGAAAACCATCAATCTATTCAAACAGTTGGGTGTCCCAGTCTCCCCCACCAAGACTGAAGGACCAGATACCTTCATCACATTCCTGGGTATCATACTAGACTCAGCCACCATGCAAGCGAGCCTGCCACGCACCAAGGTAGAAAACATTCTTACAAACATAAATCTCTACATACAACTTGCAACCGCAAAGAACTACAGTCTCTGCTGGGGTCACAAAATTTTGCTATGCGCATCATACCTCAAGGCCATGCTTTCATCTTACGACTTCTTTACATGTTCCCAATTTTTAGACATGATGCACACAGGTTATCCCTGGATACCGAAGCCATGGCAGACCTACTCATGTGGAGAAACTTTTTAACCACCTGGAATGGTAAAAGTATGTTCCTCCCTAAATTGTCTGACTCCTCACCTACGATCTGGTCAGACGCGGTGTCTACCACAGGTTTTGCAGCAATTTATGGGAACGAATGACTTTGGGGCAGCTGGCTAAGGACCTGGAGGGTTTTTCCACTACCTCAGCTCTGTTTGAGATGTATCCCATAGTGGCGGCTGCCGTGGCATGTGGGAATTTATGGGCAGGTTCGCCAGTACGTTGCTACTCAGACAACCAAGCAACTTGCCACATTATTAACAAAGGCCGATCCAAATCACTGACTATTATGAGATTCCTGAGGAAACTCACTTGGTTGGCTGCATGTCATAATTTCTTCTTGTTTTGTGTTCATGTTCCAGGTGTATGTAACACGGCTGCTGACAATTTGTCTCGCTTTAATTTCCAATTTTTTGTCAAATACTCCCGTCAGTCGCACTCACAGCCACGACTACTCCACTATTCCACCATCTAGTAATGGACTAGACGCTATCATGCAACATAGCAGAACATTGGCCCAATTAGCACTGTCTACTAATACCCAGAAAACTTACGACAGAGCTTTCATTTTATTTAAAAGATTCCTTTCGGAACACAACATCTTACAACCTTTCATCATGACATCCTTGTTGGGGTTTGCTTCTTTTTGCCACCTCAAACTCAAATTATCATACAACACAATCAAACTATATCTGACAGGCATCCAACATCACATGTTAACTTTACAACCCAACAATTCAAGTTTCATGTCCGCCTACCAAATTAAGAACATCCTTAGGGGTATTCAGAGATCCGAACCTCCACGTACGGCCCAGAGACTACCTATAGATTTCCATATTTTTTAAGACTTATCCAACTTACTAGATTTAAAACCCTTTGCCAACAGCACAAATCTTGTCATTAAAACCGCCTTATACGTAGCCTTTTATGGTTTCTTGAGATCAAGAGAATTTACCGCCATCAGCACAACACAGTCCACTCACATCCTACTTCATTCACACTTAACAAAGCACATGGACTCTTATATCTTGACTCTGCCTCATTCCAAAACCAGTCAACATGCACCTCCAGTAGAGGTTAAGTACTATCCTACTCACAACAGGTGGTGCCCCGTCAAACTACTGGATACATATACCCAGCATAACAACGCATCACCATATCAACCACTTTTCAGTCTACAAGGTTCTGTACTCACTACCACCACCTTTATGACACACGTCAGGTCTTTACTTAAACAGCTGGGCCTCAAATCTGCTAACTATTCGGGCCACTCCTTCCACATAGGAGCGGCCTCCACAGCATCCAGTGCAAACATCCCAGTTCATGTTATCAAGTCACTGGGGCGCTGGAAATCATCCGCTTACTCTAGATACATACCTAACCCGGTACAAGAAGTAAGAAATGCTTTTCAAGACATCTTCTGGTTAAATGTATGTATATTGCTGGTATGTAATACATTTGATTTTCTATTTTTGCCCTCTTTATTTACAGGCCTACCTCATCGTCGGTTCCAGCACACCACAACCGACTTGCTCTTTTAATACCATCCTACACTTATCAGTGTTTGTTTCTTCTGTACCATCATGAGCCCATAACACAAATATTAAGGCCTTTTGGCCTGTAATTGTGGGAAGGGAGGATGACACACCCCTTCCCTCACCTGGCTCCATACCGTTCGAGGTCAGCGCTGCATCACCCTCTCACCACTCCTCATTACTAACTCCCTTTTCTTTACATTTCTTCTTGGTGGGCCCTCTTTATTTACAGACCTACCTCATCGTCGGTTCCGGCACACCACAACCGACTTGCTCTTTTAATACCATCCTACACTTATCAGTGTTTATTTCTTCTGTACTATCATGAGCCCTTAACACAAATATATATATATATTAGAAATTAGAAAGATTTCCATAGATGTGATTCAGCCTTTTTTCTTTCTGCCCTTACATAATATTTGGATCATATACTCTATGACTGAATATAAGAAAGAACAATAATTTAGCCTGATTGACCAATTAAATGTGTTACGTGTGTATAGTTAAGGACTATAATCTATGCAAAGTATCACTCTGCAACAGCGAGATTATGGGTGGGACCATGCCACATATCGTTGCATTACCAGTTTTATAATTTATTATTACATAATAATAATGCTACCTTCCTATTTGTATTGAAGTGCTGTCGGCCACATGGAACCTGGGGACCAGCATTGAGCCAGCACCGAGGGGATCGATACCAGCACATACCTGATGACCATAAAGAAAAGAATGTTGTGGAGATTCCAACAATCAGTGCCTTGGATGGATATGATAATGATGCTTATCTTTGACCACATTGGTCTATATCAGTACTTTTGGCAGATAACTGTTCTAGAGGGCTTATTCGACTATATTAATGTTCTCCTCATGGAAAGGGATCTCTACTGCATAGCACTGAACTTGCTACATGTATTTAAAGTAACACTCCGAAAACCCGGCACACTGTAGTGGTTATGGTGACAGGAGTACCTTAGCATATGCCCATTTTAAGTATTCAAACCATTTTAAGAACAGCTTGACTTTTACCTGGGGTCTGCCTGGAAGCCACCTCCTGCCTCCACCACTCCCGACTGAGAGCCAGAAGATCCTAAACAGGAGCTTCCATTAGCTCTCCTGAGCTAAGCCCTGGAGTGCAGGACTAGCTCACTTGCTGAGAGCATCAAAGAATTACTCATATCTAAAGAGCTAAGCCTTGCACCACCGGGCATAGCTCAGACAGAAATCTTCTGGCTCTCTATCAAAAGTAGCGGAACCTGGGTAAGACATCAAACCATGCTGAAGTGGTTATGGTGCTTGGAGTGTTCCTATAATATACTTTTACAAAGAAAGGCTGCACACACCCAGACAAACACACAAACAATATAAGCGTACCAGACACATATTCAATTTTTAAAAAGCACACTTAATACTTAAAAATACTGGAGGGGTTTAAGTTTTAATGAACACATGACTTGGGTAAAAATAGCATTCAACCTCTGTGGACTCTGTATAGTTCATGCTTTACGCTAAACTTGATTTTGAATGGCAAGCTACCACAATTATATATATATATATATATATATATATATATATACATACACACACACACACAATTTCTAGTCAGTGCTGGACATGTCTTTTTCCTGTTTATTTTGTTTAAATAAATTTTTTAAAAATCAACATTTTTATGTCTTACAATCTTATTAGAACTCTAATCAATAACAAACTGTATATTCATAATATCGGTATCTGCCCTTTTCTGTCTGTCTAATTCTATATGTCTTGTGTGAGCCTGTCAGTATTCCAGTAAAAACACCTCTCACACACGGTTAGATACTTTTCATATGTGGGTTTGTTTCACAGATGTGTGTCACAGGTTTATTTATCTGTATTTGTACTTTAGTGCCAGGCAGAGTTCCTTTACCAGCCAGTGAAGTTTAAAACACTTGATGCATAAATATTATAATCTATCTAAAATGTATAAATAATTGGGCAAGAAGTCAAGACAACCAGCCATCACCACTTCTTTGGATGACTATATCACAACGCATTAAAGAACTCGGTAGCCATATCTCCTATTTGAGAGCCCAAAATTAAAAAAGAGAAAGCAAGAAAGAAAAAATATTTATCTTGTTGGGACACAAATCAAGATCAATGTTTCAGTCCTACACTGGACTTTTATCAGCTTGATAGGACTGACACGTCGATCTGTGTTTGGGAAGAGTCTACTTCAATAAAAGGAACACCATATTTATGAAGTCATGCGAGTGCTCTCTTTTGTTTAGTTCTGCATTTTTGGTTGGAGTTTTTGCAAGGAATTGTATTGCAGAGCCATTGATTGCTTTGCCCATGTTTTGTTTATATATAATATATTTCTACAAAACTGCTCATCTTCTTCAGCTCTGAACATGATGGTAAAATGTTGTTGTCACTTTGGCTTCAAGGAGTTAACAGCTGGGTGTAAACTAGCACTTATCCTCAAAATGTATGAAGGTTGCCAGATAAAAGGTTGGGTGAATATCATGATGATTTAACATTTAAAAGCTCTATAAGCGCCTACCTAGAGCCCAAGACAATAGAGAGGCTCCTCCACTGGACCACCAGGGAAGGCTCTCCACCAAAGCACCAATGAATGCCTTCTAGTGGACAATCAGGGACATTACTCCTATCCTGCCAAACCATAAGCAGGGGAGGGGGAATAAAAAAAGACTCCTTTAAACTTCTCTCCCAACATTCAGACTCAAGAGAACACAGCTTCCCCAACACACGGTACTCAGTCACACTCAAATTCCCCTCAGCACACACACACAGCGCTCAGACACATACACACTCTTGTCCTCCCCACCACATCTAGCGCTCAGACTTCTCAATACATACAACACTCAGCCACTACACACACAATGTTCACAGAAAAGAGCCTAGGGCTGTAGAAGGGGGCCCCAATGTGGCATTGTGCCTAGGGCTCTAGGCAATCTAAATCTGGCTCTGCCCTAAAGTCTGCAGAACCTGTTCTATTACCCACAGCGTGGTATGGAGCATGCACAAAGACGTCTTGACATTTCATATTCTATAATCCATTACTAGGTAAGATTTTTTTTCAGAGATGCCATATTGTATATTTTTTTCAGAAATGCACTCTTGTATGATTATTTATGTTACTGTTGCCATACTGTCAGCTTGATATAGGGTGGTCATTCCACTTTTGCTCCTCATCGAGAATTCATTTTTACTCATAAAACTGTCACTCTTTGGGAGTTTCTTACATTGTTATCTGTAAACTCTATTGCTCTATTGTATGTAAAATTATCATTCTCAGGAGATTAGCAGTTGCTGAAATATTCCCGTCTGGCACCAATAATCATTCTAAAGTTGAAGCCCTTTCCCTATTCTGAAGTTTGGTATAAAAAACAACAAAACCTCAGGTTGCTGACATATGGTTGTCTGATTAGCTATTGCATTAATAAGCAGGTTTGGTTTATAACGTGGGCAAGAGTGCACATTGAATATAAGCAATGTATACTCTCTTAAAGTGGCTTTGTCATGTCAAATTTACCTTTCTCCTATTGTGTTTGAATGTAAGCATGTTTTTGTATGTAGTATGTGTGAGTGAATGTAGGGGTGTGGCATTTAAATTCAGGCGTGCGTTTTTGTGTAGTGTTTTTTTTTAATAGTATGGTGTGTTTTTATGTAGTGTTGATATTTGGATGCAGGGGTGTATTTGTGTGTAGTGTTGGTGAAATGCTGAGATCATAAGCGTGTGCATGGGGTATGCCTGTATGCCTTGGCACACCCTAATCCCCGCAGCCCGCACAATGTGCCTCCCTCCGTGGGCCGGTGAGGGAGATCAAAGATCTCCCTCATAGGCCCACAGCTGCATGGAGGGAGGCAGGACAGGACCCGGGGAACTCTTGTCAGCAGCTCCGCCGGGTTCCTCTCACGATGTCGGCAATGCTCAGATCTTGCGAGAGTTCACTCACCACTGGACCACCAGGGATGGCAGCAGCACGGTCCCCCCTCCCTACATAAGGTAAGAAGGGAGGGAGGATATTAACTAAATGGCCCCCACATCCCCACATATTACTCTCTCCACACACATACAGCACCCTTACACACACACACATCACCCTTACACACACAGCGCCTGCTCACACACAGCGCCTGCACACACACATAGCGCCTTCACTCACACACAGCGCCGACACACACACAGCGCCTGCACAAACACACAGCGCCTGCACAAACACACAGCGCCTTCACACACACACAGCGCCTTCACACACACAGCGCCTTCACACACAGCGCCTTCACACACAAACAGCGCCTACACACACAGAGCACCCACACACACACACAGCACCCTTACACACACAGCACCCACACACGCACACAGCACCTTCACACACAGCGCCTTCACACACAGCGCCTTCACACACACACATCACCTACACACACACAGTACCTTCACACACAGTGCCCACACACACACAGTGCCCATACACACACACAGCACCTACACACACAGCACCTACACACAGCACCCTTACACACATACACATACACACACACACACAGCAGTATATATACACACACACACATATATTTACTGTATATAAATATATACGCAGCGCGTGTGTTTGTGCTTTAGGGTGCACACCCTTATACAATAGTCTGCGCACGCCTATTGCTGAGATGTATGCACATATACACATATACTCAAATATACACACTCTGGCAAACATGCAGGTACATAGACACACATGTGCACACACTGGAACATACAGATACACAGACACATAGGTATACACATGCAGATATATAGAAACATGGTCATGCACAGATACAGACAAACTTTGACACACAGATACAGACAAACTTTGACACACAGATACAAACACACATATAGATACAAACACACACACTTACAGACACACATATACAGAGACACATAGGCACAGATACACTGACATACAGACACTGTCACACAGATGCAAACACAGACACACAAATAGATACACAACACAAACAGATACACAGACACATCGGTATAAGCGGGTGTGTTTATGTATGCAGTGTGTATTTGTGTAGAGTATGCAGTGTTTGTGTATTTTCTGCAGTGTGTGTATAGTGTATGCAGTGTGTGCATATAGTGTATGCAGTGTGTGTATATAGTGTATGCAGTATGTGTGTATGCAGTGTGTGTCTGTATAGTGTGTGTGTAGTGTGTGTACAGTGTGTATGTATAGTGTGTATGCAGTGTGTGTGTATATAGTGTGTGCTTAGTGTGTATGCAGTGTCTGTATATAGTGTGTATGCAATGTGTGTGTATAGTGTGTATGCAGTGTGTGTGTTTAGTGTGTGTTTAGTGTGTATGCAGTGTGTGTATAGTGTGTATGCAGTGTGTGTATAGTGTGTATGCAATGTGTGTGTGTATAGTGTGTATGCGGTGTGTGTGTAGTGTGTCTGCACTCTGTATAGTGTGTATGCAGTGTGTGTATGTATAGTGTGTATGCAGTGTGTGTGTATGCAGTGTGTGTGTGTGTGTGTGTGTAAAGTGTGAATGCAGTGTGTGTGTAAAGTGTGAATGCAGTGTGTGTGTAGTGTGTATGCAGTGTGTGTGTATAGTGTGTATGCAGTGTGTGTATAGTGTGTATGCAGTGTCAGTGTGTATAGTGTGTATGCAGTGTGTGTGTGTGTAGTGTGTATGCAGTGTCAGTGTGTAGTGTGTATGTAGTGTCAGTGTGTATGCAGTGTGTGCGTAGTGTGTATGCAGTGTGTATGTAGAGTGTGTATGCAGTGTGTGTGTACAGTGTGTGTGTGTTGTGTATGCAATAGTATCACACCTAGGACTAAGGGTAACGTCTAACTGGACCTTAGAATGGCCGGACTTAACATACCGCAGAATAGTCAAAATACTTGCCGAGGTCAGGAACACAAAATGAGACACAACGATCAGGAAAGCCAGAAGTCACGGATACCAGAAATCAGGGAAGTCAAAACGAAGCCAAAGTCAAATACCAGAAAAACGCAATCAGGAACACACTCTCAGATAACCAGCTAGTGGAAACCACAACAGGGCAAAAAAGAAATAAAGAAATGGGCTTTTATAGCCCTTCCCTATAATTCATTGGTGGACAGGGATCACCTGACTCCAGAACGTGCGTGTGCGCTCTTTGTGTGGCCACACACGCACGTCTGTGTGACCTCTAACCCTGCTGAAGGCAGGGCTATATCTTATATTGCTTTTACAGCAGTCAGCGTTTATTAGAACGCCGCGATCGCTGGGGATGGACGGGTGCAATTCGGGTGCAATCCGCCACAACTTAGGTAAGTTTATTTTTATGTTTAATTGGCTGCACCAATCAGTTGTGGCCACGTGGTGTCGTGGGCCAGGGGCCTCGACAGAAACGTCTCTGACGGCGTGGCTGCTTAGTTTGAGTGCATCCACACCGGCAGAGATGTCACGAGCTGTGACAGGGACTACCTTGTCGCATGTATTTTTCCTATATTTGAGAAATCTTGACAAAGGGTGAAGTCTATGGCAAGCTCCACTTCTTTTGTTAGCTTGACAAACTTGACAAAGGAAGTGGAACTTGCCTTAAATTTCCCCCTTTTTTCAAGATTGTCAGGCGTAGGAAAAATACACAAATACAGAGTAGCCCATCCTTTGTCTTATGTTTTAAAAAAAACTGGATCAAAAATGAAGTAAAGAAGAACTGATTCTGAGAGAGGAAGAGAAGAGGAAACAATAGGAGAAAGGTAAGGTTGAAAGGAGAGAGCCAGAGTCCCCGACAGCCTGTTCTTGTAGAGCAACAATGATTGATATGTTTGTCTGAGAATGTCAGCTGACAGCCCTTGGCCTATCACAACTGCACAGTGCTGGTATGTGTTGGTATGGTTAAGCCAGTGTGTCATCTCTGCTTTAGATATACGTCAGAGCTCTGGGTGACCAGAGAGACCCTTTTTTGGGGTACAATCATTCAAAAAGGATTTAACAACAAATGGAGGGACAGTCCCAGAGAGATGACTGCACACACTATAGCCAATTCAGTGAGATGACATGGTTATAGTGCTTGTAGTGTCCCTTAATAATATCAATATTATGGGCTCTTGTGCCCATAAAAATAATGTGTACTAATTAAACCACACAGAGCATCATTACAGTATGATTTTTAAGTACAGTAATTATATATTGATCTTGGAACCAGATGTAGTAAAATTATACCTTTGGCTGTCCTATTTGTATAATTAACTGACTCATCAGATTGATGTTATTATGCAATTAGTATCTCAAAAGTTTCAGTTTCCTGCTGGTATAAACGTTATTGCTTGATGTACATTACAAGAGCAAGATCAGAAATATAAATCAATCACGAGTATAAGGTTTATTGGAGAATATTCATCCCCACAAATAAAACGTTTCGGTCCTCACAAACCCTAATCATGCATATAAATACAATGTGAAACATGGTTTTAAACATAAAGAAGATCACATGATTACTATTTATTGGCAATCAAGAAAAACAGACGTGGATTAAATTCCCATAAGGTAAGTAAAATATTGGAAAATGGAAAACAGATCAACTATAACAATGTCAATGACGTACACAGCAGGTATTCAGCTAGTTAAGCTGCATCTGATACATACATTGTTTTACCAAAAGAGAACAATACTACAAAATAATACATTAAACAAACATACTCTTTCACCAAAGTGGAGCTGCCACAAATGAAGCTGGACACATGGACACAATGGATAAAAGAACTATGGACTGTGCAGCCTGTATACTAAAACACAAAAAAGGACATATGGACATTTATTAAAATCCAATAGAATTTAATAGCATGAAGTTTAATAAGAATTCCTTGTTCAGAACTATTGGCCACATAGTATTTAGCATATGAGTTCAATAATCTTCTCTTATTGTAATAACTTATTAAAAAATCCTGGTATTGTAAGACTATCTGTTATTGTAAGACTAACAGATCTTGCACTCATGCCCAAATTGTATTTTTGATCGCATTTTGGAGACACTATTGTACTCCCATTGGTGACACCTACTAGTAAATTAATACAAGAGCCAGCCACTCTTGTCAATGTCATTTTTCATTGCAAAGCAAATCAAAGCTGAATCAATAAAGCTGATCGTGCTGTCTTTATTGTTCCAGAACTGATTTTCAGCTTATTAATAAATAGACACATTTACCTGCCTAAATCCGTTCTGACCAAGTTAATCCAAATCTCGGCAAATTTGCTGAAAATGAAAGGCCTATCCTCTCAAACAGTAAAAAACTTTTAAAGGACAAAACTGTAATGCAGTATTCTGATAGTCAAATAGGAGAGGAACTTTTAGAGCAATTAGAGCTATCAAACTTTTCAAATCCCTGTATTTCACAAATATATAATTTAACTGGTTTCCTATATGTGGGATTTATGCTTAGATTGAGATGTTATTTTTACATTCTGTTAAATTTTTTAGGAAGCTGTTGCGTTAAAATATATCTTTAATGTCCTTACAAAAGTATGTATGCAAAGAGGTATTCAACTATTTTTATCTATCCATTTTGAATTTGTATACCTTGTGTTTATTTGCCTCTCTGGTAATACATCAGAGTCGGTGAGAAATATTACAAGTTGAGATATAAAAGTCCGGGTTCCCTAAAGAGATTAAAGTTTTTGTTTGTGTAAATGTATTCTATTTTTGGAGCAGAAATCCATGTAAAATGGTTGCTTATTTCTGCATTTATCTGTAAGCTATGCCTTTCACGTGTCAAATAAATGTTATGTAATTCTGGTGCTTGGCGGTGAAGGGGTTAAAATAATTGGGATTACCTTAAAGACAGCTTGATAGATTTCCTATAACATTGGATTGCCTAATCAAGTCGTGAATTCTTCCCAATTTTTTATATAGAGTAAGAGGTGTAGTTGAGTAATTAATGGGAGTTGATGGGTTTGCACATACTAATTAATATGAAACCTTTTTGTTGTGCAGCTGGTTCGTATTCTATTCTATTTAGTTTTAAACACATACATGATAACAACAAAGACAGTGATTCTGTGAAAATACTGTTCAGTAGAGACTATGGGAAATATAACCACACCAGGATGTATTAAGTGCTGCAAGAAAACACCACCTGATCCTAAAGTAAGTGATTTAAAAAAATACACCAAGAATTGCAGGCTTTTTTTTTTTACATTGTATTTTATATCTTGCTTATTCCATACTCATATTACACGTGAAAAATATTTTACATTCAAAAAAATTAAAAAAATAGTTTTTCTCTCTATTCAAACATCAAAATATGTTGATCTGAAAATATTACCTATTTCTTTTCATGCAAATTAATTTATTGATTAATAAATAATGCTTACTTTTTTGATTAAATGGAACACTCTAACTATTATAACTCATCATAGCGGTAATGATCCAAAAACTCTTTGGGTGCCATTTTAAAGTTTAAGTATGTTAAAGTAAATCTGTTTTGCAATTTTTAACTCTCCAGATACATATAATACATCATATATAACAAAGACACATGATGTATTCAATGTGACATTTCGAGATATACTCACCAAAACCTTGATCCAGATCTCCTCATCTTCATGGCTGTTATGCCTCTTGTGGTCTACCTCTTCAATGATTTTCCCTGCTTGCAGATAGCATGCCCCCAAGCAGGAACAAATTTCTGAAATGAGCGACGTCAGTCCCTCTGTTCCTATATTCCATAGATAGCGCTATCAGAATAGGCTAAAGTGTTCTATAGCAACCACAGTGCATGCACTTTGGTAGCTATGCTTGGGAGGGAAGAAGGTCCTGCTCTGGGAGGTATTTCTGTTTTCCGTTGTTAATCAAAACATCAGCTTAGAGTCGATGCCAAAAATTTGACTGAGAAGTGGGAAAAAGATCTATTATTAAATAGTTTTTTTTCTCCTAATACATACATTTGCTAGCAAGACGTATGCTCTTTAAATTGTGCATAAGTTGTCGGTACCATGACAGGTATCCTCTAAGGTTTAATATGGGATGTCCATAGCTTTGCAGTCTTCAAATATTCTCCAATCGTTACATTTCCACAGTCACACTTTTGAAACCGGTTGCACTTTTAAGAGACAAGAATTCAAATGATGGCAATGAGTTCCTGGATTGGTACATTTTCTAAACGAGGCAGGATGGGGTAAATCTGGGTAATTCAGGTTCTTGGTTATATAAAGACTCCTGCCATGATAATGAGTATTGAGGATAATGGAGCAATGTCATATAAGTTTTGCATAAAAATTTTTTTGTTACTGTCCATAATATCTTCTGATACTAGCATGAGACAGTGTCTGTGCCAAAGATTGCATCTCTGATATATTGTTTGCATGCCCAGTGGGCCTTAAAAGAAAAGTAGAGTCAGTTAGCTCACAGACATTATCGATGGATACTACCTAAAACAAAGTAGGAAAATAGGCTACAGACTAGATGACAGAGAAGGAGTAACAGTGGAAGAGAATTAGAAAATGGATAAGAAGTATGGAAGGGAAGATATGAAGGGACACAATGTTACATGGTGAGACAAGCCCAACTGTTATACAATATGTAGTGATGTGTGTATGTTGTTTCTTTTTATTAATTTTGTATTTACCTTCATATTGGCTTAATTAGCACCTGGAAAACGTTCATAGCATCTTTTCATGTTTAATAACTTTAATATAAAGAATAATTTCCATTTAAATTACATCTTTCAAAGTAAGATTCATTTAAATTAATTTAGCATACATTGTATTTTCAGGATGACGAAGTTAAGGAAAATGACAATAAGGAAGAAAATCCAGAACGAGAAATGTGGAATAGTAAGGCAGATTACCTGCTCTCAATGGTTGGATATGCAGTGGGACTGGGGAACGTCTGGAGATTTCCGTACCTTGCATTCAAACATGGAGGAGGTGATTATCAGTTAATGAGTATTGCAACTGGGAGCCTGAGCCAGTCAATGATGCTACTGCAGAGCATCATGCCAAATGCCATGTTAACATTTGCATCGTGAAAGATGAATCATTACTGGCCTAGTGAACAACACACAGCAGAATACTGAGCAACTATATATGAAAATATAAATTTGTAAAAGAAGATTATGCTGATTGTGCAGATTGAAACACTGCACAAACAGAGATATTAACCAAAGAAAAAAAGTTACCTGCGCTCTTTCCACATCCCTATGTATTTTTAAACAAATTGAGGTTTTTAGTTACCTCCAATGGCCATGAGAGGGTATGCCCACCTGCCACGTCAAGGCAGACCTCTTAGGTGGATAGCAGAGATATTAGTACCTTTGTCCTGGGGGCTAGATACACCCCTTGGACATGTGAGTCAGGCAGAATGGAACTCTGTTCTGGGCTGCCTAATGTTAATTCTGTGCAAAAACTAAGTCTGTCATTAGCGCACACTGCACAATGGCAACAGATATTATCAGCGTCTACTCTTGCAGGCTGTGCTTGAAGCGTGACTGCAAGGGGATGGATAGATCTTCCCTCCTTTGGTAAGCTCCCTCCCCTCTCCCTCCATTGACAGTTGTCTTTCTTGCTCATCCCCTGCTGTCTCCTTCCTTATCCTATCTGGACCAGATCAAGCGCATGATCTCTAAGCCAGTGAGAGTGGTCCAATGAAATGCTTCTCTATGACAAGCATTTTATAGGATCACTGAGAGGGAAGCAGTGATGTCTGGTGGGACTTGGAAACCAGCGAGGAGAGCTTCACCAGGAGATGATTCCCATTAAGTCAATGCTTTTTTAGACTTGTAAGGGGGCAACCTACGTAGTAATGCTAGGGCATTCTAAATTAAAATACAAAGTTATTTATAAAGGGTTAGAGTAAACCTTTAGGTAACTTTTAATTCTACTTTTCCAACTGTACATCTCAGATGCTCAACCAGCCCTAAAAAGGGGCACAGCTCCCCTGTCCATTTGATCAGCGATGTGTTGCATGGTGTTTATATAAGGCTATGTTCTTGACTCATCAAGCAGCAACACTAACTTCTGGAGCATTAGTTTTGACTTAGTAACTCTGGAAATATTAGAACCTGTTTCAAATAATTTTTGGACTTTTCCTTCTACTTTGATGTTACATCTTCAGTAAAAGGTGCAACTCATATGTTTTAAAACTGTTGTTCTTGGTTTGTCTTCTGATTAAAGTTCTTCTGTAAAGTAATTTCCCCAATATTGTTCATCTGGAACATCTCTCTTTTCCCATCCCTGTGATCTGTTCATTGCAATTGCTGTTTAAAGCTCTTAAAGAATGTTAAAGGGAAACTATAGGCATCAAAGCAACTTTAGCTTAAAAGACCACTATAGTGCCAGGAAAACAAACTTGTTTTCCTGGCACTATAGTGTTAATAGGTCCCCCCACCCTCATGGCACCCTCCCGCCGGGCTCTAGGGGGAGGAAGGGGTTAAAGGCTTACCTTTCTCCAGCGCCAGGCTCCCTCGGCGCTGGGGACTCTCCTCCCTCTTCCACCGAATGCGCATGCACGGCAAGAGCTGCACGCGCATTCAGTCAGTCCATAGGAAAGCATTCTCAATGCTTTGCTATGGACCCTGGCGTATTCTCACTGTGAAAATCACAGTGAGAAGCACGCAAGCGCCTCTAGTGGCTGTCAATGAGACAGCCACTAGAGGCTGGATTAACCCTATTGTAAACATAGGAGTTTCTCTGAACCTAGATGGACCTGGCACCCAGACCACGTCATTGAGTTGAAGTGCTTTGGGTGCCTATAGTGGTCCTTTAATGTAGCAGTTTTGGTGTGTAAACCATGCCATTTAGGAGTCAAATCACTTATGTTACTGTTTGTGCAGCCCTAGTCACACACAGCCAGCTAGAAAAACATGGTTTTATTTTCAATCAGATGACAACTTGCTTTAGAAGTTTTTATCTCCTGCTCTGTACATTGAACTTTACTCACACAGGATGCTCCTGTAGGCTCCAGAATGCTATTAACAAAGCAGTAGATACAAAATTCAATATTAATCAGAATATGTACAATATTTAGGTTTCTTTTCAGGAAGTGTTTAGGAAGGCTGTGAAAGTCACGGCAGGGAGGTGAGACTATGGCTACATAAACAAAGTGATTGAACTCCTACATAGAATTGAGCAGTGAGACTGCAGGGGAGTCCTTTAGATTAATTCAGAATGTGAAAATATTAACATATTAATCATTAACATTATAGATTAAAAAGTCCTTTATTTATAGAGTTGTTATTTCTTTAGTACTGGGCTAGGATTGTATGGAAAATGTCACTGTTATCATAGTAGTCTCCTGAATAAGGAAATTATAAATAATTGTTTAAGGCAGGATTGTTATTTAGATCAAGTAATAACCATAGAAATTGAATCAAATAATTGTATTCCTTTTTTTTTTTGCAGGTGCATTTCTTATCCCCTATATTATTATGCTGGCTCTGGCTGGCTTACCCCTTTGTTTTCTAGAATGTTCACTGGGACAGTTTGCTAGCCTTGGCCCAGTCGCATTATGGAGGATGGCGCCTCTATTTCAAGGTAAGTTTTTTAAAGATAAGATGAAGAATGCTGTCATTGTCATGTACTCTAGGAATAGACAAGCCACCACCAGTTCCATCTGAAGATGACGCACACCTAGTGATGTCACTAGATCAAGTATGGGCACGGACTACCAACTCTTCAGATGTGTTTTATACAATGGGTTTATGGTGTGTTAGTAAAATCTAGGATGATCGAATTGAGAACCGTTTCTTAGCATTGACCATTCATATTGTGTCCTCCTCTAACTAAAACCTTCCACCAAGCCCTCTAGCACAAACGTGTCAAATGACAGTATCACCAAGCATTAGTCTCAGCTAGCATAAAGAAACCCATGTATCCTACAAGTCCTTTTTCAAGAAAGGTAGTATTTCTTTAAGACCTCATTAAACCTACCCTTTTTTTATCCTGTATCCTACATGTGCTAGGATCTCAGAATGTTTGTTATATTATTATCATTATTATTATTTATACACTGATCAGCTACAACATTAAAAGCACGAACAGGTGAAGTGAATAACATTGATTATATTTTTTTGCAATAGCACCTGTCCCAGGATGTGGCATGGAGGGAGGGAGGTGTGATATATTGTGCCGCAAGTGAACAGTCAGTACTTGAAAAGTGTTTGAAGCAGGAAAATGGGACCAGCAAAAAAGGTCAACATAAAAGTGACAACTAATTCTCCATATCCGGGAAACCTACAATTATTTTCCTTTTTAAGAGCGTATCATAGAATCCCACAGGAATAAAATGTATACTGATACACATTGTAAATACGATTCCACTGAGTTTGACAGAAATAACATCCAGAATAACATGCTATTTAGTAAATAAGACTCTTCCTTGACATATGATACTAACATTGTCTGTACAAGGAAATAGCTTCCTAAACCCAAAGCACACCGGATAAACTTGATCCAGACAGGCATTTTGGCTGTATTCACCAGACATACAAAATTGGTATTACAGGGCATTATGTCAATTAAGATTATTAGGATCAGGGTGTTACACCTTTTTTACGCAGATCATGATAATGGTACATATTAGTCACATTATAATTTTTGGTTGTAGTTAGCAGATTTATTTTTTATTTTTACTCATATATAACATTGCAGTGCATACTGCAAATTCATAAACTGATTTTTTTTTTTTATGTTTACATATAGAAAATGAATCAATGGAACTAATTAATGCCTGTTTTATTTTTTAATACATGTAAAGATAAGGGAATAAACAATGCAAAAAGATGAAGTAAACAAAACGCAGAATAAAAAAAAGATACACACCTTTAAAGTTTCCCTTAATGCTCTGTGTTGCATGCCAACCTTACCTCATCAGGACAGGAGAAAACTTTGAAGGATCAGATTTGTTGGAGCTCTCTCTTGGAGAGAGATTGAGACTTGGCTTTCTTTATTGATCTAAAACGCAAATAAGAAACAAATGACGTTATAATTGTTATTGCAATTTTTTTTATTCCCAGAGTCAATCTTGAGAATTACAAGTGATTTTTTTTTTTTTTTAGAAACTGTATCGGATATAAAATCGAGCTATATAAATGTGCACAAATCATTACTGATTATCATTAGAAACAAGTTTGAATTCATATATTCCTATCTGTGGCTTAGCTTAAAAGCCACACCCAGAATAATACAATTATGGATCATTTGATGCAATTAACCCTTTACAGTCCACTTCACATTTTCAATGTACAATACAAACTAATTTAAAAAACCCAAACTATTGTAAAGTACTTGAACAAAAGATACAACACTGGGTTGATACTGGGAGATTTCTCTCAATCTGTCGTCGAGAGATTAGTAAATGTTATTACCTCATCACAGATCTATCTGCGTGGAAAAGGCTGTATGATTTGGAAGAGCCCTTTAAAAGAAAACTGTCCGCATGTTTTTAATATTACTGAAAATAATATTGTGTACTATTTTTTAAGGAATATATGTAATATAATAGCTCTTTCATTGCATTACCTCACTCGCCCTTGCTATTTGGAGGCTATCTATCTTAGCACAGCTTATTTGCTAAGACCATGAACAATTTCAAGGCATAAACCTTTCAGAGTACATTTCTGAGATGTTCTATACATGCTTATTATTTGTAGATCGAAAATGCACAGTAGTTCTTCATTATCTGCATGGTGTTTGATCAGATAAGCTGTGCTTCTGAACTAAGAGGCTTTAAGATGGCTGCCTCCATAGAGCATGGGTAAGATGGGAGATGCACTGCAAATATGTATTTACCTATGTATATATTGTATAATAATACACACAGAAGTTATAAAAGATGTAACAATTTTTATTTTAAATATAAAATAATTAAAATTTTCCTTTAACACTTGCCACTACAGCCCTTTAATGCTTATGATTTTGATAGACATGATTTGTTTTCATTTTTTCAAAGACAGACAATGGACTGTTCAGTTTAAAATATGTAATTTATAAAAGAACACAGTAGTTTTGGGTGAAGGTGGCATTTATGTTTTGGGATATATATATATACAGTATATATATTTATTTATTTATTTATTTTCCATTTTTATTTTATTGCTATATATTGAACATTTTTACAAATTACCACTTCAACATGTGTTAAAGATATTTAAACATAAATATAAAGTGTCAAGAATTCCAAGGGGATTTTCAATCGTAGGCCAAAATAACCAAACTGGGAAAATATATATGCAATTTTGGCCTAAATTTTTAAATTCTCTTTAGATTCCTGGCATTTCACATTTTAGTGAATAGCAATTTATAGATTTGCATTGCATCTCCTAATAATATTACTAAATAATTTTATTGACAGCGTTATCTATTACCTAACCAATAAGATATGGCAGCCTCTGTTTAATGAGAAATGTAACTCTCTGCTTGTTTTTGATTCTAGGTGTTGGTGTCACAATGGTGTGTGTTTCGACATTTGTTGCAATATATTATAATGTTATCATTGCTTACAGTTTATTTTATTTATTTGCCTCATTCCGAAGTTATCTACCATGGTCTCAATGCTTTCCGGAGTTTGCAGATGAGTACTGTATTAACAGCACGTCAGGTAACTTTTTTTGCTATTAATACAATATTAATTATTTCTGAATTATTATAAAATCACACCACCGCATTTTTTTCTGGAGTTTTATGAGTATTCTGACATATATCACTTTATGGGATATTGCAAATATTAGGCCTCATAAACTTAGCTGCAAAAATTGCTTGGAGAGTTGGTTGGAGACTGTTTCTAATTCAAGTATTTTTGCATAAAGGTTACAATTCTCTTGTCAGTTCTGCATAATTTATAGTTTGGTAAATAAAACAAAATGTAATGTGTTCTATAACTGCAACAAATTAGTTTTTCAAGTAATTTCTGTAAACCTAAACTAGATTGCTCTCAAGAATTTAGAACATTGAAAAAATAGCTGTCATGAGGCCACTAAAATATTGTCAGTGTCCACAAACCTAAAAAAATAACCAAGAATAACCAAGTTAGGAATTAATATTACAATGTTATGTAGGCAATTTTACAAAAATGGACACTTGTTTAATAAGTATAAAACATTTTAGTAATCATTTTAAACAACGTTTGCCTTATTTAGTAAAACATTCAATGGGAAAGTCGGGCCCTGTCCTTCTCTCCCAGATTTGCTCTTTAGTGTTCCATACCTAGGGACATGAGAGACCAAGTCCCTAAATGACATGGTATGAGTGTGTCATCAGTTAATCTTGCATTGTGCAAACCGCACTGAGGGCACTGAGCCTATGGGAAGTACCAATTCTCTGCGCATGTGCTGTCCTAAGTGGTGCTGGCTAGTGTTGTGGCCAATCACACAGGCGTGCATTTACGCCAAAATGAAATGCTCCTTTTTTTCAGCAGACGTGTCCTATTTTTTAGAAGGCCTGAATGGTTGGGATATCATCGAAGTGCAAGCTACTTGAGCTATTATCAGTTCTCAAAATACGATCTCATCCTGTTTTTTGCTCTCTCCAAATGTAAGGAGTTATGAAGACATAGACACCTTGCTCACAGTGCCTAGAGGTGTATCGGCTATACCTCAATGACAAGGGCAAGCAAAACCGAAACAATTTTCTGGGATTGCTGTATCTCTTGTGCAGGGAGAGATGGCATGCATTTCAGATCTAGACTGCCTTTTTGAGAGGGATCACTATTTAAAAATGCAGTTCTTCCCCTTCCTATTGAATAAATCCTCAACATTAAACCACAGAGAGTCTAATTCCATAAATTGGCATGTTTTCTTGCTTCCTGTCACTGTGTTACTCCCCCGGGAGACTTGCAGTGAACCCAGTGGGCTGGTGTCAGGACGGGGGGATTGCCATGCTTAAGTAAGTGAACCCCATATACAATCACACTCCGCCAGCCACACGCATACACACAATCACACTCCACCAACTCCACACATACAGTATCTCACAAAAGTGAGTACACCCCTCATGTGACAACACTGAAGAAACAACAATCTAAAGTTGTAAGTATACAGCCAGTATAACAGTATAAATTTACTGTCCCCTCAAAATGACTCAACACACATTCATTAACGTCTAAACCGTTGGCAACAAAAGTAAGTACACCACTAAGTGGAAATGTACAAATTGGGCCCAAAGTATCAATATTTTGTGTGGCCACCACTATTTACCCTCATGGGCATGGAGTTCACCAGAGCTTCACAGGTTGCCACTGGAGTCCACTTCCACTCCTCCATGATGACATCATGGAGCTGGTGGATGTTAGAGACCTTGCGCTTCCCCTCCTTCTGTTTGAGGATGCCACACAGATGCTCAATAGGGTTTAGGTCTGGAGACATGCTTGGCCAGTTCATTACCTTTACCTTCAGCTTCCAGTAATCCATGCCCTTAGTCTGCTTGTCTTCAGCAAACTGTTTGGCTTTCTTGTGCATCATCTTTAGAAGAGGCTTCCTTCTGGGATCACCGCCATGCAGACCAATTTGATGCAGTGTGCGGCATATTGTCTGAGCACTGACAGGCTGATCCTCTGCCCCTTCAATCTCTGCAGCAATGCTGGCAGCACTCATACGTCTATTTCCCAAAGAAAGCCTCTGGATATGACACTAAAAACGTGCACTCAACTTCTTTGGTCGACCATGGCGAGGTCTGTTCGAAATGGAAGCTGTCCTGTGAAACCGCTGTATGGTCTTGCCCATCATGCTGCAGCTCAGTTTCAGGGTCTTGGTAATCTTCTTATAGCATAAGCCATCTTTATGTAGAGCAACAATTATTTTTTTCAGACCTCAGAGAGTTATTTGCCATGAGGTGCCATGTTGAACTTCCAGTGACCAGTATGAGAGAGTATGAGAGAGTGTGAGAGCCCGATCGGTGCGACCACACTGACAGGTTTAGGACCTTACCTGTTCAGCAGCAAGCCGGGAGCCTTCACACATGGGATCCAAAATGGTGCCGACAAGGTCTCGGCCATTTGTAGCTCCGCCTCCAAAGGTCACGCGAACGTGCGTGTGACGTCACAACATCAATGCACATGCACGTTCAGGGGTCAGTGGCCAAGCCCTGACCAATCACAGCCCAAGGAGGGATATTTAAAACCCTGAATTTCCCTAGTTCATTGCCCTATCGTGGTTTTCGTTCCTGGTTCCCGAGAGTGCGTTTTCTTGTCCTTGTTATTGATATTCCCGGTATTCTGGCTTTGGCTATTCCTGACTATTCTGATCTCTGGTTTCCCTGACTTGGCTTTCTTATCGATCTAGTGTATTTCTGGCTTTCCCTTGACCATTCTTTGTCTTTCAATGTATTAAGCCGGCAATTCTAAGGACCGGTTTACATTCTGTCTATTTTTGTATTCTATGTAGATGTTGCATAGTTTTGCGTGTTGGATCACATTAGTAATCGTGACAGCGATAACACCAAATTTAACACACCTGCTCCCCATTCACACCTGAGACCTTATAACACTAAAGAGTCACATGACACCAGGCAGGGAAAATGGCTAATTGGGCCCAAATTGGACATTCTCACTTAGGGGTATACTCACTTTTGTTGCCAACAGTTTAGACAATAATGTGTGCTCCCCCAGCCCGATGAGGTTCGATACGAACAGGGTTATTTGTTTGTGCCACTAGCCCCCTATACAGGAGGTTTAGCTGTGGCATATTCCATGGAAGTTCGAACTCGGGAGCTGAGTGTTGAGCTCTCTGCTCTCTTATTTCTTCCTTACCTCCACCACCATCTTTCCAGGACGCGTGGACCGCAGTAGCAGGATACAAGAGGTTGGTGTTTATCTGTGGGGGGCCCCCCACAGAGGGTGTACAAGTCATTCATACTCAGCTGTGCTTCACCAGTATTTTGTCATTTAGATCACCTATGTATTCGTTGTATTATTGATCTTAGTGAGTTACTCTAGTTCAGCATTTCCCAATTGGTGTTCTGCCAAAATTGGGGTTCCACCAAAATTTTCAAAAATAAATGGCCACAGGCAGCGAGGGATCAGTGGGCAGGGATCTCCCTGTTTAGCTCCCTCATGCACACAGCATGATGCTGGAGACGGAATATGACGTCACTCCGACTATGGCATCACTAAGAGTTGCACGAGGGAGCTGAGAAGGCAGATCACTGCTCCCTCGCCGCCCCACTGGACCCCAGGGACTGCATGCTCGGCCCAGCAGCCCCACTGGACCCCAGGGACCGCACGCTCTGCCCAGCAGCCCCAATGGGACATAGACACTCCATGTCAGCACTCCCCCAAAAAAAAAAACTGTGTCTGTGTCTGTTAGGGAGTTTGTATGTGTCTGTCAAAGAGTATATATGTGTTTGTCAGTGAGAGAGTATGAGTGCTTGTCAGTGAGAGAGTATGTGTGCTTGTCAGTGAGAATATATGTTTGCTTGTCAGTGAGAGTGTATATGTGTTTGTATGTGTGTCTGTAAAAGGGTATGTGTGTTTGGCTGTGAGAATGTATGTGTGTCTGTAAAAGAGTATGTGTGTTTGTCTGTGAGAGTGTATGTGTGGCTGTAAAAGAGTATGTGTGTCTGAGTGTGTCAGTGTGTGTATCTGTGTGTAAAGGTTTGTGTATGTGTCAGTGTGTGTATCTAAGTGTGTATGTTGTATGTTTGTGTGTGTATGTGCCAGTGTGTTTGTATGTGCATGTGTGTGTGTGTGTGTGTGTGTATGTCAGTGTGTGTGTATCTGAGTGTGTCAGTTTGTGTGTATATGACACTGTGTGTATGTGTCTATGTGTGTATCTGAGTGTGTGTGCATTTGTGAGTCAAGGTGTGTGTGTGTCTGTGTGTCAGTGTGTATCTGTGTGCCACTATGTGTCAGTGTGTGTGTGTATCTGTGTGTTATATACACACACCCAGAGAGTAACAACTGACATAAAGATACACACTGGCACATACAAACACAGATACACACACTTTGACACATAGCTAGAGACAGCTTGATACACAGATACACACACACAGATACACACTGTGTGTAAAGGTGTGTATCTGTGTCAGTGTGTGTATCTGTGTGCATCTGTGTGTCAGATTCATACACATTTTCACATACAAACACAGATACACACATCTTGATACACAGACACATACAAACACAGATACACACACTTTGACACACAGATACATACACACACACACACACATACACACACACACACTGTGTGTCAATGTGTGTGTATCTGTGTGCCACTATGTGCCAGTGTGTGAGTGTGTGTGTGTGTATCTGTATATCAGATACATACACACACACACAGATACACACTCTGGCACATACAAGCACAGATACACACACCTTGGCACACAGACACACACCAGCACATACAAAAACAGCCCAATTTTATTTATTTTTTAGGGGGTGGAGGGAATGGGGGTTCCACGATGTTGATACACTATGTCAAAGGGTTCCAAGGGAAAAATTAATTGGGAACTTCTGCTTTAGTTGTTACAGTATATCAACTGTGTGTCCATATAAGTGATTTACTACTGATATTTGTCTCATTATTTAGTACTTGAGAATATTTTTAGCTTGCATACTTTTTATAATTCTGTTCCTGCAGGATTGGCTATTAAATAATTTATATTATTTTGGTGCGCTCACTATTATTTATTTGTTCTATATTCTGATATATTCAAATCACTCTACATTTTAGTGATTCTGCCCAGCTTTAATTTATTTTTTATCTACTAAATTGTTGTTCTAGTTTAGACATTAATGGCTGTGTGTTGAGTTACTTTGAGGGGACAGAAAATGTACACTGTTTTTTACACTTACTACTATAGATTGTAGCAGAGTGTCATTTCTTAAGTGTTGTCACATGAAAAGATATAATAAAATATTTACAAAAATGTGAGGGTGTACTCACTTTTGTGAGATACTGTATATATCACACTCAGACAACCAACACAATCACACTTAGCCAAGCCCCACACAGGATTACACTGAGCCAACACCCGCACAACCACACTCGGCCCCCACACTCATCCCACTCAGGTGTATTACTTAAGAGCAAGAATATGTGATTCTAGCACTGGGAACCATGTGATTCCTAGTTACGCTCCTAATTGTGAGGAAATCTGGAGTAGGTAAAGGTGCCTACGGCGATTGGAGAAGATGCTGGAGGTGCACAGGACATCTGTGTTGCTACACCTGCAGACAGCATTGTATAATAAATATTTCAGATTTTACAATATCTTGCAATTGTTACATTTGCAAATAATCTGCTTATTGTGAATCTTTAAAGTTAGGTATGGTGTAATTTAGGGACTCTTGTGAAAATTGTGTACTTTGTGGTTAAGATACAGTTTAAAAGGTTTATTTGCAATGCCTGGCTAATGAATAAAAAAATAATTTTTTTTAGACACATGCAATGTAACAATGGGAGATGGATCAATTGCATTGCTGAATATATCAGTGTTATACGGGACCAATCTCTCCTGCATAGTTGATGAATCAAGGGAATTACCAAGTAAACAATATTGGGAGTAAGTATGACATTTATGGGTGAACAAAATGTCCAGATGTAAAAGTACAGTCCACTGCCCAAATAAAAAAAATAGATATACTCCCAATGTCCGGAGTTTATCTAAAAACAGCTTGCAAAAGCTACCCTACTTCCCTAAACCCTTCATAGCATAAACTTGGATAAAGAGATTATAATTGTATTGTACACTAGATCAATTAGTAACTAGGAAGAAATAAGAGGGATAAGTAGCTGGGGAAGATATAGAAGTGGATACGTGCATGAAAAAAAAATCATGGCTCTCCGATTTATTTTTCAGATGCTTAATGCTATTGAGATTTGATAGTGTAGGACACACCTCAGAGGTCTGCCTTGACATGGCAGGTGAGCCTACACTAAATTCCTGGTGCGCAAGGGATATTTAAAAAAATAAATATTATTATAAGTAGATAAAACTGCATATTTTTTGATATTAGAGAGAAGAACAGGCTAGGTATGCATGGCAGAACAACAGTAGGAGCATTATAAGTATTAGTTGCATACTGAATAATAGTCAAGAGACTCAAATGACACCCAATGTAGGATGGATACTGTCCCTCTGATAAAGGTGGCACAATTTGTCCACCATGGTAAACATAACAGGCCCACTGGTACTTGTAGGATCATGTTGGTACTCAGCCACCATAGCACAGGTAGAGGTTGCCAGGATATCCCTCACTGGCTGAGGGAAAGGAGGGTGTGAAGGGGAGACATCCAGGTACATATGCTGCATACAGCTGAGGGGTCGGCTTTTTTCCCTGCGCTGTCTAAGATTAGGCCTCTGGTACACACAAGGTGTATTCCTAGTAAAAGCCGCTGATCTCAGACTAGAACACAATAAAGCAGTGGTCACCTCCTGTCTCCGGAGTATGTCTGAAGCTGATATTTAGAGCTAATATCAGTAGTTTCAGCTATTTAAGAGCAAATCTACATGGAGCAGACAAGATGTGCAACTGGTCTGCATGGCTGCAAGGCTCCGCTCCCCTCCCCGCCCTGCCAAGTGACTTCTTCTTAATGAACATATGACTAGATTTTGAAAATACATTTTGCATTCTTTTATTTCAACACATATTTTTATTTATTCAGAATTTTTCACGAAGCTGGTAATTTTGGGGGGAGTTTACTAGGAAATTGCAAATTGAAAGCTAAAATAGCAGAATCAGAAGTCTCCAGTTCAGCTTCTTGGTCTTAATGGAACACAGCGCACCAGCATAACTTGACTGCATTGTTTTGGCCTCATAGTCCTGCTGTGTTTTCTCCCCATTTAAATCTTTTTTTGCTCTCTTTGTATAAAAAGAAAAAGGTTTTGCAGTATTCTTCATCATATGCCTATACCTTCAGCCTTGGGCTGTATTTTCATAAGGCATCTTCCTTATTCGAAATATTTGGAGAAATCCACGTGAGTTGTCTTGACTCCATCCCCACAGCCAATCACTGCCCTTTCAGTATCTTTATAGTATTTCAAAGTAATGCTGAAGAGGTAAGGAGACAATTGATAAGAGGATAGGGATTTTCCGTGAGGAGAAATGATATTAGCAACACAGCTCCGAAGTACTGAAAATACATTTAATAAGGAGGCTTCTTTGCAAATTGAGGTACAGGCTATCCTGCAAAATGATGCAAAACACTTTTCCTAATTTAGCAAAACCAACGAATGTCAAAACAATGCAACATGAATTCAATACTAAATTCTAAAACGTTATGTTGGTGCCCAGACTATGACTATGAAATTTGCAGTTCCCTTTTGAATTCCTGGCAAGTCGTGGTTAATTTATTATTCTGTGTGTGTTTGTAAAATCACATACATATCCATTTATGCTATAAAAATGATACAAGGTGATACAGCTGATTATGTTATTAGTTATGCTGATTAGAACCCTACAGAGGTATACAGGTCTACTTGATTATATTATTTACTGTTTGTTTGTTTTTTACATATTTCAGTAAAGTGGCTCTCTGGACATCCAGCGGATTAGATGAGACAGGGAAGGTAGTGTGGCACCTAGCGCTCTGCCTGCTCCTGGCATGGATTTTAGTTGCGGCATCATTAGCTAAGGGAATACAAACATCTGGAAAGGTAACTTTTTAATAATGAAAGAGCTATTTCTTCGAAAAACTCTGTTTGTTAAAAGTTTGATTTTTTTTTGCTTCAACTTATATATTTAAGATAACCCAACCTTTTACTCCCCACTGGGGAGTTGTATTAAAACATTGGTACAATTCTACAGTATTTGCTTATTCCATGCTTATTGACAATATGTTATTGCATATACTTAATGCCGTGACATGAATCACCCACAAAAATATAAAATAAAAAAGACTTTCAGAAAAATAATGAGAAAGGGATAAAAGTGTGAAATAAATAGTTTGAATCAAAAATCTGAAATTTGGCTGAATACCTGATCCGCGCAAAGTTGTCCAAATTGCAGTTCTCCAAGTCTATTGTCCATAAACCTCTGTGTTTTACTCTTACCCATGCATGAGTGTACAGCTTTAGCAAGGGCTCTTGGCAGGTGAGGTGCCAGGAGCTGTAGATGGACCTCATGAGACAGATGGTGGCACCTGCAAGGGATAATTTCCTAACTCCCTTTTACTTCTCTCTTGGGTTGCCACTTCCCATATGGACATGCCACCTTCAGTAAATACATTCAGGGAAAAAGGGAATGGAATTCTGTGAATCATAACCTAGGCATAGTTACATGGTTACAATCTTGTAGTGTCCCTTTAAATAGTTCACTTATTTGAAATTGTTCACGGCTATCTATGTCTGTTTCAGGTCATTTCTGATTATTACATTTCAGCATTGTAATTATTTCTAGGGTGTTCCACTAGCAAACTTTTGAATGTTCAGGTTTTACAACTTGAAGCACTGGTTATTGGTAGGCTAAGCAGCAGCATGTGATGACATGCTGTTATTAGAACTGTATTGTTTTTTTATTTTTATTTTCTTATTTTACTTTACTAATGAGTCAGAGATTTGTAGTTTCTATTATCAGTATTATTATTTCTATATCAACTAACCTACAACATAGAGCTTAACTTGTGAAAAGACATTTGAAAAAGGACATCTCCATTTTGCATTTACCAATGCATACATTTTATTTTAATGCAACAAATATGCAACAAATATGCATTTACTAAAATGTACACAAATATTTCCTAAGCCCTAGAAACTTCCCTTCATTACCTGCATAGTTGGCCTCCGCAGTTTAAGCAGTTCCTTCCACTCCCCTTTTAAATCACTGAGATCAAATCGCCAGCACGCAACTTTGCATAGCATTTATTGACATTTAGGGATTTATGTAATATAAAATCATACTTTTAGACTGTATTGGTTTCAGTGCCATTTTAAGTATTATTTCGTGTGTCCGATAAATTCGTCACTTGCTATATACATATATTATTATGAGGTTGACCTGAGTTGACTGGAGTTATATTCCACAAAAGCTGTTTCATTTGTGGTTGCTTGAATATCCTATTATGTTAGATGTATATTTTAACTCCTGCCAGTCTCAGCCAGAATCTCACTGAGCATCATAGAAGTTGCAGGCCATGGGTTTTGTGGACTTGCAGTTGTAAGAATCCTCTCCTCCAGCTTGGGTTCTAGATGGACAGAATGTCTATGGGATCTCTGGCTGCAGGGATAATCTCTAACAACTCCCCTCTGGTCTACACTGTTAGAACTAAGATGCTGCTGGCTATGTGACAGCCATAGGGAGTAACTGGGTACTGGGCAGCCTGCCCAAGGCATCTAGGGTTAGCATGTGTTGTGTTATATGTGCTTACAGCAGCTGCAAAAGTTACACAAAACTGACATTGCCAACCAGGAAGAGAGTATTGCCATTGGCTAATTGACAGACCAGGGAGAAGGCCATATATACAGAAAAAAGGTATTAGTCTCCAACATTTGTAAAGAGAACAGAGTCTGAGGGTTCTGCGCAGTATCTTAGCTGTTCCTAGAACTGCACTCTCCTGGATAGTGATCTCAGATGTCCCACATGGAATATGCAAAGGTTTATAGTAGCTACAACACTTGTATGTGGATCTCTCAGTCCTGAAGTCCCAGATGAATGGCAAGAACAAGATTAAGGATAAAGCGGAATTGTACGGAAGAAGATGATTTAAAAGAACAATCCAGGAAGATTTTAGACGATTTTAGAGAGAAGGGGTACGAAGAAGAACTTCTCAATAAGGCATTAGAAGAAACCTTTTTAACCAATAGGGAGGATCTTTTAACAGGGAATAAATCTAAAGGTGACAAATACGATAAACAGTTTTCTTTTATCTGTGATTTTAATTGTAAATAAAATAATGTACAAAAGGTTATCAAAACATATTGGCCTATATTGAAAGGGGATGAAGTTCTAAATTCCATGCTTCCAGAAAAAACAAAAATAATTTATCGAGGGGTCCCGAGTTTAAAAAGTAAATTAGTTCATAGTCACCTTCCTACGAAAGAAATAATAAGGAACCCTTTTAAAGAAAAAGGAGGATTTTATGGTTGTGGAAACTGTGGAGCATGTACCAACATGAAGAGTAAAAAAAGACACGTGGATTATTTTATACACCCTATAGATAAGGAAGAGAAATTTCATATAAAACAATTGATTACATGCCATTCCAAACGGGTGATTTATATAATACAATGTACATGTGGCCTATTCTACATAGGGAGGACACTAGGTCACTTCACATAAGAATTCAAGAACATGTCCGGAACATTAAAATAGGTTTCGAGAAACACAGCCTCTCCAACCATTTTAAAATCAAACATGATAGGGATCCAACTCAACTCATGTTTATGGGGGTACAGAAAGTAGAATGTAATTGGAGGGGAGAGGATCTCATCACTGCGATGGGAAATGCAGAGATGAGATGGATTTTTAACTGTAACTCCCTTCTCCCCCATGGACTCAATAGTGATTTTGAGTTATGACATTTTTTATAGAATTTATATCTGTTTTTTAATTGTATTCACTATTATTTATTTTTATTATTGATTATTTATTATTTATTATTATTTTTTTTTATATAGAATATTGTACAAGATCTTTTCGATATAGCTAGATATTGATTAGGGGTTTTTAACTTTTAGATTTTCAGATTTAAGGCATTTCATGGATATGTTTCTCTATATACATGAGTCTGTATTGTGTTATAGGTATCCCTTTGTATTGCACTATGGGCATTTTTTATACTGCATTTTCTATATTCAGAAATATATGAAATACATGGATAGATGTCATTTATTAATTTTTTTCCATTAATTTCTTTTTGACTATCACCTACGAGTTTTATTAGAGAAATGTACTTCGAATTGAGAACTAATCTGTGGGGTCGATCGCCAAAGCACAAGATGGCGATATCCGTACCAGAAGTGACGGATTGACGTAACGTCACCTCCGGTCTCCAAATTATATGGCAATAGCCATTGAAAAGAGAACTCCCACAAGGACGAAACTTATTGGATAACGAACAGTGATTCCAGCCAACCAGACCATAGAAACCAGATTTAAAAAGCAGGAAGTGAAGCGAAAGGATCATCTTTGATTGAGAAAGCCCGAGGAGAGGGCGAAACGCATATCAGAGGATCTTTCCAGCATTCTATGGACACTAATTTTATTGTTTTGATAATTTTATGTGTAGTTTTTATATACTTATTATTTTTAATAAATGTGATCGTTTGATCAATATTAGTCCATCTGCTGTTATATTCACCCTGCTGCTACCACTTGACAAGAAGGTTTTACTCCCCTTTAGTGGGTAATAAGCTGTTTCAACTTGAGCCAGATTTCTACAATTGGCTTTTAAAAAGGTGAGCAATATACCATTTTATCTCAATTTTATCTACACTTTGGTCTCAATATGCTACACTAGAGAGAAATCTCCTCTGTGTTCTTTTTTGAGTGTTAAAGAGAAGACAACGTAAAGAGGGAAGGTGTCTCCCTGTGAACACCAGGACGCTTGAGATATGAGCAAGTCCTTAACTTGGCTCTAGACTTGTGAGTCTTTTATATTTAAGATTTATTCACTGGTCTTTGACATATTGCACTATCATTTTTCTCTTATTTTTATTTGGTATGTAACCTTCATTTGAGACACTCAATACCCCTGGGTTGTTGGGGTAAGTACTTTTTAGCACTCCACTTTAAGGAGCTTTTTTTCTTAGCCAGGTTATGAGTAGCTGATAACTAGTAGGGTGTAAGTGTTGATGGTGTGAATCTTGTTCTTGCCATTCATCTGGGACTTCAGAACTGCCTGACTCTCTGGAGGTACTTTGCAGTTGCAGCTCTCCTTGCATGTTTTCTCATGGCTGCCATGTGTTTGTAGTATCCCCATGTACTTGTAGCTCTTCTCCATGTCTCTTATTTGACCTTCTGGCACTTCAACTTTTTTTTCAGTCCCTATCATATTCCCTCTTTTTGCTATCATCCCCACACACTTATCTAGTCAGAAAGAAGTTCTGAATTCTTATTTTATAATAAGGTGGATCAGTGAGTCAATGTCCTGCTCACTATTGGCATGCAGCTTAATCACTCATGTATAGGAGGTGGGTAATAATAGAGTCAGTCATGCACCTATATCCATAGTCATTCTAGGGTGACGCCTATGCAGCAAAACAGCATCAAGGAAAGTGAAGAATTTTGCTATCTGATGCTCACTTGTGTTATTGTCTGGTCTTGGAATCATGTGTGATTGTTTTAGTTTACCAGCAGCTAACGTATTTGAGTATCTGGTTTTGTTTCCAATCCCCTTCTGAGAATTGTTCATGTATTCATGTACTCATATGCCCATCGATCCCGTAGGCTATGATGCCCTGCAAGACCTTCCATGTTATGGGGAGGCAGATGATTGGTTGGTAGTTAGATGGTGTTGTTTCATGACCAGTGTTGTCCTGCTTTTTGTTAGCCAGTCAGGGCAGGAGTGTGTTACTAGTAGCTGTTTCATTTGTGCTGCTAGACGCTCATACAGCATTGTTAGTTTCTTTACCCAGCAGATGTGGATCATGTCAAATCTTAGTGCTGACCAACTCTTCATGTGGGCTACTCATTGTTGAATATCTCCTACTGTGAAGGTGACTGGCTCCTGTTCTGGGACCATGCAGTGGACTGTTTTCAGGAGGAGTCGCTGGGACTTTGCGCTTTGTGATGTTTCTTTCTCCCAGATGTTCATTCAACTTTGTGAAGTTGATTCAGCTTGCTAACTTCCTTACATGTTGACGTTATCTTGGCTACCATTCTTAGTCTCCATGGCAGGCATTGTTTTTTTACTTTTGGAGCTTGAATTTATAGTTAAGCCTTTGGAGGTCTACAACTAAGTGGCATACATGAGCTTGTTGGTCTCTCTGATGGTGTTAATTGGGATTATAGATAGTGTCTCATTAATCACTGCTGGCATACTGTATGGTGGCAATTTTTCAGTGATCTCTCATACTCTTGTCCGTTGTTAAGGGCTGCCAACTTTTTTATTTTAATCTCTTTTATATGTGCAGTTATGTCAAGATTTTTTTTTTGTACAAACTGATTAGGCCAAACCAAATATTTCTGCCATTCACAAATCTAATAATCACATACAGTAATATAATGTAAAAATGCTTTTAAATATGGTATTTCATTACACGAAGATTAGATGATCTATTTGACTTTAATCTTTCTTGAAATGATGTATAGCTCACTGAATACTAGGGCACCTTCTGTAGTCAGAACCTAATCAGTTTTTTATTCCTCTTATTAGGTGGTATACTTCACAGCACTATTCCCATATGTTGTCTTGTTCATCCTTCTTATCAGAGGAGCAACTCTAGAGGGAGCTAAAGATGGAATTGAATACTACATTGGACAAAAATCTGATATCAATAAACTTGCTTCTGGAGATGTAAGTTTCAGTTTGATAAGTTTCATTATGTTCAACTTTACTCGTGACTTATTTCGCACCATTAGCCATTAATTATATTTAATATAAAAAAATTAAATATAAGAAATATCAAGTCATTGTTTCTATGAATCTGAACTATGTCCAAATTCATGATGTAATGGCTAGATTCATAAAATAAGAAAAGCTCAACTTATTGCTAAACATATTATGATATTGTTAAATTTTCTAATGGAGGAAGAATTTCAATAAGAGGTGGGACTGTATAAAGAATGTTGGAATTCTACACAGAGTATAGCTTCATGTGAAAAAAGTAGTAAAAAGGTATAGACAATTATTTGACAGTTTTAACTTACTGAATAATTCAATAAAGGAGGAGTTTTAGAAAATCTTCCTCAGGGTGCCAGATATCTCCTGAACAAGGAACACATATTTACTTGAACTATGAAGTAAAAAAATGTGTCTAGTGAATGTTACGAGTAAGGTATATGAATTTTTTTTTCACTATAACCTCAAGGTATTAGCCCAGTGATAATTTTCACAAATTTCATTCAGCTAACAATGAAGAGATGAATCGTCCTAAATTGTAATATGTATTTTTAGATTACTACCCTTTGGTTCCCCTAATTCTAAACTGTAACATAAACAAAGCATGGACTTCTTTTGAATTGTGCATATAGGGATATCAGACCTACCTGAAATGGCCTGTGAAATTGGTTGCTTTAAAACCTATTGAATAAAGTGAGAATTACCAGGAATTCAGAGTGAATTTAAAGTGAATTTCAAATTTGAGGATAAAATTGCGTAAAGCAGAATTGACTTTGAGAATTTTTATAGTTTGGCTATTTTGACCTTCAAAATAAAATTTTACTTTAAATTACCAGCAATTCTCACTTTAGTGAACAACCCTGCTAATCTCTCATTCTTAGGAAGCTTACAAGGAAATTGGGTATAGATAGATCTTGTGGCTGCAAAGGTAAAAGATTCCTCTTTAAAGGCCCAAGTGGTCTAGAATTTGCCCAACTGTAGTGTACGTTTATATGTTTATTCCATGCATAATAAGGTTCTGTTACGTTGATTTTAGGTTTTAAAGTTACACGTTTTTATTTATTTTTATTTATTCAATGGGTGATGTTCCTATGGCCAAAATGATAGACAATACATAAGAGAATCAGTGTACATAAAAAAGAAGCATTACACCTTGATCTTAGTGAAAACTGGTAAACAACGAGAAATTAGTTATACGTCTACATCATGTTTAACCTCAAAGTATCTTGATATTCAAACTCAATAATTTTGTTTCTGTATTTTAACCTAATAAATGTTTTCTTAGGTCTGGAGAGATGCGGCCACCCAGATATTCTATTCTCTATCCACGGCTTGGGGAGGGCTAATTGCACTGTCTTCTTACAACAAGTTCAATAATAACACCTACGTGGATTCCATTGTGGTCTGCGTTATAAACTGTATAACCAGTATAATCGCAGGGTTTGCCATCTTTTCGATCATTGGACACATGGCCTTTCTCTCAGGAAAACCTGTTTCAAATGTAATAGATGAAGGTAATTTTGTCAGTGTAGCGGTCAGACCAATAATTTTCACAAATTGTAGGAATCTCACTCCTCCAGTTAAACCACATAAGTTGCAAACAGTATAGAAGTTGGCACTACCTCCATATTCATTAGATATACCAAGGAAGGTCCGGGCACACAGGGGTTCAGTGTCAGGCAGTTTTAATGGAACTTCAAGTAATGAACAAGCAGCAATGTTTTGACCACACTAAGGTCCTTATCAAGCTATTTGCTATATATATATATCATTTTTTAGCCGTCTGAAGTCCAGGCCTCACAGTTGGCCCAGGACCCTTACAGATGTACTACTTGTACCTCCCTGATGGCGGCCTTGTACTTTACACACTACAAACTCTACAGATATGCTATATACACTCTATACACTACATATATACTACATACATTACGTATGACTAGGTCTGCATGGTGTAAATAATACAGTCTGAGTTATATAGCTTGTTACAAAATGTAGACCAGAGCTTGGCAAACAGTAGATCCCCAGAAGTTCTAGAACTTCAACTGCCATGATGCTTTGCCAGACGTTAGAATTGCAAAGCATCTTGGAAGTTGCAGTTCAACAATATCTGGGGAGCTACAGTTTGCCCAGCCCTAATGTAGACTGTTAATCAGTAAACATGTTTATTAAAATGTCTTTTTTTTTGTGAAAGCAATGGATGCTATTGTGTGATTGTGTTGAATTATTGTAGGCACATGCAGCACAGAACATGACGTGCAAACTTAAACAAAATCTCACCTGTATTGTGTCTTTTAGGTTTTGCATTAGCATTTATTGCATATCCTGAAGCATTGTCAAAGCTACCAGTAGCTCCCCTGTGGTCTATACTATTCTTCTTCATGCTGTTTACCTTGGGATTAGACTCTCAGTTTGCTACCATAGGTATGTTGAAAAAATATATTTGTTCCTGAAACTTGATTGTGGTTAATCTAGCTGGCAATTTGATATATCTAAAGCCATACTGTCACGTGTAAACATTTTACATTGTTTTAAAACATTAACGACAGCAGGTACAATTTGATGACATGAGAAGTTTTAAAAGGACACTCCTGGCACCAATACTGCTTTAATGCATGTGATGAGGTTTTGGCCTCATTAGTATACTGTATTGTTACGCATGCTCAAATCTTTATAGTTTTTGCATGTTTGGCAGAATGCTGCAACATAAACCTACCTCTTCAGCCACACACCCTCACTCGAGAAAAACGCTTCCTTATGAAAAAGGATACAGCTCAGTCACTGACAGTTAATGATTTGAACAACAAAAGAATGTGCATTAGAAGGAGAGGACATCCATGGAGGCATACTGTAACAATAGAATGGCCTGTTTCTCTGACTGTCTGCAGCCAGGTTGTGAATTAAAAGGTATACTGTGTGCATACCTTTGATAAGGAATTATTTCTGGGTAAGTAGCCGGGCTTATGGTGCAGCAATCTACAAAACATGTATTTATTTTGTGCAAAAAGTAAAAAGATTTGAGCATGCAAAAATACAGCACATTAATAAGGCCAAATTCCATTAAATGCATTAAAGTTACATTGGTGCCCTGAGTATCTTTTTAATGTGGTCATCTTAAAATGTTATCACAATATGTAATCCCTTTAGTTTACTTTACTATACCTTAGGTGACCTAGTTAGAGAGAGTTGCTCACACCAAACGTTCTATATGTGAAACTGATTAACTGAACTAAATTTTAGTTTATGGTAAAAACACAATTACAAAGAAAGAAAATCAAAGGAACTACGAGTTAGGAAAGCATGTATTTATTCAAGTAAAAATTTAAAATAATAATAAAAAACCCTCTTGTTCGGAATTTAAATGTATAAACAAGGTACTGGCAATGTTTTAACTACATAGAGCAAGGAAATTATCTGATGAGTGATAAAAAAAACAAAAACAAAAAAAAAACAACAAGAATAATTCTGTAATTTCCAGATCCCAAAACATAGTTGGAAATTAACAAAAATTAAATGTACCCACCTTGGATAAAAGTTCATTATAATTGTTATTACGTAATATCCATGTAACAGCATCTTCTATTTCTTGTTCAGTAGTTATGGTGCTATTGGCTATATATTTGCTTTTCTGATCAGTAATATTTATTTCATTTTTGCAATGCTTTTTTGCAATGCTTACAGAAACAGTCACAACGGCAATACAAGACGCTTTCCCAAAAGTAATGCGAAAAATGAGGATTCCCATCACCATAGCAGTGTGTGCTGTGTTATTTCTCCTTGGGCTGCCATGCGTGACTCAGGTATCATCTTGCTAGATTAGTAAAAATATGCAACAAATGGTCAAGCACTGAAAAGCACACTGTTAGAGTGAGGCAGGCAGAAACACAACCTAATAGTAAGAAGGCAGAAAAGTAAGTGAAGAAAATCCCTCACTCACAAAAAAACATGTAGCCACAACTCCAAAATGAAATAAGCTGGGATAAACTGTTTTACATCATACTTATAGCAGTTCAATAGGTGCAATAACAGGGTTACCTGCTCGGTGCTGGAATACTCCCCGTAATCAAATGATTTCACACGGGGCAAGTTTGTTGATCCGCACTCATAGGGAATCCCCAAAAATACATTGGGAAGAAATCATAGAAAAATGCACATTTATTGAAGTAAAAAAAGAAAATACCTATGGTAGGACAAGATACTAGAACAGCAGTCCTCATGTATGCGGTATTATGTATTTATAAAATATTTTACCAGGAAAGATACATTGAGATTTCTCTCGTTTTCAAGTATGTCCTGGTTCACAAATCATTGCATTGTTACATTAGGGTACAATAAAATACAAAAACAATATTAATACACAATAAATACAAAATTTAACATGGAACAGGTAGGAAATATATAATCAACCATGACAGGTGCATTCTGTTTTGAGGTATGTAGAGAGGGATCTCTTAAAGAACTTTAGGCTTAGGGATGATTTTAAATTGTGCGGGAGGTCGTTTCACAATTGCGGTGCTCTGTAGGAGAAGGAGGATCGGGCCGTTTTCTTTTTGTATTGAGGTAGACTAAGTAAAGTGTTGGTACTGGATCGGAGCTTATAGGAAGTGTGAACAGCTGGGGAAAGCATTTTGTTCAGGTAGGGTGGGAGTTTCCCAGAAAAGCTCTTAAACACAAGGCTGGAAAGATGAAGGGTGCGTCTGGATTCCAGCTACAGCCAGTTTAATTCTTTTAGCATGTCACAATGGTGGGTCCTGTAATTACATTGTATTGGTCCAAGCATGTGAAAAATGAAGCTTTCCAAATACAGTGGTACCTCAGTTTACAAACACCTTGGTTAACATAATTTTCGGTTTACAAATGAAAATCCATTGAAAATAATGCCTCGGTTTACAAATTTCTTTCGCGATACGAAGCAAGTTTCCCTAGGATGCATTGCGCCTGGGAGATTTATAGCACCGCCCCCTGCATGCTGGAGCCTGTGGGTAGCATGTGGCGTCGAGTGTGGAGGTGTTGGAGCGTTTTTTGCATCAAGTTTTGGGGCCATTCTGGAAAATGTTTGCAGCGGTTTTGGGACTTTTTGTAACTTTTTTGGTGCATTTTTCAAGCGGTGGAAAGGTAGGGAGCTGAGCTTTGTCGTTTGCATGCCTTTTACTGTGTGTTCTGCATTGTGGGTTGGTTTCCATGCCAGCTCATTTTGTCTTTTTTTCTGACCTCCGCAACGTATTAATTGGTTTTCAATACATTCCTAAGGGAAACTGCGTTTCAGTTTACAAATTTTTACAATACAATATGTCCCGGAGAACGCATTAAATCCGTAAACCGAAGTACCACTGGGCGTCAATACTGTTAGAAAAACCTTCTGAATTATTTAGCTACAAAAATTCCCAAACACCTTAATGATGCCTTCTATAGATAAATCATTTAAAGTTTTTCTAAAGTATTCTTGGAATATTTGGAGAGCTTATTAAATTGAGGCTTTACTTTTAACTATAGGAGTTCAAGTTGCATTCATTTAGTCTCCTGTAGCTCTATTTAATCAATTTTTTTTATTTATTCATGTATAGATGAAAATGTATTCCAGTTTGTATAAAATTTCGAAAGTTGAGAATTAGTAGGTAGTTATCATACTGTCATAAAATGGAAAAGCAAAGCAAAAAAAAACAATGAATCTGAGAACAAACAACTTCGTCAGGAATAGAAATGGTAAGCGGAAGTTTGAATCTATATATACATGTATAAAGCTAATTATTTTATATAATCATATGCACGAATATAATGTAATAAACTGTTTTTCTGTTCAAAGTCAGGAATGTACTGGGTGGTCCTGATTGATACATTTTGCGGCGGCTGGACCGTTCTGTTTGTGGCTGTTCTAGAGCTCATTGGAATGATCTATATTTATGGTGTGTATGTCACTGGGAATAAAGTGTTACCAAATTAGATAGATTTTACCAGTTACTGGGTGTAACAGATCACCTGGCACCCCGACTGGGTACCTCCATTGAAGGATGCTCCTAGCGCTTCCTGAGGACTCCAAGCACTGCAGCAGACACCACAATCACGAAACCAGAGAAGCGTATACCTTCTCTCAAGCATATGAATGCTGTAGACAGTTGAATAGGAACCATACGAATAGGTTTACTCTCCTAGCAGTCAAACTGGAACAGCATACAATGAATCCTTCCCCCAATAATGAGACGACACTTCACTTTGAGGGTTAAAACAGGACCAGACTGTACTGGCACATACAGCCTCTTTTATTCCCAATCCACAAACTTAGTACTGCCCACAGGGCGTTACAAAAGAGCCAATCAATCCATACAATACACCCAGACACTCCCACACAAAATCCTCCCTTCTGGCTGTGATATGATTACTGAACACAATGGGTAATCTAATTATCACAGCCAGAGAAATACAGTTTCATAAAACACAGCACAGGGACCCCAAAACATGCAATAACCCCATAAAAAGTATATCCTTGGAAATGGGGGATCTGGGTGAACCACATATCCAAAATTCACCCAGATCCGTTCAGTACTTTGGAAAATACAGTTTAACCCCTTAAGGACGGAGCCAAATGTACACGTTGTGAACAAAACAAAATGTAAACAAAACCTGGTATTTTCGCTACATGTCTGTCCAACCGTAATTCACCTCTTTCATAGTAAATGCACCCACCCTTATTATATATCATATACGATTTTTTTTTATTTTTTTTGTTCTACATGACATTTTAACGGTCAATGTCATAATACTGTTTGCTTTTACTGCAATAAAATACACATATTTGTATTCAGTAAAGTCTCACGTGTAAAACAGTACCCCCTATGTACAGGTTTTATGGCGTTTTGGGAAGTTACAGGGTCAAATATAGCACGTTACATTTGAAATTGAAATTCGCCAGATTGGTTACGTTGCCTTTGAGACTGTATAGTAGCCCGGGAATGAAATTTACACCCATAATGGCATACCATTTGCAATAGTAGACAACCCAAGGTATTGCAAATGGGGTATGTCCAGTCTTTTTAGTAGCCATTTGGTCACAAACACTGGCCAAAGTTAGCGTTAGTATTTGCTTGTGTGTGAAAAATGCAAAAAATGCCAATTTTGGCCAGTGTTTGTGACTAAGTGGCTACTAAAAAAGACTGGACATATCCCGTTTGCAATACCTTGGGTTGTCTACTATTGCAAATGGTATGCCATCATAGGGGTAATTTTCATTCTTGGGCTACCATAGGGTCACGAAGGCAATGTAACCAATCTGGCGAATTTTAATGTGAAAAAAATGAAACACAAGCCTTATATTTGATGCTGTAACTTTTGAAAACACCATAAAACCTGTACATGAGGGGTACTGTTGTACTCGGGAGACTTCGCTGAATACAAATATTTGTGTTTGAAAACAGTAAAAAGTATCGCAGCAATAATATCGTCCGTGTAATTGCTGTTTGTGCGTGAAAAATGCAAAAAACGTCACTGTTACTGGCGATATCATTGTTGTAATACATTTTACTGTTTTGAAACACTAATATTTGTGTTCAGCGAAGTCTCCCGAGTAGAACAGTACCCCTCATGTACAGGTTTTATGGTGTCTCGGAAAGTTATAGGGTTAAATATAGTGCTAGCAAAATAAATTCCCTTTACTTTCGGCATGGGTTGTCAGGCAGGTCCTGCTAATTGTAATTAATTAAGATACCTAATTATGTAAAAATATTACATAAATATATATGTAGAATTAATATATGTATATATATACATATGTGTATATATATGTATATATCTATATAATTTTTTTTAAATATTTTTATTTATATATAGGTATATATATATATATAGTGATATATACGTATATATTTATGTATATAGATATATATTTCGTTCTACGTGTATTTTGAGATAGATATATATATATATATATTAATTTCACAATACAGTTAGAACGAAATAACACACATCTATATATTTTTTAATTATTTATTTTTATTTTTTTAATTTTATTTTTTAACGTATTTACATTTTTATTTTTTTATATTATATATAAATATATATAACAATAATTATATATATATATATATTTAATCAGTATCAGTCTACGTGTAATTTGACATTAATATATATATATAGAATTATATATATATTAATAGTAAAATACACCTAGACGGTGTACGTGTGTGTATGTATATGTGTATTTATATACTTAGATCATATATATATATATAATATATATATATGATCTAAGTATATATTATAATTTTTTTTACACTATTTATTTTATTCATTTTTATTTCCAGCCAGCAGGGGGACCACCTGTCATTACAGGCAGCCCCCCTGCTGGCAATGCAGGAGGCAGCTACCCCCGGCCATGTGATTGTGGGGTCCTCGCAAGGACCCCACTCTCACATGGCCGGGGGGCTTCCAGGAGGACGGACGTGCCGCGGGGGGTAAGTACAGAAAGACCGGAGGGCGTACTATTACGCCCGGCGGCGTTTAGAGCCGTTTAGAATAGGGCGTAATAGTACGCCCTCCGGTCTTAAGGGGTTAATGCAGATTCTGCAGAACATATACTGGCTAAATGAAAAACAATCACTGTATAATGTGTCCCCTGCTGTATAGTCCAAAACCACCGCACGATGTCTCTGTGCACCAAACACTGGCGAGATGGCACCGTGTTGAAAAGTCCAAACAGTGTCTGTGAATTAAAATGGACACCATCCATTGTTCTCACCATGTGCTTCGGATACAGGAAATGGTGGCCACCCAGTAACTCCACAGTATGTCCCCAGATGGTTCTTAAAAGGGCCAGCAGCAGCACAACACAAATCCATTATGCCCAAATCATGTCTTTAAAGGGCAATACATTCCAGGGGCCATAGTCACAAGGCAGGAGGCTGGCAACCAGGCTTCTCCAGTGCATAGTGGCGAGGTTGGTTCCGCCACACTGGGAAAAAAAATAATTTAAAAATATTGAGCATGCAGTATGTGCCTAATAGTTATATAATATATATATATAAAAACCCACCATCTTTAATATATATATATATATATATACATATATATATATATGTGTGTGCTCTTTATCAAGTTAATTTTATAATTAAAGTAACATTGCTATAGTATGATAAGCATTGAGAGCAAATGTATCAAATCTCCAGCACTTTAACTGTTTTGTTTTGACACTGTATTTTTTTTTTAATTGGGCTTTTTATCACATTTATTTTGCATTATGTACGTTCACAATGCTCTTACAACAGATTATTTAAATAAACGTTAGTTCATTTAGTACTAACAAAATTTAATTTGTCTCCCATGTTGGAATTATTGTAGTACCCACCAATATTGGGGTACTGTGAAATAGTGATGGGCTTGGCACGATATAGGCATATGGTAGAACTGGATCCCCATAGTTGTTTGCCTGAGATAGGTGATTTTAAGTGGCCTTGTTTTTGGTCCAAACAGGTGGCAACAGGATAGTCGAGGATATAGAGATGATGTTGGGAAAGAAACACTGGATCTTCTGGATTTGGTGGAGAGCTTGCTGGTATTTTGTATCACCAGTGCTAATATTGGTAAGTATTTTTAAGTTGTTTTGTGGATTTTTTGAGTGCATTCATCCAGCTTTTCACTTGTAGCTTTCATGATTTAACAGTGAGTGTAGATTCCCAGAGGCCTTGAATTCATACGGACAAGAAAAAACGTGTTAAAGTAATTATACGGAAAGGGAAGGGGACTGTAACAGCAGGCCAGTCACTACCAGGCAGGCAAACCAAGCAATTGCCCCAAGGCAGGCAAACCAAGCAATTGGCCTGGGGCCCCAAGCAGGGCCGGCACCTCCTATAAGGCTGCAGCTGCCTGAGCGCTCTATAGAGAGTCTCAGGCAGCTGCAGCACTCCTCTCTCATCACCTCCCCTTCCCTGTAGCGTGGCCGAGCTCCTCTTCCTCCTGGCAGTCCGGCCGGGTACCACACTGAGTGCTCACTTCCTTTCAGTCTGCCCGGGAACAGGAAACTGAATCTCCTGTACCGCGCGGTACCCGGCCGAACGGACAGCCAGGAGGAAGAGGAGCTCGGCCACGCTACAGGGAAGGGGAGGTGAGAACTGAGGAGAACATAGGGGTGGGGGGGAGTAAAAAGAACATAGGGAGGGAAGGGGGAGTAAAAAAAACATAGGGAGGTGGAGTAAAAAAAACATGGAGGGGAGTAAAAAGAACATGGGGAGGGGAGTAAGTAGGACACAGGGAGGGGGAGGGGAGTAAGAAGGACACAGGGAGAGGAGTAAGAAGGACACAGGGAGGGTGGGAGGGGAGTAAGAAGAACATAGGGAGTGGGAGGGGGGGAGTAATAAGAAGAACATGGGGGGTAGGAGTAAGAAGAACACAGGGAGGGGAAGGGGGAGCTGGAGCTGTGAGTTCAAACCCAGCAGGTCTCTTAAAGAGGCAGCCACACCTTGCTGTTTGCAGGGCTTGGGCTGCGCTGTGGCAGGGACTCTCAAGATAACCAAGAAAAAAAAATGATTGAGATTCTCCCTTGTCTGTACTGTTGTCTTGCCGTATTCTCAATAATTTTCTTTAATGCGAAAAAAATGCACTGTATATTATGAATCATTTCTGTTGTGAATATTATCTCTTTGCAACTTTATGCTTGCGTAGTACTTATTAATACTCATATATATAATTGTCCTATTACATTGCAGCATCATTACACTGGTATGGTTGTTACTGCAGCTCTGAGTAACTCTATGCTTCAATGTTGTAGTTCTGTTTATCATAGTAACAACATTGAGGATTAAAGGGACACTGTAGACACCCAGACGACTTCAGCTAATTGAAGTTGTCTGGGTACTGTGTCCATTTTGCACTTAGTACTGCAATGTAAAACATTGCAGTTCCAGAGAACTGTTCACATTGCAGCTCTAAGTCTGCCCTCTGTGGCTGTATGACAGACAGCCACTATAGGGCTTCCGGAATCCAAATGGAAGTTTGGTCCGTTATCTGACGCTGTACGTCATCACGGACCTCCAGCGTCAGATTTTCCCCATTAGTGCCAGGTGGGGCAGCACCCCATAGTTTAATTTAAACCAAAAAATCTAATTTATTGTTGTTGTAAGAATTAATAACAAGTAAGTGTTAAATAAAATGCAGTTTTCATCTCCCTTTTTTTTGATGGCTGGAGATGCTGCACATAGGTTGTTTATGATTTTGAAGACATCATTGGGTCAAACTCAAATAAGTCAGGTTGGCAGCAACCCACTATCTTTAAATGTCTCCAGCCACCACTGCTTAACCACGTTGCCAAAGTAGGAGGGCATGGGTAATGACATCATATTACAGCTTCATCAGTCATTGGTGTATTGAGGAAACCATCCAATCACTGAGCTTTCATGCTCAAGGATAGCATAGTTAGTTCTTTGCTATCCCTTACAATGTATATACTCAAAGGACATTCCACCTCCCTCTTTGTTTTTACCTGCTTTTCTATGGGACAAGAAAGCCCCAGATTTGGTGACCTAGCTGCCCTTGGACTGTACCAGTACTGGACAAGTTCTAAATATATCCTCTTGCTTTTATTCTTACAATGTATATGACTAAAGGCAGGTGTAGGCACTCCAGATCTTGTAGACTACATCTGCCAAATTGCTCTAACAGCCAAATGTTGGTAAAGCATCAGGGAAGAGGTAGTTCATGACTACTGGAGTGTGAAGTTTGCCTTCCCCAGCCTAAAAGTGTACAGCGAGGGATGTGGTGGGAAGAATGAGATAGGAGAAGAATAAGAACATTGGTCCTGGAGATTGTATTTATATCAATGCACATAAACATGCAACAAAATAAATGTTGTCATTTTGTCTTTGAATACTTGCAGGTCATATTAGCTTGGTCTTTGGCAACATTTGTACCTCCTTCGTATGGAAAAGCTGTTTATCCTAAATGGGGGATAGCACTAGGAAGCCTCATGTGTGCTTTCTGTCTAGTATGGATCCCTTTAATTGCTGTGTGGAAAATCATAAAAACTCCAGGAACACTTTGGCAGGTAACCATGTCTTTCTGATATTAAACTCAAATCACTACAGGTAAATTAACATATAAATTTTCATGATAAAATGATAGAACACGACAGTCACTTGTGCTGCATGGCAATTTCATCTCAGGGGCATTTAAGAGATGTATATTCAACCTTTTAAGATTAACTTTTTAATGTAACTTGACATTATTACTGACTCTTTAAAAGTTAACGTACCTTTAGAAAACAAGGGTCAATAATTAGTACGGACCTTTAGAGTAAATTGTTGTGTATCGCTAACATGTAGCATAGAAATTATAAATACATGCCAGGTATTAATACAATTACAAAGAAATGCAATAATTATTATCTTAAATCTTTAGCGCATTGTGAAATGCTGTAAGCCAGCTGACAATTGGGGACCTGCTCTCGCGAAAAATCGTACTGGGCGATACGAACACATGAACAAAAAGGCAGATGTGGAGATACCAGATATTAAGGGTGTTGATAATGACACATTTCAAAGTGAATGAGAGCATTGCACTTTTTGTACTCACACTGCTAGGCTTTATGCAAATAAATCATATGTGACATTTTCTTTCATTTGTGTTAGTCATTTTGTAGTAGTCCTAGTTAATCCTTTTGCAAGCTGGACAACATATACAACTAAAGTGGTCACTTAAAATAGATGTTTACTAGATTTGCAAAAGAAAATAGAAAAATCCATATGAACCATTGAAACTAATTTTTGGTTTTCCGTCATCCGATAAGAACTCTTGTTTATTAACTGCAAGGCCCATTTTACTAAGAGATTTATTCACTAATTCATCAATTGTGGCAAACCTGACATAAAAAAGACTAGCCAAACTTGCTAATGTCCCCCAATAGTTTTTTCATCTGCACTAAACTCTAGATTTTAGTGAGCAGACATCTGAATTGCAAAATGTATGCTAAAATATTTGATTTGGAGAAATTTCAGCAGAACTATGGTGAGTACTTTGGCTATTGTTGCCCAAATATTGCCTTTCAAATTTGTATTCTATATTTTGGAGTTTAGCGAATAACACTCCATGTCTACATTCGTCCTAAAATATCCATCGCTTGTCATAAGAATTGAGGAAAAAATAATGTCTCATAACTATGCACTTTATTGTCAACTGCTAGTCGAGGCAAAACCACACAGAGTATTACCCCATAAATATATACATATTTGGTGCCTAGGTAAAATAGTTATGGTTATGTATGTATTTTGGAAAGATATATATAGATATATTGGCATCATAAATCAATTAACTAATAAATGCACGTCTAAACCATACCACCTTAAATGTCGAGGAACTAAGAAGAGAGCTGTGATTTAAGGTGGGCACAGATGAGGAATGCATTCTATTTTTTTTAGCAGAAAAGAATGCATCAGTGCCTGGTTCATGACAACGGTATAGATATAGACTTATTTAATATTTTATAATCATTACCACATTTCCATTACTGGGCTACAATCCTGAAACTCTAAATCACGCATGCTGCATGCGTCACTGCAGGCATTATATAAACTGGATTAGTTGTAGTGCTTGGAGTTCTCTGGTGTTGTCCCTTTATTTATGGCTGCCGGAGACTCTTGGTTACTGATTAACAGTGAATAAAAGGAAGGATGGTGCCTGGGGTGCTAGAAACGACAACCGCTTCAATGAGATGATGAAGTTACAGTATCTACAGTGTCCCTTTAAGTGTGCATCCTTTGGGAGCAGGCAGGTGCAAACACAGAAACTTGCATCCATTTCTGTCAGCCATTTAGGGTCAGAAATATACAATTTTCAGGTAAGTATACTTTGTAACCTTTACATTTGCTATGACTTTCCTCAGCACTGTGTGTCTAGCGTGTATGATTAGGATTCCCGCTGGCACACTACTTGGGAATTACATGTATTAGGAAGCAGAAAGTTGACACAAGTGATTAACTTCATAAATCTTGCTGGTATTTGACAATAAGTAGGCTGATATAATAATGATGCTGTGGTTTAATGGTTGCAGTATCAATAAAGTGCAGCCAACAAAAAAAAAAAAGGATGTAGCATTAAAAAAAAAGACACAGAGCAGTGTAATCACCACAGTGGGGATTTTATATAATGATCTTTTCATCAGGTTTTAAAAAGAAACAGTTCCTGTGTTAAATGAAGTTTATGTAAAAAGAAAAAAAAAATGGATAAACTAATCTCTATCTTTAGTTTATGATGGGATCTGTCAGCCATATACATACACCTTGAGGCAGACAGTGTTGAAAACCTCTATATAGTCTCTATGATCTTCCCGGCTTCACTCACTGCACAGAACAGTGACATCATCTAACCAACTAACTGTCTTTCGAATACCCTATTTATTAGTGACGTTTAAATTTCTTTTTTTTTAACTGTAGTACTTTAAATGAACTGGCATATCTTAGCCCATCTGATTCATTATTTTGCCAACCCACTATTGCATATGGTATGTAGAAATTGGAAATAGGAGATATCCTGGGTCTTCCTGTTGATTACTAAGAGGAAAAGTCACTAATGTCAGTTCTCAAACCCATTCAATATTGGGTTAGAAGGTTTAGCTAAATCTGAGTTGGTCCCCCATGGGTAACAGGGCTCCAAGAGAAAAATATATAGATTTAACCCCCTTGATAACCTGGAGAGGGACCTAATGACAGGCCTACTTGGTTAATAGTGGAGATGCACAACCTCAATTTAAATTTGGATACCCTCCATCTCGTAACAAAAGAATAAATGTGCAGGCAGAAACATGGGAAAAGCTCATATGAATATACAAATCATAGTAATGAACTATTGTGATAAATAATAATTGGAACCCAAGTAAATGAAAAATAAGCCATTCGCAAACTTTTACGATTTGTTGATTAAGGCAGTAGGACATTTTATTCATTGCTTGTGCCTTTTACATTGTATTCTGCACTCTTCCTTTTCTGACCCACAGGCTCATCTTGTATTTTAGAAGTTAGTTTTCTTAGATATGATAGGCGTAAATTGATAGTGTGAAGGTTCATCAAAACTTGTTTTAATAGAATTTGTTTATGCTCATTCTCCAAGCTCTTTGATATTTTCTGGCTAAAGGTTTCTTTGGGAATAGGTGCCGAATGTCTTCTCTGTAGAGAGAAACAGATCTCTGTTTTAGGCAATGAGTGTCATCAGTCAATTAATGGGTAAACCCAGAGCACATTTCTAAACATTGTCTAAACGCTATTCACTAACGTGAATTATCAGAACAAGTGAATTTCAACTTTTAGGCCAAATAGTTAAACTGGAAAAATTCTCAAAACCAGATAGATTTGAATTTTGGCCTAAAATTTGAATTCACTTCAAGTCCTGACAATTCGCACTCAAGTGAATAAATATCAGCATGCTCAATTTGTGGTATTTTAAGAAAAAAACAAGTCTAACTAGTATTTGTGACCTTTTTATTTTCGCCCTCTTTGTGTTACAAATGTTCCCAAACTTTGACAAATACTGTCTCCTCTCCATCTCTTCACCACAACTGTATATTCCTTTTAATATTTGACAATATTTATACTTTTCCCCAATTTTACCTCTGCGTAATACACTAAGCACGTGAAAGACGTGTCCTTTCTTCATCTCCACCCCAACTAACATACCATTTCCTATTTGTCCTAGTTATGGGAGGACATGAGAAGGGTTAGCAGGCATGCCCACATTGCCTTTTGCTAAACTTTAACCTTCTTAGTTTGTCTCACATGGAGGGTACTCCTTATATTTAAAATTATTATCAATGTATTGATTGATCACATGAAAATAAAATGTCAAAGTGTAATGTATCGTCTCAAACACATTTATTTTTTCCCAGTGATTTTATGCACAGTGTTTGGTCCCATGTTGAGCCAGGGACATTTCCAACATTGACAGTCTGTTTTCTATAATGTAGAGATTAAGCAGAATTTTCCTTTCTAGTGCAGCTGTGTTGTACATCTCATTTCTAGTTTCATTGTCTCTAGATAAACCATTTGCAGAGAATAGATCTTCAGTATTGGGCAGTGGCCTGTCAGAACGCTCATTTGGTAATTGGGTTCTACATCCATCCTACAGGGAATTAAAGCACTGTTAAATCGAGTCAACTTAAGTCTGCAATAAAATATATTTTTTTTAAATAAGGATATTATATGAAGTTAAAGTTAGCTGAGTATGAAGTGTGTTCTGTGTGTAAGGGGCATTATAAAGTTTCTTTACCTTGCAAAAGTGGCACGTCTTGAAAACAACCCCCGCCACGATTAGTACCAGAATAATCAAGATGATGAGTGGCATTGCGATTAAGAAACCATGCTCTACCAAAGTATCCTCAGGGGTACACTCTCGTTGCAGGTTCAGTAAGCCAAACATGGTTGAACGTTTGACTTCATGCTCTGAGTCTGTTTATTTGCATCACGTGATGACACAATAGGCATCGTTCTAATGATGTAATAATCTCAGTGACAGCCTTTCAACACCACAGATCATGGACAAGCACTAAAACCAACTCTGTCCCTCACATCCTAACACTGGATTTATCTATTCTATGATTTTTTTCTCCTCTTCCATTCATTTGCCCTGAATTTTGAATTTATTGGATATTTTGCAATCAGTCTATTGTTTCCTATTTTGTGATTGTAAAAATCCAAATAGAATTTAAATGTGTTGTCAACGTAATTTAATTTCGTCATTTTTTTTTTAGTTTGCTTTACCCAACCTTAATAAATAATAATTAAACTATTATAAATAATATTTATTAATAATAAATAATTTATTATATAAAATATGATATATAATATCAGAAGAGCTCATGATTTGTTCATTCAGGATTCATACTTGAAAATGAGAGAAATCTCAATGTATCCTTTCTGGTAAAATATTTTATAAATAAAAAAATAAATAATTTCAAAACTAAAGCTAAAAATACAACAATAAAATATTTTTTTTTGACTGGTATGACATGTCAGGATAAGCTGTTCCTCTCCTTATGGTAGTAATATGAGAGGCATTCCCAGAAACTCCTCAGAAACAAGTAAAAGTGCTTCCCTTGCTCAGTACACAGGGGTCTTAAAATAAAAGACTGATAAGTAGTACCCAGGAAAAAATGACATTACTTTTTCTTAAAAGATCACTATAGGGTCAGGAACACAAACATGTATTCCTGACCCTATAGTGAAAACCCACCATTTAGGTTTGCTTGGCCCCCTCAGAATGGGTTAAAACTCACCTTATTTCAGCTGTCCACGGGTCTGCCCGCGCTGACCCCGCCCCCTTGGTGACATCATCAAAACTGCAAATTTTTAGCCAATTAAATGCTTTCCCATAGGGCCAAACATCGTTTTGGCCAATCAGCACCTCCTCATAGAGATGCATTGAATTAGCGTGGGGACGCTGAATGGCAAGGGCTGCTTACTGTGCAGCCCTGAGCCAGGAAGCCCCTCCAGTGGCCATCTCAGGAGTGGCCATTTGGAGGTGTCCCTAGGGGCAATGTAAACACTGCCTCTTCTCTGTTCAATTAAAATCCTGTACAGACAAAATTAGGAAAAACAGACATAGGGTAATGACGTACAGTTAATTGATAAAAGCTTCGGCTGAAACGCGTCAGTGTGTGGAGAGTGAGATTGCTGATCTTCATTTTTGCTGCTTTTTTTACTCTGGAATAATAAACCTTTTACTAAGATCCTGCATCCTGGGTTTTTTAAGAAAGGACGAGCAAGCAGTTAGCATTTGATTTCAGCTATCACTACATCAATCCATTCAACGTTCTTAGTCTGAGCCAGCTTTTATTTTAAGTGGCTCAGAAATATGTGAGTTTGCACATTTATTGGCTTATTTATCAATTATCTGTACGTTATTACCCTATGTCTGTTTTTCCTGATTTTGTCTCTACAGGATTTTAATTGAACATATGGGTAACTAATTTGATTTTTTATTCTGTGTGTGCTCTCACCACTTTTACTGTTTTGATTACAACAAAGTATATAGGTCAGGATGTCTAAAAGTCTGCATCACTATCAGGGTTATATACAAAATGGAGAATTCAAAGTGAATTACATATTTAAAGGACCACTATAGTGCCAGGAAAGCATACTTGTTTTCCTGGCACTATAGTGCCCTGAGGGTGCCCCCACCCCCAGGGTCCTCCTCCTGCCGGGCTCTGGGGAGAGGAAGGGGTTAAACACTTACCTTTCTCCAGCGCCGGGCAGGGAGCTTTCCTCCTCCTCTCCTTCTTCCTAGCGACGTCATCGGCTGAATGCGCATGCGCGGCAGGAGCTGCGCGCATTCAGCCAGTCTCATAGGAAAGCATTCATAATGCTTTCCTTTGGACACTGGCGTCTTCTCACTGTGATTTTCACAGTGAGAAGTACACAAGCGCCTCTAGCGGCTGTCAATGAGACAGCCACTAGAGGCTTTAGAGGCTGGATTAACCCTCAGTGTAAACATAGCAGTTTTTCTGAAACTGCTATGTTTATTTAAAAAAAGGGTTAATCCTATCTGGACCTGGCAACCAGACCACTTCATTAAGCTGAAGTGGTCTGGGTGCCTATAGTGGTCCTTTAAGGCCAGAGTAGTCAGCCTGAAAGCATTGATGACTAGAGAATAATTACATTTGAAATTCACTTTGACTTTAATTCTCACGTTAGTAAATATTCCTGTTGGAGAATTTCTCCCGTTCTGCCATTTTACCTTAAATTTGAATTCCCATGTTAGTGAATAACCTGTCTGACTCACTAGCTCATTCTACCGTTGTGTGAGCTGAACAACTGCATCCTTCAACAATCCGTGACCCTCGCAAGCTTACATAACTTTAAAGAGGGTAGCTGTTTCCTTGAATGTATCATGCAATCTAAAAAAAAACTTTAATTTTCCCACGGCTTTTAGTGTATGACATTATTAAACATAACATGTCCACAGGGCTAGGACGATGAGGAGACAGAAATCATATTTAGTGAAATAATCTCGTAAACCATTTCTTATACACACCCAGTTATATTGTCTTCAAAAAAAATTTCAATTAGAACAACCTGTCCAACATTCCTACCATTTTTTGTTAATTAAAAATATTTTTAGCAACTGAGAACAGCAGCCATCAAAGTACAGGGCAGTGTACATCCACAGAAGTAGAAATATTGCAGCGTACCATTAACATACTCCTTTAGTAAGTTCTAATCATCAAGACTGGTCTAAAAGCACTGCAATCCTAGAGATCCCATGCCATACTTAGGGCTGAATTTTCAATTGCCAATGGCTAGTGGGAGAGTGGTTAATAAAGTCCCTGCTGAAGGCCAGTAATTTGCCATCATTTTCATATTACCATGAAGTATATTAATGTTTTCCTATGTTAATGTTATCCTCTTAATCATTAAATTCACAGCACATTCACTTACATGTTCAAGTATCAATTCCACCCAATAAAAACGTAAAAATGTTTTAAAGATAAATATCAATTTGCTATTTTGTCCTTCAATTTGAATTTCACTTTAATTTCAATTTGAAATCTCACTCAGTGAACAACCCTGACAGTATTGTATGAATATGTATTTATAACTCCACACCAGCTGTATTAAACCTGCACCTTTAGCGTGAATCCTAAACTTTCTACATTACAGCTACACCCACTGCAGTCAAACCCTACACCCACAGCAATACATCATATTGTGCTGTATAATTAATTCTAAATATAATGAGTTGAAGTTTCGCTGTTACAAATTACAGCATTGGAGATATTATTTATAGCTTAATATTACAGAGAACTAGGGGTTAACAATGAACCTAATAGATTTTAATGGCAACCACATCTAAGTCTGCTATGCATAGAAAAAACTATCTATATCCACCAATACTGGGATAAAAGCATCTTTTTATCCTCTCTTTTTCCCTGAAATGGAACTTACTTAACCCCTTAAGGACCAAACTTCTGGAATAAAAGGGAATCATGACATGTCACACATGTCATGTGTCCTTAAGGGGTTAAAGGGACTCTGTAGTCACCATAACAACTTTAGCTTAATGAGGCAGTTATGGTATAAAGATCATGCCCCTGCAATCTCACTGCTCAAATCTCTGCCATTTAGTAGATAAATCACTTTGTTTATGTAGCCCTAGTCACACCTTTTTTATTTGACTTACACTGCCTTCCTAAACACTTCCTGTAAAGAGTCATCTAATGTTTACACTTTCTTTTTGCAAATTCTGTTTAATTTAGAATGTCTTAGCTTCTACTCTGTCATTAGCTTTCTAAAACATGCAGAATACTCATGTATGTAATCTAAGTTAAATTTACAGAGCAGGAGAGAAAGGCTTTTAAAGTAAGCTACATATAAGTTAAAATTAAACCTTTTTTTTGTCCATGCAGATTGTGTGAGTCACAGCCAGGGGAGGTGTGGCTAGGACTTTATAAACAGACAAAAAAGCAATTCAACTCCTAAATGGCAGTGAATTGAGCAGTGTAACTTCAGAGGCTTAATCTATACACCAAAACTGCTTCATTGAGCGAAAGTTGTTTTGGTGACTATAGTGTCCCTTTAATAAGGCATTCCATGCACAACCTTTCATGCAAGTGATGTTGAGTGACAAATATAATTTGAGTTTTACTAAAAGTATTCTTTTAGGTTTTAAAACCAACAGCCCAGACAAATGTGAAGGGCATGCACTGATAAACACATGATATAAATGAATTGAATATACTTAAGGAACTGGAACACAAATTACAAATACACAATAGATTATATTTCTACAAAATATATTGCATTGCATTTTTGCATATTCTTAAAACATTCTTGGAATGCGTTTGTATTTTTAAAATGTAAGGACAAGTGAAACATTTAATTACACATATTAAACATTTTTAAAATCATACATTACAATTTTAACATGATGGTGATACACTTACATATATATTCAGAATGATATAAGTCCCCAGCATTAAAATATCATGGGAAATATACCTTGGTTATATGACAAAATCTAATTTAATAATAGCACAATCTAATGATTTTTTTTTTTTTCAAATTTGATTTTAATGTTTAGGTTTTTCTTAAAAACTGAAACGATGGTTTAGTCCCGTGGGGGTGTAAAAAAGTTAATATAAAAAAGTGAACATTTATTTTCAAATATTTTTTATTGAAAGATTTTTTGTAAAATAAAAAAGGAGGACACACTGTTCACAAATAAAGCACTATAACAAGCTAACCTGCTTAAAGGGACACTTTTTTTTTCCATTTAATACATTTTGGCCTCATTAATAATTTGTATATTTTGCATGCTCAAATCTTTATAGTTTTTTTGCACAAAAAATAATTTCTTATCAAATATAAACACAGTTTCAGTCCGAACAGCACTGATTGGGCTGCTTTTAAGTCATAAGACTGGCTGCCAGTCAGTCAGAGAAACTATACACAGGTAGTGATAACCTTACTATATCTCTACCTGGATGTCCTCTCCTTCTAATGCAGGTTACTTTCTTCAGATCATTCAGTACTGTCATTTGCTGAGTGGTGTGCATATCTTGGATAAGGTAGAATTTTTCTGAAGTGATGGGCACTCCCCTTTAGCCCTGCGTTAAAGAGACAGGCTAACAATGCAGCATTCTGCAAGAAAATGTTTGTGTGTGTGCAAAAACGGTAAAGGCTCAAGAATGGAAAAAAATACAGCATATTAAGGAGGCCAAAGCCTACCAAATGCATTAAGCTGTACTGGTGCCAGGAATGTCCCTTTAACAGAGCCAATCCTGGATGGGTGTAAAGAGCCGAATCGGCATCCTCATGTTAGGTGCTGGGTGGTATAGCTGGAACCTCGGGATCAGTGATACGCTGTAAGGTGTTTGGTGTGTTCCTTTAATAGAGCTCATTGAGAGATGTTTGCAAGGTAGGTGCTCTAAAGGAATGTCATGCCTCGTGAATTTAGATCCATGGAGTTAAACTGCAACAACAAGTAACAGGACCCAATGCAAGCAAAATGAAGGCTAAACAAATTTAGTTTGGAAACATATCAAGGGAATGGCATTCCCTCTGATTATGATAAACCTTGAGATATCGTAATGAAATATGTAGACACAGAGGGCCTGGCCAGATCCCTGGAGTGGTGACTGGAGAAGAGCGTCAATGTATGAAGACATAGGTAACTGGGAGAGACAGTGGTAAGTGGGACTTTGGTTGAATTATCCTAATGCCCTGATTTACAAACAAAAATAAAGTTATTCCTTGAATGTAAGGGGTTGGGAGCTGAACAACCATGTATGTGCATTGCAATTCATACTAAGCACAATTTGAAACAAACATGATGAGGTAGGTAGGTCTTCAGTGTGACAGTCAATATAGTTTTTCTAGGTAAATAATAATAAGCATTGCAATATAAAATGGTACACTTAATAAAACTACACGTGGCATGATTTTACAAGAATCTCATAAAACATACATAATGCTATTTTTCTTGGAATAAAAAAAAAATGCAAAAGAAACACTCTAAGTGGTTATGGTACCATGAGTGCTCTCCCCAGAATAAGCAGTCTAAACAATTAGAATGTTTTGACAACTTTCTTGAGTCCTGCCAAGTGCCCACCCCCTCCCCTTCCACCGGAAGCTACTGCCACTGAGATAAACCGAGCTCTGCTTGGCTGATAGCACTCAGCTGATATTCTTAGCTAATGATCATGGCCCCGCATGTCCGGGCGTAGCACAGTGGAGATAACTGGAAGCTCCTTGCAGGAGCTCCTGACAGAAGGAAGGTGGCTGAGGAAGACAAGCAGGACTTGGTTAAGTTATTGGACCATTCCTAAATGGTTTGGAGACTTACTTTGAGATGTGGCTCCTGGCACCATAAGCACTACAGTGGGCTGTAGTGAATTAGGTGCTTAGAGTTTTTCTTTAAATAGCTTGAGTTTTTTAATACATATAAGGTTTAGCAAATTACAAATTATTAAATTCAATAAATTTTGAGTAAAGACATTTATTCAAGCTTTGGTTGAACATCTACCAAGAGTCAAACAGATTAGTTCAGGGGAAGCAACCTTCGGTACTCCAGATTTTGTTGACTAAATCTCCCCTGATGCTTTACCAGCATTATAGCTGTAAGGGCAATACAAGAGATGCAGTCCACAAAATCTGCAATGCCGAAGGTTGACTACCTCCGGACTAGTCTGAGCATGATAATATCCAATGGCTGATAACATCAAGCCACATTATTATCCAAAACCAGCCACTAATATAGTTGCATATGCAGTTCAGTGGCTCAAGAAGAACTGCAAATTACAAACTCCCTGATTAGACAAGATAGAGCCAAGTAACAGAATGGCTTTCATACCATTGTATCTTTTTTCAAGTGACTTAGTTCTTGTACTTTCGGATCACTTCCTTTTCTTGATGTGCTGTGCTGATTTTTCAATCTCTGTGAAAGTCTAAAATCAAATACGTTTCTGAAATTCTCTCTGAACTGGTTTCCAACAAAGCAGTACAGAAGCGGATTAATGCAACTATTCGAAAAACCTAAGCATACAGAGATTGGTATTGCCGCCTCCACTGATTTTTCTATTCTGCAGTCCTTAATGATTCCCATTCGCAGTAAGGCATCCAAAAAAGTCAATAGATGAAAGGGCAGCCAACAGATTAAAAATGTCATAACGATTGCACTCACAATTTTCAAGACCCTGTCTCTGTTTTGTTTATTGATTATAGGGCCCTTTGATTTCTTTAGGTGTAAAGCAATCATCATATAGCATGTACCAATAGTGGTTAGGGGAAGAAAGAAGCCAAAACAGATTTTGACTAAAGAGAGGGCCACACACCATGTTGCATATGTTTCTTTGGGAAAATCCATTACACATGCATGTACTCCCAGGCTCTCGATATAGTATATATTACGGAAATAAAAAGTGGGCAGGGAGAATATTATCGATAGGCTCCAAACAGCAAATACCACAAGAGATGCTTGAGTCAATGTTCTCCTTTGTGAACGAAGTGGGTATACTATTGCCAAGTATCTGTCCACACTCATGCAGCTAATGAAGAATATGCTTGCAAATAAATTAAGAGACACAAGAGAGCTGGAAATTTTGCACATTGCCTTTCCAAACATCCAATTCAAGCGAAATGAGTAGTACGTGGCCCAAAAAGGCAAAGATGTCAAAAATAATGTGTCCGCCACGGCCAGGTTCAGAATGTAGATGCTAGCTACAGTTTTGACATCCCCTTGAAGACATAGTACCGTTATTACCAAGATGTTTCCAATAAATCCAAGAATAAAAATGATGGAGTAGAGTACAGGAAGTAAGTCAAATTCGTAGGCGGAATGCGTAGTATTCCAGCATGAAGCTGTAGGGGTCAGGTCATTGGAAATATTAAACATAGTCAAAGAAATATCATGAAGCGTTTCTCTGGTGATGATAAGCACTGTGGAGTTCACATAGATCATAGTTTTATTCACCTACTTTTTCTGGTACGTGGGTTTTGATTGCCTTTTAAATGAAACAAAAGTATTTAATTACATCTTAATTATAATTACTTACGTAGGTATAACAATATATAGATGAACAAAAACACAAATATTATCATATAATAATTTAGGAGCCCTCCTGATTAGCTTCATTATCTTATCCAAGGAAATATTTTTATAGACTGGTCAATAACTAAGGTGAGCAGCCCCTTTCAGTTAAAGCTCAATTAAAGGAGTCTGTGTATTTTTATTGATTAATAAACCCTCCCAGATGATATATCTGCATACATAATGGCATACGGGATGAGTGGGAAGTAGGCTGTTACTTTTAGTTGATGGAAGTAGTTAAACTCTTAACTCATTCAACATTTAATGCATGCCATGTCTGCAAGTGATGACACAGAGGAAATGGATGTTTTCATACAAAAAGAATCCACATGCACAGTAGTAACGCTGTAATTTACACAGGGCACGTGTCCCTCTATGAGTAAATTAATGTGAAACAATGTTTTATGGCCTTGAAATCATACATTTAGACCCACAACAACCAATGTTTTTTGCATATTTTTTATATGTATGATATAAGCAAGTTGTCTGTCATTGCGTCCCTGCACACATTTGCTTAAGACACACTCTGACATTAATGGAGACATATGTTATGCTTCAAAATCCATCTATGTACACAGAAGAATTAAGATTCCACAAGGCCCTAGATAGGGTTTGGTCCGTCCTTCTTTCTTAGTTTAGGTATGGTGGATTTGGCCAAGGTTGGCCAAGTATCTTTATGGCACTTAGTTTCTGCCTAACCCCTGGGCTCTAGAGTTTTCCCTTAAATTGTTTGGGTATTTTAAAACATATATATGTATTGGCAAATTACTAATTATTTTGATAACACTAACTTTGAGTAGGAACATTCATTCAAGCTTTGATTGAACAGCTACCATGAGAGTCAGACAATTGCGGGGATAGGCAACTTTCAGCACTCCAGATATTTTGGACTACATCTCCCCTGATGCTTTACCAGAATTATAGCTGCAAGAGCATTATGGGAGATGTAATTCACAACATTTGTAGTGTCTTAGTGTTACCTTTTGGTCAATCCAACTATGTATCTAAATGGTGCACATGGCATTTGCAGGTTGGGTGCTTGCATACCATTACCCACCTCCCCTCTCCAACATTCCCTTCCTCTGAGCCTTTTTGGTCCATCTGACTATGTATCCAACCAGTGTTTATGGCATTTGCATGCCATTCCATACCTTCCCACTCCAGCACTCAATAAGAGCCCAAGATGAAACTACATCCATGTGTGGATGAGAACTCAAGACAATGTTTTGTACAGCTCACCCCCACAACTGCTAAGCCGGGCTTCATAGTATGCGTTCACATCACATACATCAGAATCAGAGGATCCTGACTAATGGATAACCTTCCTGGTCATTACAAACTTTAAATGTATATTTTTTATTTTATTTTATGTTTTAATTATGTTTGCATAGATGTCTATAAAATTATATTTTAGGTTTACATAATTGTATTATCTAATATTTAGCAATATTGTTCTGTATGCAACAAACAGATGGTCACTTCCAACTTGCAGTCCAAAAAGTCTACGGCAGTAAAGGTCTTACAGACATTGCTTCTTTGCCTCAATAAGATAAATCCATGATGAAATATGTGTAGATAGCATGAGTATCCTAAAAATCTGATTATTCAAGAAACCCTACTGTGGGAATCGGAAAAAGCCAAATCCTCAACTGCATTCCCTGTCTATTTATATTCTGCTCCGTAATATAAGTGAATTTGACATAGTACATTCAGTTCTAAAAAACCCATAGGATGATCACATAATGCTTTCAAATATATATCATACTTGAATCTTTTCGTGTTTTTAAAATTAAGTTAAGAAAAAGATATATATTGATCAGCTATTACCATTTTTTTTTAATTTAAGCTTCGATTTATTATTTTTTCTTTAGAAATAATTGGGTTGCTGTATTTAGCAGAGGTTATTTTTTGTGATATAATTACATTTAAAGTGACTATATTTTATTATATCATTCTAAGTGATCTAATACATCAGAATGGAAGAATTCTATGGACCAATATAGACTAATCATACAGAAATTGGTGGTTTCAAATGTATTTGTATATAATATTTCTAATATAAAAATTCTACCTTTTTGCTACAATACTAATAACATGAAATATCCCACTTATTCAATGACAGGAGAAATGTGATATATTAACATTATTCATCATATTTAACAGTAAAATCTACAGAAAATATTAGAAAAGTCTACCCCAAATTATAGTCACTTACCTTAATAAAAAGCTTCCCTTTAAAAATAAAAATAAAAGACTTGCTTGATTCGATCCTAGTTCCAGACTAACCGCTTGAAAGTTGTGTTTTTTTTCTTATATTCTTTGTTTATTCCTCTGGGAAAAATCAGCCTACATCACTCCCAAAATTTGAACAGAAACTCTTGGCACAAGATTCTTGGCAACAAACTTTGCATTCAGAAACATTGGCACAAGATTCTTGGCAACAAACTAATGCATTCCCTTTCACATTGGGAAACATTGGCAGTAAATCACTAGCAAGACATATAAAAATAACAAAATATTAACACTGAACTTACTTCTCTGTAAGTTAAACCCCCTTACTACTGAAGTTTTGAATGTAATGTTGTATTAGTTGGTTGTTTTGGATGGAATTATCTAATAATGGAATGATAGCAAGTTTTGTAAACCAGTAAAATACCATCACCGACATTTAAAGGGGCACTTTGAACACTATAACCACTACTACTCAGCTTAGGACCCTTTATTCATAAGTGCATTCATCTCTACATAAAATGTGACCAGGATGCCAGACAAGAATTAGGACCCTAAATTTCTCCCAACATAGAATATGTATGAGAGATTCTGACTTTTTCTTTTAGTCCTTCAACGCATGATGTCCTCATTCAGTGACTTTGTTTCTTGAGAAACCCATTCCACTGGATATAGGTCTCCTTTAACCACAGACACAGATATAAGATGTAACTTAAAAATAGAAGAAGAACATCGAAACTTCACTATTTGAAGTTTTAAATGCTTTATATTCAAAGACTACGTGTATATTGAGTTGAGTCCAAGTTTATTTTTGCTGCTAGGTTATTGGAATGACTACATAAAAACTTACATCAGAAAAAGATTTAAATAAAGAATTTTAAATATTTGAATGTAATAGGATGTAGCATCTTTTAGGAATCAATTACATAAAAATATGCACACCTCTAGAGATATAGGTCATAACATCTGATACTTAAAGTGAAGCTTAAAGGGACACTATAGTCATCAGAACAAATGTAGCTTAATGAAGCTTGGGTGTATAGATCATGCCTCTGAAGTTTCACTACTCAATTCTCTGCCATTAAGGAGTTAAATCATTTTTATTTCTGTTAAACAGCCCCAGCCACACCTGTGACTGACACAGACTGCACGAAAGCAAAATAGTTTAATTTTCAATCAGATGTAACTTTCTTTAAAAGTTTTTTTAACTCCTGCTCTGTAAATTGAACTTCAGTTGTGCATAGGAGCAGTGGTGTATCCTGCTGCCCTTATGCCCTTCTGTCAGACACAAACACACACAGTCAGACACACACACACACACAATCACAGTCAAACACACACAGTCAGACACACACACACAGTCAGACACAAACACACACAGTCAGACACAAACACACAGTCAGACACAAACACACAAACACACAGTCAGACACAAACACACACACAATCAGTTTAATTTTCAATCAGACATGGCGAGGGAGTGAAACTGCTTCCCTCTTGGGAGCCGGAAGATGACGTCATAAGTGCGGGTTTCAGTTCAGAGGAGGTGCTCCCTGCTCGGGATGTCAGTTAGCCGCAAGGCTAACTAGGCATTTGCCCTGGGCATTTGGGGGGCGGCGTTTTTTGCCGCCCCCTGAAAAATGCCGCCCAAGGCAAATGCCTTGTTTGCCTCGCGGCTAATACGTCCCTGCATAGGAGGCTCCAACAAGGTCTAGCAAGCCATCAACAGAGCAGGATATAAGAAATTGTACATTAAACAGAATTTGTGATAAAGGAAGTATAAACATTACATGACTCTTTACAGGAAGTGTTTAGAAAGGCTGTGTTAGTCACATACAAGGAGGTGTGACTATGGATTTATAAACAAAGGGATTTAACCCCTAAATGGCACCAAATTGAGCAATGAGACTGCAGTGGCATGATCTATACACCATAACTGCTTCATCTAGCTAAAGTTGTGCTGGTGACTATAGTGTCTCTTTAAATTAGATTGATAACTTCAGATTAACTCTGTAAATTAGATCAATAACATTAGATTAACTCTATAAACTTATCTTGAATAATATACTAGTTATACACTGTGTATCACTCAGGTATAACTGATAGTGTACCAGTCAATTAGCCCTTTATCATTATATTATTACCTAGCTCTGAAATCCCATATAGCTTTTGCTTATAACCTTTGGGCTCCTTATGACATTATTATAACGGACAATGTACACTCCGTCTAAAGAGACCAAATGGGGAAGTTAGTAACTGTAATAAACTTTAATATAGGTTTATGGAGCATAACATTACCATTTAATTTTTAACTTAATAGAAAACTGTCTTCCATTTATCTATTTTTGACGCTCTGTTTTATTTAGGTCCAGAGATTGCTATTATATTCGCGTTATACTCTACAAGCAATTTATTTTTAGAATTGCTTACTATCTTTCTCTCTAATCCAACATTCTGTGCCCATAATATTGGAGCGAGTGTTGCTGAATTTAGTGGGATGTTTCACTTCCCATTTTAATATGAAACACTGCTTACGTGAGTGGCAAGACACAGTGTGCAGCTCTCTTAGTGGCCTTTGAGTTTAGATTATTCTGGACAAATTTACATTACATATTATTTAATCATATTGATGGATATTATTATTATTATTCTCTTAGACTATTGGGCACTTGAAAAATCTATTTTGTTTGTCCCTTACAGTATAACGCATATCAATAATGTAATGCTTATTTAGTCGTTACTCTTATATAACTTTATCCATATACCAGAGAGCCTATATGCACACAATCATATTCCAGTGATGTATTATTCATGACCTAACAGGTGATTTCAATGCTCAAATTAATCTTAAAACATATGTATATTCATGAGGAATTGATTACCTCCAATAATAAATTAATTAAACATAATTGGTCAAATTAATGGGGTGTAACCTCTATTCACTTATAAGATAAGTTTTGTTTATTGGGTATTTGTTATTTATGGGGCAATGTCTATAGATTGATTTTCCGCATTATTATTATTATACTACCACCCACATGCTTAGATTTAGTAATATTGCGACTATCAGGATTTACATATAATTTACATTCTTTTGCTTGTAGGGTTGCAAGTGTTAGACTGTTTTATCCGTGCTACCTCTTGCAATTTATACTGATTCATTTCTGTTTTTACACCTTTATTAAGGCAGAATGATAGATGTCTGGGTCTCTAGATTCAAACAGGTGATTACATGTTTCCTTAACTAACATTCATAGACAGGGAAGCAATGGATTTCAGATCGAGTATAAAAGCTTACATGAATTCATACACGTGTGTCATGTGAGTGTCAGAGTTTCTCTGCTGTTTTAAACAACAACCCTTTTTTACACTGTGTCTGGGCTGTTTTGCTGTTTTCAGGGCCGGCACGTCGTATAGGCCGATTAGGCATTGGCCTATGGTGCTTCTTAAGGAGGGGCGCCAGCAGCAGCTTTACTGCTGATTTGGGCCACTACTCTATTTGGGAAAAAGTCTGTATTGCATGTTGCAGGTCATAGCACTGGGCGCTAGGGAGCATTTACCTAGCTGCAGACAAGTGCCTGGTGCCATCAACCTCAGACCGCAAAGTTCACAGAGCTGCCTCCCATTCTAATATACCGGTGTGCATCATTCCATCACTCCCGCCTTGTGCCCTGTACTCGGGGTCAAGTGGGTGGGAGAATAGCGGGGACAGGACTGAGAGAGTGGAGGCAGCAAGGCAGTCAGGTGCAGTCCAGAAACATTAGACACATGGAGAGACAATGTGAAGTGAAGGCAAGATGGGAACTTAATAGTGTGTGTGTTTTAAAAAATGTGTGTCAGTCTACTTCAGTGAGTATGTTTGTGTCTACTTGAGTCAGTGTGTGTATGTTTGGGTCAGTGTGTTTGTCTTCTTCGGTCAGTATGTGTGTGTGTGTGTGTGTGTTTGTGTCTGTCTTTTTGAGTTAGTGTGTGTGTCTGCTTGGGTCAGTGTGTGTGTCTTGATCAGTGTGTGTGTGTGTGACTGAGTCAGTGTGTGTGTCTCTGCTAGGGTCTGTTTTTTGTGTGTCTGCTTGGGTCAGTGTGTGTCTAGATCAGTGTGTGTGTCTGCCTGGTCCAGTGTGTGTGTGTGTGTGTGTGTGTGTATCAGTTTGAGTCAGTGTGTGTTTGTCTGCTTGGTTCAGTCAAATCAGCCCCTTTAAACCTATCTCATAAAAGAACACTGGTAGATCCTCCGGGTAGACCGATAGTGGCCAACAGTGATTCTGTACTGCAGCCACTTTCGGTCCTCCTTGATTGAATAATACAGCCTTTTGTTAGTGATGCTAGATCCTGTATACTTGAAAGCAATGATGTTTTTCAGAACTATTTCACCTGTGAGTCAATCTATGTTGTCTATGTCCTTAAGTGCCCATGTCATCTTCTCTATGTAGGAGAGACCACTATGAAGGTCCAAAAGAGACTCAATAAACATAAATCTACTATTAGAACTAGACAAAAGGAATTACCTATACCTGCACATTTTATGGAACATAATCACAATATATTTCAGTTGCGTTTTCAGGTCATTGACCATGTGTCCCTTAGGAGAGGTGGCAACCGCCAAGGCTTGCTTAAAAAGAAAGAGTCCTTTTGGATCCATACTTTAAACACCTTATGGCCCAAGAGACTTAATAGGGAATTTTCTCTTTTTCTCTCAGTGCTGTTTGAAGCGTATTTTGTACCCTCTTGTGACCACCTGGATTATGACGGTTACCCATTAGGAACATCTTATTTCATCTGCCATATATATGTATATATTAAAAAATATTTTATATTGTGATTATGTATTCCACACTGCCATTCTTTATTTAAGTATATATATAGATACTTTACTCATTAGTTCATATTCATTAATGATTGGTTAGACCATGAGCTTATGGAATATCAACCAAATGTTTAACTTTAGGATGATTCGTTTTTTTATTCTGGGAATTTCCAATAGAGTGATCTTTTGATCCATTTCTTTACTCTGATGTTTCTTTGGCTTATATAATTA